GAAAAGCGGGAATCAAAGTGTAACTCCCCACTAAATTAAATTTTTTGAAGAAAAACTTTAAATACTCTGTATAAGGGTGCTATGTTATAAAATTTAATTTCATTTTCATTTAAACTTTCTTCATTGTGCAATATCTGCCCAAAGACCATCTTATTGCTGGGTGGAACAATCTTAGGGTTGAACAATGGCTGATGCAGTTAATTAGTACTGGTATTGGTTTAAATGTTACACGCTTATGTCATTAATAATGTATGGCAAACAGACGCAGAAGCAATTTTTGTGCCTTACATGATCTCAAGACATGGCTGCCGAATGCACTCATGAATTGGCAAACATCTGATGGTTTCAACTAATGCAGATACAAGAAAAAGAATGCTAGTATAGACCGACAATATTAGCCAGCCGATTGGTTACAAACATGCGTCCCTGTAATGGGTCATCGAGTCCTCCACTGCCTTGGCAGCACCACCTTCAAGCATTGCTGAGTCAGCTTCTTGAGGGAGCGGTGCAACTGGTAAGGATCTGGCCGAATTGGCTCCTTAAAGCCTCCCTAAATTTCTGGTGTTCGAAAAATCCTCAATCATTGAAGATCTACTCATGGTATAACTACTAGCGTCACTCAGCCTCATTGCAGTGGAGCTAAGCTGGATGCCACTCTCTCTCAACTAGAGACTGACATTTTTTCGGGAATCCCACGGGTCACGGGATTCCCGTGGGATTCCCGTGGGATGGGAGTCAGTATTAGTAACGATCACGGGATTGGGACGGTACAGGATTAAACATTAACGGGAGCAGACGGGAGCGGGAGCAAACCAATGGTAACTTCCGCTCTGAGTTTTTCACCCGCGCTCAAAAACAACAAGAATGGGAGTGGTGCAGGAGCGGGAGTCATTCTGAATGGGAGCGGGATGGGAGTGGGAGTAATTTCACCAGGAGTGGGATGGGACAGGATTTAGATTTCTACTCTGGCCCGGGATCGGGACGGGACACCATTTTTTTCTGTGGGAGTGGGACGGGACAGGAGTGAAAATCCACTCCCGTGTCAGTCTCTACTCTCAACCCAACAATACCCCTGCTAAATCCACAGAGCTCATCCGTGCACTCAGCCCTGCCCCCGGGGGTCAGCGGCCATTTTAGTGCATTTTTACACATTTTAGACACATTTATTTTTTTTTTCTCTTGGGTTAAGTTTTTGCTTTTACTTTGAGATAAGTTTCACTTGAAGTTTATATTAACACTCTTTTTTTAACTTTTGGGTTTTAAATATTAATGACAGTGCTTCTTTTGGTTTCTCAATCAATACTTTTCATTGAATGTCCTTCTTTAGACGGATAACTGATCTCTTTTTTTGTTTCTCCCAGCTGTGCACAGTTGAGGAGAAAAAATGTTAAAAAAAATGTTTTCTCCAAAAACATAAGTTCAGTCTGCCTCTGTAACAGTGCTAAGCCACTGAACTCAGAACTACACGCCTGCCTTTTCCCATATCATACATCAAGAGTGTTTGGCTGAGGACACTGGAGTTTTGACAAAACCTGAAATGTTCAATTGATTACGATATTATTTAGTAATCTGTCAGCTTCAACCCAAGGATGTTTTTATTTTGTGTAGAGTCTTATAACTTTATGAAATGCTGCAGTATTACTGTGTTATTATGAATTGCAATGTTTGATTAAAAACTTCAGTAAAGGACAGTATCACTATTTTTTTAGGCTGCCCTTTGCAGGTACCAATCTTATGTCCAGTAATGTCACTGTAATTTCTACATTCTAACACTAATTTGAGGGTTTGTTAGCATCTGTTAATATTTGTGCTGTTCTTCTCATATTACTTTTTATTTTCCCTTCATGAAATTTAAAACTCAGCCTAAATGTTAAAAGAACAGGTATCTTATATTTAGTATTAGTGGATAGTAATGATTAGTAAATTCTACATCAGAAAAAGTAAATGATGTTCTTGAAACTGACTTATGAAAACTCATCTTAATCCCCCTCTCTGCAGGTGCTGTTTTATAAATAGACTTGTTAGTAGAGATTAAGATTTAGCTGTTCACTAAGATTCCAACCAGGCCCTTGCGTCCAGTTCCAGTATAGCTTTGATTGCAGCTTCAAATTAGACCTCAGGTTAAGCACTTGACTCGTAAATCTCCCTGCACCTTGGATATAAAGCAGTTAAAGTAAGGACACCTGAGCTTGCAGCTTTATGTTATGATTATTGCATTAGAGAGTATTGCATGATTGTTAATATCAGTAAGATTTTCAGTCTATCCAAGGAAGCTTCTTGGCCTGTTTACTATAGTTAGATTTTGACTTTTTATCCCTAGAAAATGTTTGCTGTCTTTTAAGCCTTAAATGTTCAGATTAGTGATCACTGATCAATCAGTCAAAAAACATCTCAATAATTTGCACTAATTAAAGTATTTCTTATTTATGTTCTGCTTTAAAAAATAGCTTATTTTATTATATAACCTAATTCTACAAACAGAACTATAATTAACCACTGGTCTTTAACCCTTTAATCTTTCCTGATCAATCGCTAACCTTGAACTCATAGGTTGCCCTGTAATGTGCATCTATCTTTGTTAGGGTTTATAACCGTTTTAAGATTGGTTTGTAAACGCATTATATTTAGTTAATTGTTCACCTGCATAGGTGTCAAAAATGCATTGACCCACATTTAAGTCAGATCTGAATAGAGCTTCATAAAACTGCAGATGAGTTAGAAAAGTAACCTCATGTGCAAACCTTAGCTAGAAAGATGGGGAAAAAAACTCTTCAATATAGAAGAAATTAATATTATGGCCAAAATGTGAAAAGTAAAAAAAATATATGCTTTCATAACAAATGTCAATAAATATCTAAATGTGGTTTGAATAGAGTTGGGGTTAATTAAATGGGTTAAAAAGAATGACTTTTAGCATTGGCATTGTCAGATCTGAGTGTTGTAGCAATCTGAACAATTGGATCAGATTTAAGTTTCATTGGTTTTTTTTAATAAAATCTAATCAGATTGATTTAAAATCAAATCAAAATGGTTGTGATTAGAAGTCTGCTATCAAACACTTAGCTTTTAGCTGCATTAGGTGATAAGGGTTTTTAAAACAATTCAGTCAAGTTTATTTTGGAATGGTGATAAAATGTATTTCTTTTGGCTTTAAACTTATAATTGTTAACAATTTGGGCCTCAGGATGATATATAGTCAACCTCCTAATTGCATTCAATAAAAAAACAAACAAAAAAGACACAACTTTGAGTGATAATCTCACAAAAAAATGTAAAAATATTACTTTTAGAGTTTTGGGGGGTTGCAAATATCATAAAATAAATCGGTTTCTTCATCTATATCTTATAGTGATTAGATGTACAGAATTATTGTTGATTTTAACCTCAGACTGACTGTAGCTCAACTACTTTTCATAGCATGTGTCGATGATTGACCCTCTCTAGATGTTTAAAAAAGTCACTTACAAAATTGCAGCTTAGTTTGCCGCCCTTTAATCTGTAACCATATTTGGACCTCTTCTCTCTATTTTCGAAATATTAGCGGGTAAAATTGTTTTACAACCACTGCATGCAACACGTTTTTGCCATTTTTTCCTATTTCTCATTATTTATTACAATTTTTACATCATTCACTAAACATATCACAATGTTGTTTATTTACAATTTTAACATTATTGGACTAGGCCTTTTTAATTCAGGTTTCTAGCTTTAAATAAAGCTAATATTGTTATTGTTTTGTTATTAGCAGATTTAAGAGGATCAAGAAACTAAAGCTTAGTTTAATTAGATAATGTAACAGTAGCTCTAAAAACTAAAAAAAAAAAAGGTTATGACCACATTCTAGTAACACAAAAATATATCCAATAGGAATCTGCTGGGTTTTTTTTTTTTTTTGTCTGCTTCATTCCCTGGTGTCTTCTAAGCCTTTCATCAGTGGGGTCTCTATCTCTTTTTTTCCTCACACACATTTAGCTCCCTCCAAAGCATCTGATATTTAAGGCATAAAAGATTGCTATTATATAACAGACTCTGTGAGTGAGTCAGAGCTGAGATCGGAGTGTTGACCTGTGACTGTTTGCTGTTATGTTGAAGAGTTACACGTAAAGTTTGATAATAGGACACAGCCTCCAAATCCCAGGGGAAATTTTCACATCTTTTCTCTCCCTTCCTGACAAAATGGTAAAAAGTTTTAACACCAGTCTGTTGGGGTTTTATAAAACCCAAATTAAGATGGAATTAGACTAGATCCCTGGGAGTCTGGAAACCGTGGTTAACTAGAATTGCAAAACCTTTGTAGATGCAGTTGTTGTGTAATAAAGGAGCAAAGTAAATGCAGCTGATTGGGGTTTTAAATCAGAGGATTGTGAGAGCCATCACGCATGGCAGGGTTTCAAGAGCCTTACATGGCTTTGGCACAGCTTGATGGTAAGCAGGGGAGCCATGCTAAAGGCCCTCGCTGTCTTGTGACACTGCTGTTAGCCCAGGATATTTTATCCAGAGTTCACATGCAAGGCAACATTTGCATTACAAGGGTTGAAATGCTTTCTGGCTGCATCAGCAGGAACATCCAACTAGATGCATCATCTCCTTATCCTCCATCATCCTCTATTTTTGCTGCTCCCATCCCTCCTCTAGATTTCAAGAGTCAGTGCCCAAGCCTTATTCAGCTCCCTCTTGCCAGACAAGCATTACTGTACAGAGACAACAGCCCCATCTGTGATTGATGAGCACCGTCTGATGCAGTCCCATACACTGAGACACACAAAGCCTTGAAGCTGAGGACTATCCAACACAAAAACAACACTGCTTGAATGATTAGACTCACAATCTGAGATGCATCCTAGGTGATCTGTAACTAAGGAAGGCGAATGTGGCACAAAGCCCTCTTAGAGAAGACGTACACATCAGCATCCCTGGGTGCATCTCCAGTACCCCTCCCCCCCTTTCCCCCCTGCACCCCTCCACTGCTTCACAGCCATAGAGAGCGAGGATGAACTCACCTTCTGTCCAGGATCAGAGGCACTTCGTCATAGATGAGTCCCGGCTGGAATTCTTCCTCAGTGAAGGTGAGCCCAGGCCGGCTGAGGGTGGACAGCAAGGCGAGGGAACAGATGAGGAGCGCGTGTGCAGCCATTGAGACAATGAGAGGAGACTGCTGCTGTTTGAGCACCGCTTCATAATCTGCTCTCCCAGCAAGCGCCTGAATCTCTGCTCCTCTGACTAGCAGCCGCCACAGCCAATCAGCGGCTCAACACAAGCCGACGTGTGTGCGTCACAGAACCCCTCGCTGCATCCATCCAACTTCCACCCCTCCGCTTCTTCTCCCTTTCTCACCCTACTGCCTCCTGTGTTATCCTCTCAGTCTGCTCTCCCTCCCACATCCTTTCGTGTTCTGCTCTCCTGTCCTCTTTCATACACACATAGCTGCAGGCAAGCCCTAAGTGTGGACAGCAGATAATTCCTTTTCATTAAAAATCTCATCATACCTCAGTTATGCAACAACAACAAAAAAACTCTTACTCTTGAGGCTAGAGACATGCACTTTTAAAATAATATAAGAATAATAATTTAAAGAAAAGAATCATCAGAGCAGGCTTGTACAAATGTTAACTGGAAAATCACCTGGCAATGTCAAGGTCAGGTTTAGTGGGAGCCGGATGAGCTGAGTGGGTGTTCACACGTCTTTAAGTGGCTGGAGGAGAAAAAAAGGAAAGAAACACAGAGCAATGACTGCATGACCTAGATCTCCAATGCGCTGCCACAGTGGCAAAACAATTCAGTTGATGTGTTTTTGTGAGCTCTAAAGGGGCCTGCGGCTAAGGAAATTGTCCAGTGAGGCTGCAAATATGGATGACAAAAGCAGCTGAGCAGCCGTAGGATAAGAAAAGAATGAGGGTCCAATCCTGACGACCCTTATGGCTGATCCTATTTTATGCTCATTATTCAGCCAGCCCCGGGATTTTGTTGTTAGCCTCTCATATCTGTTATTTTCAGATCTGATGACGTGGGGATTTTCAAAGCAGAGGGTTCAGTGTAGTTATATAAGCAAATGTTGAGGCATACTGGCATGGTAGATTGGCCACCATTGATGCATTTTAAAGAAAAGTGCAAAACTAGAAAAAAGATAAAAGTATTTAGGTAACCCTTTGTCATCAAAACATTGGGAAATTAATTGATGATTGAGTTGCACATCTGCACAATGTGGATATTAACAAATAGAAACACTTTTCTCAGGCCACTTCTAGGAAAAGTATTATATAGAAAAAAAGAAATTGTTCTATTTTTCTGAAATAACAACATAATTTTTACAAAAATAAACAATAAGGTTCTGTTTTCCTGAATTAAGTAGAAAATGCTGCCATGATTTCATAGTTGATGTTCCGTTACTGATGGTACGCAGATTTCTAAACAAGTCTCCTTTTCTTCAGTGAAGCTTCAACATGTCCCCTTTTGTTTTTGTTGTTTTATTTCATTTTACTTTCTTTTGGAACTGAGACACTGGGAAATGCTGCTGTTCAATGTGGTGAGGTGGAGTAACGGGAAATGTTGTTTTTTTTCCACGTTTAAAAGGAATTCCTGTGGCTTTGGTTCTTTTTGTTATCCTTTAAAGTCCATGACCTGGTGCTGTTCAGTCATTGCAGAATCTCACCTGGGTTGTGGATCTCTTCCAGACTTGCCATGGGCTTTTTGGCTGCTTCTTTGATTAATAATCACTCTTGTCCCATCCTGTGCAGTTTGCTGTTGTGGCATAATTCTTCCAGTTTTAGATCATGGTCTGAATAGCCCTCTATGTGATTTTTAAAACTTGGTATTGTTGCATAACCCAACAATGCTTCAGTGTTTTTCAGCAACTTTTGCCAAGATCTGTTCATTTTCCTTCATATTTCTTTTCAGTTTCATACCTAAAAAACATCTGAGACCTTCGGTGGACAGCTGTATGTACTAAGATGAAATTGAAAAGTGCTGCTGTCATCACAGCTTCACATTAAACACAGAGATGCACCGATCTTAAAACATCCTTCAATTTTGTAATGACTTTAGATTAAACAATTCCTTTAAATTGAAATGTTTCATAATAATTAGATTTTTTTTTCATTAGGCTGTATTATTATTACTAACATTGATGCAATGCAGAATTTATGAAGACTGGTAAACATATTAAAAGATCTTCCAATATATTTATTCACTTTTTTTTAACCAGTAACAGGTGACTTTTCTATTCTTTCTTATACTTGTTCTCTCTAAATTAGTAATATCTCTGTTTAATAATACCTTTGCTTTAACACATCTGAGTAAGGGTAATTTTGCCCCTCTTAAGAGACTTCCTGCTTTCCCTTCCATATTTTTAATATTATACTAGTTAAAAATCCTTTTGATGTTTTTAGACTTCAGATTAAAGTTGTTTTTAGGCTTCCAAATGACCTCAACGTGGCACCGTTGAAAGTTGAATGTTTAAACTGCAGTCTTAAAAAGCAGCTCTGCTCCATTGGTCAATTGCTTTCAATATACAGTAATTCAGAAATACTTTATTGAACCAAAAGGGATATTAAATGCTGTGACTCGTTTTGGGGGTGAGTCACTGTAGATAATGACTGTAGGCTAGGAGGAGCAACTCTGGAGAAGCTTCTGACTGATTGTCGTACAACAAGAGTGTCTCTCTTGAAGTTACAATGATACGAAGATCTACATGTACCAGAGGCCTGATGATTTTACTTTCACTTCTTTACGCAAAGGATATCCTGAGATGAATAACCATAAAAGTGGCTAGCAATTGTCAGATTATATATGTTGTTAAATTCAGCCAATTAGAAATGAACACCCATTCAGAAATATTGAAAAAGTCAATCCACCTTTCTGTTGCGCAGCTAGATATAGTGCAGGCTGTTACTTCACTCTATCTGTGCCTGATTCAGCCATGAATGAGTTTCATGATCATAGATCTTCTGAAACAAGGCTCTCTACTTCAAAAGGCCCGATTTCATGCTCATTTCACTCTGGTTCTCATGTACCTGTTGATCAAGTTCATGGTTCAGAGAAAGATACAAATAAAAAAATAAATCGGTAATGTTACCCTTACCTGGTGTTCTGATTGTCCTTTGATCAAATGTAAAACCACCTGCAGAATGAACCTTCTGAGCTGGGTCTAAAGCTGTGGGACGATATTTCTTAGAATATAAGGACGGCTGACACTGTAGATTTTTGTAATGAAATAAATCATGATTTACTTCCTTAAATGTCAGGGACCAGGAAACACACTGAAGCTACTATTAGTGAACACATCCAGTGGATACTGTGAATAAACACAGACATCCAGGTGGGATGCAGCAGCAACACATTAGGTCCTAAGATCATGTCAGTTTCTTGATAGGCTTTAACCTGCCCCATTCATCTATCCATTTCATAAGTTCTGCCCCTCTCTTGGTGAGTCACGCAGCATTTTAGATTATGAAACACATTGAACACACATAGCGGGGGGGGGGGGGGGGTGCTGCTCTCTATTTATAGGGAAGAGCTGATATCCAAGTTTTTAATCCAACTCTTTATGCCGACATGGATCACCAAGGCCTGCGACACTCAGAGTGATGTAACAGGTCTGTGTAGTCAAATCGCTCTGCATGATTGCTAATCTATCAGTCTGGTGTGAGCATTTGATCCCTACAGTGTTGCAGCTGCTACAGAATGATTCAGAAAGCTAACCTACATTCAACCGGATTCTCTGAGTGAGACACAAAAGACACGTCTTTTCTCATGTTTTTTATTGGCTTATATATTTGCTTTCTGTCACAATGAAGCCCATACATACCATCTTTGATTCAGGTGCCCTATTTGCTGTAATTTCAAACAAAACACAAAAAAATCTATATCCTTTAAGAAAGGGTAAAAAAAAAAAGAAAAAAAATATATATGAAGTAGCATCTCTAGAATTGTACCGGTATGTAATTTGGGACATTCTTCCTCAATAAATAAATGAAGATCCCAGGTTTTTAGGCAGCTGTATTTCATAGAAACCCAGACTTTGACTATTTATGTTTATTTAAACAAAACAATGCTCCATTTCATCTTAAAGATTATGTATTCACGTTTGATTTCCATGAGTTTAATACTTCAGCAAAAAAAAAAATTCTTATAAAAACTATCTATTAAATATAGAACACTCACATTTAGCAGCTAGCTGATTTATCTGCTGAGATCATATTTATTTAAGCGATGTATAATGAAGGATAATCTGTAAGCAATAAAACATTCTGAATGATTTTTTTATTTTATTTTTGATTTGTCTTTTGGTATGTACTTTTAAAGCCACGCTTTATGAGAATACTTCTACTAAACACAGATTGCTTCTTTAGAGCAGTATCCATTCATAAAAGTCTTCAGCACAATGTAGTTTTTTATTGTACTGGTGATTCTGAGCTGCTCTTCTCCTTTAAGATGACGGGATATTGTCATGTGATGCTGCATAAATAAATAAAAATTCCTCTTTACATGGTGATGAGCGTATTTGATTGGCTTAAAGCCTGTGAATGGCAGACATTTATGATTAGTATTCCTGTCACAACTATGCAGTTTCATTCAGCCCTTAGTTTATCATGACTAGCTGTGCCACACGAGGGAGCTCACATCTCACTGTGCAGCACACATCCTGTCTTGTCAATATAGGGCCTTTTAATTGCATGAGGCACACAGTAAACAAACAAAATTTAGAGAGACATTAAAGATCTAAAATAGGGCTTTGTTCTGATCTACTGTAGAAAACTTAAATATCACCTCAGACGTCAGCATATTTAGCTCTATCAGTAACAATAAATAATTTAAGAAATCAAGTACATTCAGCTCATACTAACTCATACTTCATCTTCTAATGTGATGACAAAATCTCACACCATTAGTTACAGTGCGTTATTTGATGCTAGATTCTGTTTTACAGTTTTAGATACAAAGCAGCAAGAGAACATATTGCTAACTAGTGATTGAGTTCACTAAGGTAGAGAGCCGTGTAAAAGCACCCATACAAGTTGAACCATTTTACATTTTGCCACATTTCCGTCAAACATTAATATACTTAAGATTCTAGTTGATAGACTTAGAAAAAGTGCATGGTTGAGAAATATAAGCTCTTTTCTAATAGAAATAAGAATCTAAAAAGTGTGCCATCTTTACTCTGACAGCTGCAAATAAGATTCAGTTCAGGCTAATGCCTTCAGGTAGTACCTAAATAGTGAATAAGTCTGATTCAAAGTCATTATATAGCTGATCTGTAAAGACCTTAGACTGTTTGTTGGGGAATAAAGAGCATCAGGCACACAATAAAGGTAAATTTGTGGAGAAGCCTACAGCTTAAACTTTTAACATAATAGTAATGATACAGTTGTTTAAAATTGTAATGAGGGTCTATGACAAACCCGCAATTAGTTTTCTTTTTTCCACTTTCATCTGTGAGATGTGGACTCTCATGCACTAAAATCATACATGTAGTGTGCATTAAAGCACCTTAGGGAGCCTGGAACAAGTCAGCTGTGGGGTTGGTAGGAAATAAAGTCAAGACTTGAAAATTTATGCTCACAGAGCTTGAACTGGTCTGCAAAAAAATTTAATAAAAAGAGATTGAAAATGTGAAGTTTTTTTAAAAGGCAAATAGGCTCAAGAAATATTTCTAAAAACCTGAACTGAAATTGCAGTAAAAGATCAATTAGCAAGGTTTTGTCAGCAGGGCTCCGACTTAGGGCTGCAACTAATGATTATTTTGCAAATCAAATAATCTGTTGATTATTTTTTCAATTAATCGATTAAAGACTAAATAACAAAAAGTTCCTATAAGAAGATTTTTTAACCAGTTGAAACTCAAATTTTTCTACTTGAGGAGTTCTGGATAGAGCAGACTGACAGTCTAAACACATTTTTATCTTAAATGCAAAATGTTTACACATTTTTTTATAATCTCTGTATCATTACTGCTCTAAGTGAGTCGATCTGTCAGGTAATCCATGTTTTAGAGTCTCTATACTCCAGTTAACGATTATTCGATTACTAAATTAGTTTACGATTATTTTAACAATGGATTATTCATGATTAATCTGATTGTTTCAGTCCTACTCTCAATACAAATGCAGACAACACTTCTGCTATTGTTTTTAATCTGGTAAAATAACAATAGCAAAATCTGTATCATTTCTCTTTCTCAAAACTATGCCCTGCTGTTGTTCCTCTATAACATCAAGTCCAAACAATATACTCTGAAGTTTATCGTTGTAATATGTCAGAATGTAAAAAAGTTTAAAGAGCATGAATACTTCTGCAAGGCACTGTAACTTGACTCTCCTTTTGAAAAACGTAAAATAGAATAAACACTAAAAAGTACATTCAGAATGGCTGATATGATACAAAAAGAAATGAAGCTGCTGATAGCCTTTACAAGTACATAACCTACATGCATGTCCTGATCAGACAGCTGTCAGAATTTTCACATAAAAAAAAAGAAATTCACACAGATTAATCCTTCTTGCCTAAGTCACTAAAGCTTTATAATAGCAAATTAAACAGACAGAGAGAGGCAAACATTTGTTCTCAGCTAATTCTCCGCACAGTGCTTTGTCACCATAATCACTTTAGAACACTAGCTTGACATTATTCTTGTTGTGTACATAATGTTACTTTCTGCAAGCAGCCCTGTTATTTTTACTCCTGCCTTATCTAAAATGAAATTATTCAAATAAAAAATAAAAAACTGGTAACAGCAAAAACACAAGTCTATTAGTGTATCAATATAGTCGAACTAGACAACAACTACCATGCCACATAGTTTTTATGTGTTTGGATACAGTTTACACTCCCAATTAATTTGATTGTCTCTAAACTAAACGTCATAGAGAGAGGTACCAGACTGTAATGAAGGACATTAAAACTTCGGGAGTACACAAATAAATATGTCTCTCTATATATAGTTATATAAATATAAACTCTAGGATATTCCAGAAACTACCAAGTTGGACAGTGATTGATTCGATGCAAGCAAATATATAAAACCAGCAGGGCTTTGCTGTTGTCCAGAATCAGCTTTATCCTCCCAAATGGCAGGAGAAGCCAACCATACTCTATCTTAGTCCCTAAAAGCATCTCTATCAGTATATAAAATGCGCATAAAAGAGAGAAGGCACAGAAACACAAACCCACCGCAGAGAGAGGTGGATGGAGAGCAGCAGCTTTTCTTTTTTCATAGGAGGGGATGAATGAAGCTGCAGCTCTGCAGATGAGTTGCTTGCAACTTGCGGGTCCAGTCTACAAAGTCTGTGAATGTTGCCATCTCATTTTAAGTCAGCTTTTGAGGCCTTTCCTTTGGTCCAACCAGTTTTTTGTTGTTTTTTTTTGTATCTATTTCTTGTCCTATAGTTTTCTTTGCCAGTGTTAAGCGTCACTTTCAGCCGATAACCCAACAAAAAGGGGTTTAACAGTCCTGAATGCACATCAGTAAACAAATCAGGCTTTGTGTTTGTGATCCACAGCATAACTACCCTTAATACAATAGATCAGTGCTGCTTACCATCATTTTGTCTGTCAGATCAAAATGAAGAAGGAAGCCACTTTATGCTACGAGTGAAATTATTTCTCAATCAACATCTTTTATTTCATCACTCCGGACTTTTCCTGTGTGGTTGCATTTGCGGTCTTTGTCAGGATAGGCCCAGTCTTCTCACCAGACGGCTTGACCAAAATGTTATTTCGCATCACAGCTTCCTTTAGACTTTTCTCTTCTTTAGCAGGGGCTCTGTCCTTGCTGGAGCTACGTTGTTGGACAGGCGTCGCTTTAACAGCACTATGAACTTTACCCTGGATCAGTCGGGGGTCCTCCCCTATGTTGACGGTTAGGTTGGTGTAGAGCGGCTCCAGCTCTTTGGAAAGCAGCTCGTAAGTCAACGAGTTGATGCCGTCAGAGTGCCAGTTGAGTCTTGCCTTTTTCAGGAGGTCGAATCTAGAATGACACACAGCACAATGTGTTTTTGTACTCTGTGGTTTTGGAATATAGTCTTGTCAAGTTTTGCTGACATTTATATTCAAAGCTTTCTTTGGCAGGACTTCCTCTATGTTTTGGTGTGCAGAATCCAATACTTCATAGGTTTTCTTTTTTTGGTTTAGTAAAGTCATTTGAAGTTTGTTTTCTGGTTTTGAAAATGTGCATAAGTATCCCTTTAGCACTTTGAGAAACCAAATTTTCTCTTCTCAGTCCACATTATGCATCATCTTCTGATCTATTTTCCAAACCATATCATTCTGAAGATTCCCAGTTCTGAAAGTTGACTGGCAGAGTTTTCAGTACAAATTAGTAGAGCAATTTTGAAGCTGTTTCAAAATCGTTTCTTTTTTCAACACACATTTCTTTCTTTCTTTTGGGACTTCAAGGTATAGTGGAGGATGTTCTTTTTCCTGGTGCATCATCAAAATAAGTGGTCCTCCTAATTGTTAATCATTCTGGTGATATGTTTATGTAAGGCCGTCCTATATGCTCGTCCCCAGTTTCACTTACCCCAGTTTCACTTACTTTCTTTTGGAAAGTAAGGTTGTATGAGCGATGCATGCAGCCACTTTTAAACAGAGCTTGGATGAGGAGAAATTGGCTCGTGCATGCTCCCGCGTGCATTTAATAGGCTTTCCCTCTCAGGAACGGATACAGGGCTGTGCATGTGCATTTATTTTTTCAAGATGAGAGGGCGGGCTTTTCCAAAAATTCGCGAAAATCCTCCACTATACCTTTAAGTACCACAATTGTGGCTAAACACAACTGATTTTGACCCACTGGACAAAGTAACATTTTTAGTTTTGAGCTATTAGTGAAAATATTCACCACATCTACCAGCTAATCTCAATAAATTAGAATAGTATAAAAAGTTGAGATATTTTGGTAACTAAGATTAGTAACTGAAAACATTTTATTATATATATTTATTACATGTTGTTCTGTTTATCTCTGTTAATTTATTTATTTATTTATTTTTTTGGTTTACAGCTAATAAAAAAAACTCACTAATCAGGGTTTTAGAACATATGGATTTAAATTTAAAGATTTTTTTCAAATGTATGCATAAATGTCAGCCTACTGCAAAATATTTCCACATTAAGTACTGTCCATACAACCAATATTTGATGAGGACTGCATTGAGATATTTAGCCTGGAGCTGGTTGCAAGAAGCTTGTGTTGCTTGAAAATGCAGTACTGCATATAAATACTTGCAAGTGGTATTTAGGTCAGGCCATCTTCCCCATGTACAGCTCCATGAACCATGATGTTTAAAACAGGTATAGGATCTTATGCCTATAGTCTCCACTGTTTGTAGCAAGACTGATGTTAAAAAAATAAATAGAAATATACTTAAACTGCATTACTTATTCATTTTTTAGGAAATATCCTAACCCTAGTGGAAGATACCTTTGAACATTAGACTGAATGTGTATCAATTATAGCTGCATTTTTGTTTTTTAAGTACCTGCGTGGATTTTGCTCATTGCCTTTGTCTCCTTTATGCTTGATCATCTTATAATGGCCGATAGCCACTGGAGGGCGCACAATCTTCATACCGGACAACCGCACTCTGTGTTGGCAGAAAATAACAAGAGTCAACAAGAGACAACAAATCCAGGTGTTAAATTTAAGGTTAAATATCTACTAATAACTTACTGCTCTTCACTATGGGACAATTAAGAAAACAAACACAAAAAACCCCCCCAGAAAAATGATAGCTAAACCCATTTTCCTTCTCTTGCTTGCTTACAGTATAACATGCTTTATTTATTTGGGTTTTCTGTTTTGCATTTGGTGCTTGTTAAAATGCACTAAGAATCATAAAGGAAGCCAGAGAGTGGAGTGGTGGGGTTCCAATGAAAGAAACGGGGTCTAAATATTTCTTCTAAACTCTAAAGAACCTCAATTCTAACAAATATACCCCATGCAAACATACTCACTGAGCTCATTCCAAGTGACATATAAAGAAAAGCGGCAGCAATGGAAAGAAATGAAGGTGAAAGATGACAGAGCACACAAATAAAAGGGCAGTAATGAAACTGTAAAAAAAAAAAAAAACAATGAATAGAGCAAAGCAAAATGAAAACGTAAGAGAGGTGGAAATGTTTGTGAATGTATTCTTTAGTCTTATCTCTCACCCACAATGCTCATGACAACATGCTCTATTTGCCTCTATCATCTGCTTCACCTGGCAGCGATGTCATCATCTTCTCCCCCCCAGCCCCAGTATTGGTTGGGGAAACCATTTATCTTCATATACTGATCTGGTGTTACTGCAGACACGCCACCGAAATACTGAGGGTATGGCAGCCTGAAAGAGCCACATCCCACTCAGCCAGGGCAATATGTTTCAAATGAATTCAACACGTGTATTAATCCAGGGTTCTCTTTTACCTGTATCTGAACTTGTCCATGGCCACAGACAGGTGTGTGGGAAATTGTTTGTGACAGGTGTAGGTGTTGTGGTCGTTCTCAGGCAACAAGTCGACATCATGAAGGAAAATGCAGCTCCAGTCTTCATCTTTAAGAGCTTCTCGCACGCCGACGTTAAGCAGCTTTGCTCGGTTAAAAGTGCTGTTCCCCCACTGAAGCCAGAAAAAAATTTCATGAAAAATCTTTTAATCTAAAAAGATACATTATAACAATATTACCAACAATAACAATAAAAGAGTGTTAACAATGCTTATATAACTACAACCCACACACTTTGTATAAAGCTGTCTGCAGTGCAGTCCAGAGTTATGGGAACCTTTCAAAACTAGTTCTAAAAAAAGAGTAAAAGTAGTTTTTTTTTTTTTCTTACTATTCAATTTTCTTTTTTTTTACCAGCATATCTAGGAATCTCTGTCTTACTAAGCTGCTAAAATATCCAATACAGTAAAGATGCTTTTCTCTGCTCTTTACAAATGTTGGATAATATGAAATAGCATGTTATCCAAGTCAAAGGGATGCATACTAATTCAGATAAATGCTAAAAGGTAAATTGACTTGTCCAGAGCCAGAGCAATATTTAAATGGTTTAGGAAAAGAATTAAGAAAAAATATCAACAATCAATCAATTTTGAATTTTCCATAAGGGTGCAGAACATATGAGCTCTCCACACTGTCTCCAATATATATGATATATATGACTCTAATGATGGCAGCCTTGCTCCTGTCAGTGACCCTATAATGTAGTTTGCTATCACCAGTGTGTTGATGTTTGTGTGAAAAGGTGAATGACAGAATGCAGTGTAAAGCTCTTTGGAATCCCTTCACATGAAAAGGTGCTACTTAAAGGTATAGTGGAGGATTCTCGCTCATTTTTTAAAAGACCCTCTCCCCTTTAAGAACAAAATGCACATGCACAACCCTGTACCCGTTCCCAAGATGGAATGCCTATTTGCATCACTCATACTGTCATCATCTGGCCTGTTTGCTCCTCCTTAATTAGTAATTCCTTTCACCTATCGTTTTCCCTCCCTGCCTCAGTTATAATTTATTCCTCTCACCTTTTTCCTCTTGGTTATATTCAGTTCAGCAAGAGCATTCAGGGCCAGATCATTATTTGTTTTCTGTCAGTCTGTCTGTTCAGTTTTATTTCATGGTTCATGTCCTGGATCCTGTCGGCCAGTGGAAAGAGGTTTTTTTGTTTGTCTCGTTTCCTGATCTTCCACTGTTCCTCCCCCACGGAGTCCTCTGGGTTTTTGGCTCTATATGTGGGGAGGTTCAGTTTTTATCTCAGTAAGCCTGGCTCCAGGGAGGAGACCAGTTAAAGGTCCTGCATCAAGTTCTGGTTCCACGTCCTGTCTCGGCTACCCTCTTCCACTGAGCCTGCTCAGCTGCACCTGATCCTGTCTGCTCCTGTGCGTGTCCACCTGGTCACGCTTTCGGACTCTGTCAGACTCCGAACCCTCCTGGGAGTTCTACGATGCCTGGAAGTCTGGATCCTGTCACCTGTTCTGTTTCTGCCTGATCTGGATCCTGTTCCTGTCTGTACCTGTCTGTTCTGGATCCCTGACCAGGATCGGCTTCCAGCATGTCCTCGGGGACTGCAGCACTTGGGGGACATTCTTGGACTGGACTGTTAAACCAGAATATCTGAGATTGGGCGGTGCCCCGCCCCCGTCCTGCAGTGCCACAGCTCCACTTAAGTTTTTTGTTTTACTTAATAAAAGTTTTGAACTTTCCTACTGGCTGTCTCTCCTTGAATACTGGGTCCATCTGTCCTCGGTTCATGACACATACAAGCTTACTTTCCAAAAGATTTTTCCACTATGTCAGTCTCACCACCAGTAAGTGACAACGGGGACGAGCACGTAGGAAGGCCGTATGTAAACATATCACCAGAATGATTGACAATTAGGAGGACCACTTTTTTTGATGATCCAACCAGAAAAAAGGACATACTCCACTATACCTTTAAGCAAAGGCCATTTACAACATTACACATTTAACTATGTTATAATGCTATTCTTTCATCAAACCCATGCTCAAATAGAAATATAGCTTGATTGATGCATGTCTGAGTAATCCTTGGGAAATCTCTCCCTCCCTATCCTGAGAAAAGAGTTACCATCCTCGTAGTAGAGCAGTGATTTACCAACCCTTCCAGGAAGCTCCTATGTTAACTGTGTTACACCACCCCAGTAAACCAAACACCCACTTCAGATCAGCAAGCGGGGATGTAAGGATTAGTGATCATTTGTCTTTAAAGTATAAAAAGCATCTCTTTTAGCACCTAATCTGCATAGTGATAAGAATTGTTCTTTCTTTATATGTCTAAGCTAGAAAAATTTGTTTTTCAATAACAAATAATTTTCAACTTTGTTAAGCAGAGCCTCATCCCCATAGGTGGTGTGTTACCGCGCTGCAGCATCTCTAGGATGACAAAGAAATGTGTGGCACTGGGGTGTAAGAGGAGACATTAAAGTGAAGTGTCTTTCTCCAGCTTGATAAAGTAGCACCAGAAAAGACCTAATTTTTTTTTATAACAAATGAATACTCCATAGTACCAAAATAGGGCTGCAACTAATGATCATTTTGTAAATCCGTTAATCTGTTGATTATTTTTTTGATTAATTGATTAATAATCGGATAGCAAAAGGTTCCTTAAAGAAGATTTTATAGAGAATTTAAACAAGGTCAAGCGAGTTCTGGATAGAGCATTTTAACAGATATATATTTTTTATTTTGAATGCAAGAGGTTGAAATATTTTTTACAGTTTTGGTTTTATTACTGCTCTTTGTGGGTTGCTCTTATAATTACTAGCCGTCTTTAGAGTCTCTCTGCTCCAGTTAACAATTAATTGATTATAAGTTAGGTTGTGATTAATTCAATGATAGTCGATCAATCATGATTAATCCGATTAACAGTTTCAGTCATATACCGAAGGCAGTATTTTATCATATACATCCCTATGGTTGAAATAGGAGAGCTTAACAAATGTATAATATAAAACATTTAAGGAACGGTATGAAAGCACAACACCTGACCTGTTGAACAATGTAGATGCTGTAGTGTATCTGCTGTCTTTGCAGGAAAGGGTGCAGGTGGTACAGCAAGGAGCGGAGGTGGCTTAGTCGGTTTCGAAACGGTACCACTATTGCTGTGTGGTGACGCGGTTCACAGTCTGGAGGCCGATAACGTCCGCCAGGTAACACTAAAGGGTTCCTCTGTCGGATCTCCTCCAAAGACAGGGGAGAGGAAAGATGGACAGATACTGGGCCAACTGAAAGACAGGAGAGGAAAAAAATAGAAACAACATCTTTAAATGTTTAACTATTAATTAAGCTAAACTGAATAAATTCAACACTCCTCTCTCACCCAGCAGGGGGGAGATAATGGGGCAGTCTCTCAACGGTTGTCCTGAAGCTGGAGGCCCAGCGCCAGAGTTCCGAGGTGGGGGAGGCGGTACTCCGAGGTGACTGAGGTTGGTGTAGACGTCATGAGGTCGAGAGTAATCAAACTCTGGCTCTGTGGTGTGCACCAGGACAGAAACCAGACCTCTGAAGCCCCCAAGGGAGAAATAGAGCACAAAGGCAAACTGAAAGCCTATCAGCAAGGCTAATGTGCACGGGGAATCCAGAGACCGCCCAAAGCAAGCCATGATGGAGAAGACTTTGCAAAAATAATTCCAGGTTGAGGAGGTAGATGGAAAGGGGAGAGGAGAGACTGAGGGAAAAGGAATAAAAAGCAGCTGAATACACAGGGTGGATGGGATGGAATGAGATGAGCGAGGAGAGAAAAGATAGCAAGGGAAGATGGAACTCCAGATTTCAGATTTCAGTGCCTCCGTACAGGAAGCAGGCATCGATCAGATGGAATGGGTAGAAGTAAAGGTGAAGCTCCGCCAGCTCTGGCATCAACTTCTGACCATAAATAACACTGCAAAAAAAATAGAAAAATAGGTAATTAGCCAAATTTATATTTCTATACTGTAATTATATTCAAATCTCTCAATGCAATTTGCACATTGTTAGTCTACTTAATTTCATGTCATCAAATCTGCCAGAAATGTAAATTTTACTAAAAAAAAGTAACATTTTTCTGACCAAACAAGAAATTCCCCCAAAACAGACAGTTGTAGAATTTTACAGAATCTCACAAAAGTGAGTATATTTGCCTAACTATTTGGTCATATTGTTTTATGAGTCAAAGCTGAAGATATGACAGTTTAATATATAATATGTAACAATTGAACTTTATTGATGTCACATTGGATAAATTTAACTCTTCATTTAACCCATCCCCTTAGGGAGCAGTGGGCTGCCATATCAGGGATTAAAGGTCTTGCTCAGATAGCCACAGTGGCAGTCTATGGGAGTGGGATTTGAATTCCCAACCTTAGGATTCCAAGTTCTATGCCCTAACCACTAGGCCGCCACTCGCCCCAGGGAAGGCAGTGGCCTACTTGTGAGTGCATAGAGCTTGGAATCCTGAGGTTCTGAATTCGAGGCCCACAGGTTGCCACTTAGGGTCCTTGAGCCAGACCCTTAACCCCAGACTGCTCCTGTGGCGCCGCACATTAGCTGGCAGCCTCATACAATGAAAAGTATGAACAGTGGACAGCTTCATAACCATATAAATTTATCTTCTTTCAAAACAACTCAACGCAAAATCATTAATATATAAACCTCTAGGAACAAATGTAAATACAATCCTAGATTAAAATGTCCAAAATGTGCACAATTAGCCGGTTTCCTTCTGTGTTAACACAAGGAGCAGATGTGTAAAATTTGTTATTAGACCCTCATACTGTATACTGGTTATTGAGAGTTCAACATGGCAAAGAACTCTCTGAGGATCTGAAAAGAGAATTGCTGCTTTGCGTACAGTATATAAAGGTGACCTCAGCTACAAAAACACCCTTTAACCAAGTTGTAGTTCAGTGGCCAGGAGCATACAGCAGTTTCTCTCAGAAAAAGCCTCTCCATAATCAGCCAAAGATGTTGAGTACACATGCTATGCATCATAAGCCCCTTTCACACATACAACCTTACAATTATTTAGTGGGTAAAACTGAACCAGCAATTTATTGGGTCAAGACCTAGCATCATATCCGGTAATGTATTACCAGGACTGCTCTAGTGTGAATGAAGGTGTTACATTACTGGGTAAGGCTCACATTTGCATGAAACCTTTGTAGTAACGTGGTGCCTAGCGGTCCTGACTTCCTACAAGCTGTTAACGTCTTCAACAACAACATCACTGACAATCCGGCTGGAAACATTTTATCAAACATGGATGTATTTTAATAATAACTAGAAACCTGGAAGTAAAATAAATCATCTCTGTCAGTGCAGACAGTGAAATAAAATGCGAGCTGTCAAGAACTATCGGGAACTCACTTATATATGACATAGAGTACACCGGGGAGAAAAAAATCAAGCAATTAATAAACTTAAAGGTTGATGGAAGAAGTACTGTAAATTTGAGTAAAGATGTGTAACGATACTCGAAGTGAGATAAAAAGGAGAAATAATTCCTCCACTGAGTGGCAGCCGATGAAGCTCTACTCTAGAGTTGGGTAGAGTACCCAAAAATTGTACTGAAGTGAGAGTCGCACTACTTTATATGTTTCCTCAAGTAAGTGAAAGTGAGGGAAAAGTAGCCATTCAAAAAACATGCTTAAGAGTAAAAGAATATTAGGAAAATAGGCTACTTAATTACTTAATGTACATAATGAACTTCCTGAAGAAGCATAGGTCCTTCTGCATTTGGAGCAAGATGCTACATATCATCTATAAGTTTAATGAGGATAGTGTTATCTCTTCTTCCATCCTCTGCTAAGTTAACAATATTAGAGCTAATAAATAAAAAAGCTCAACAAGCTAATTAAGAAGGCCAGTTTAATTATCCTAGAACCTCTGGAGTTTATTTCATAAAGAAGAATTCTTCATAAAGTGAAGAACATAATGGAGAACAGTGATTATCATCTTCAGAAAAAAAAAAACAACAACAACATAGTGTCTTCAGTCAGAGGCTATAAGGATCCGGTGACCACTGCAGAATATCCTTCCTGCTTACAGCTATCATCACCAACAACACCTGTGTTAAAAAATAACGCATGAGTTACTGCAATATTTAATTTCCCTTCGGGATTAATAAAGTATTTTTGAATTTAATTGAATTGGAATGATATCTGATTTTTAACATGATTTAATAAAGACACAAAAAAGTTAAGTTAGTAAGTGCTGTATACATTGTGGGCAGTCTAAGGCACACCTGTGCACTAATCAGTGTCTAATCAGCATCTTTATATGGCACACCTGTGAGGTGGGATGGGTTATCTCAGCAAAGGAGAAGCGCTCACTTTCACAGATTCAGACTAGTTTGTGAGCAATATTTGAGGTAAATGGTTATATTGTGTATGTGGAAGAAGTTTTAGATCTTTGAGTTCATCTGAAGGGGGCAAAGCCAAAAGTGTTGCATTATATTTTTTGTTGAATGTATCTCCAGTGTTGTCCCATGAAAAGATATATGTTTTTTACAATAATGTGAGGGAGTTTATCACTTTTAAAAGATACTAAACATATGTTTAAACACAGCATACATAGGAAACCCTCTCACAGGGAATCCCAAATTAATTAGTTCAAACAGAAAATAAAAAGATGTATTGCTGATAAAAGATGTATTAATTTAATAGATATATCAATAAAAAAAATAAAAAAAAAGACGAATGATTCAAATGATGAATGAGCAGACCACAGCGGACTTCAGTCTAAACTTTGCAAAAATGTAATCTTGAAGCAGAAAAGTCACATTTTTTAGAATTATTTTTTGGTTAATCTATGATACAAATAAACCTGGATTTTAGAGGCTAATCGATCTAATAGATATATCTATTTGTTAATTTTTAAACCTACCGTGGCTCAGAATTGATCTGCTTTAGCTTTGTTTTTCTCCCACACAGATAAAACCATTATCTTTTCACATTTCTCTCAAATAGGAAGAACTTCTGGATCAGTGTTTAGATGTTCATTTCTGTGGTATACCCCATTTTCTCAAACCCCCAGTCAGTCAGAGTAAATGGCTCTGCACACCGAGCCTAGTTCGGCTACAGTATAGAATTCTTGTTGTAAAAGCTGAGTTTGTAAGAGCTGAGTTTTCAGCGTAGGTACCAGCTAACGTTCTTATCTGCCGCATAGGAGCTATATGTTTACCCACAATACTTTGCGTGACAGGATGTATAGGCACAGCTCACCTCACAAAGTTTAACAAAGTTTGACATGTACTTGACGTGTCCCGATAACTGGCAGTGCAGTATCGTCTGATACCGATACCATACTGATACCATCTATTTGAAATTGATGTGTGTGTATATATATATATATATATATATATATATATATATATATATATATATGAAGAACTGGATACTACTTGGATGTAAAATAATTGCCATCATGGCTTTGTCAAGCTTCTGGCTACCTTTGTGGGGCAGAAAAAAAGACTAATACAAAGTGGATCCAGTAGAACTTTTTATTGCCTACCTCGAATGGGTAACAATAGTTGAATTAACTTTTGGCTCTCAAAATGGTGTCGGTGCCTTATTTTTTGGTACTTGCCGATACTGATACCACCATTTTAGTGCAGTATCCGCGCCCTGCCCAATACTGGTATTGGTATCGGTGCAAAAACTAGCACTAAGTGAGAGACATGTATGAATGTAGTTCTTTTCTTACATACTATAGAGTTCTTACCGTTGACTCCATGAAAGGTGAAAGAACAGGAGATAGGAGGTACAATTAACACAATTTGGATGGAGGTAAGGAGAATGCATCCTTTGTGGTTATAAATGTCTTTCATTAGTTCAAATAGCAAGCTATAAGTGAATGCATTGTTTGATAACTAAAATTTATTGGAATTTACACATTGTACTATGTATGATTCTACTGAATTTACTTTTTTGAGAGTGCCTAAAAAGAGCATCTGCTGTGAATTTCCTTTATTTAAACAAACTGAGGAGAATTGTTTTAAAGTGAACGCATTATGATTATATCCCTAATCCTCAACTCTCTGTTCAATTATTTCTAATTTACCTGCCAGCTTCCTACGACACCCATCACTGTTTGGTTCCCAATAAAATCATGCAACTGTATTCTCTGCTTGCTTCTCTTGAGTGTGAATGTAAATATTACAATTATTTTCTTCACATTTAGAATTAGTATATAATTAAGAAACTCTTATGAAAAAAAAAGTACAGAATTTACTCAAGTGTCTTATACAAGTCCTTCAGGAGGACGGGGTAAAGCAACTTTTTGTGCAGGTTTTCTCTGTTATCTGGTCCTTGTGGCAGATGCTTACTTCTCTGTTGGCAGCAGAACCTACAAATCTTTCCAACTATAGAGTCTGGATCAACTGTCCAGACATGGTTCCAAGTAGCTGGCTTATACCAGACAGATTCAAAAACCCTCTGATGCCCTCAAAATACAAAGAAGACAGTTAACTTGGCCAAGTACAATCAAATGTTTGTCCAAGGTTCATTAAATTAGGTCCTGGTCATAAAATGAGTAAGATCTTTGATTAAAGGCTTATGACAGCGCACAGAGAGGCATTAAGGTATGTTTCAACAATGACATGAAGCACAGAGGAGGATTAGAGATCTTTAGGTTTTTTTTAAATCACCTTGACAGGAATTGGCAGAGAGGAGCGGAAAATAGTTCTGAAGAACTGTGGAATCTGTAAATCTGCCAGGGCCCAGACCTGACTTCTTTTCACAAATTTTTTTATTTATTTATTTATTTATTTTTAAGAAAGGGACAACAACACAAGTCATACATAGACAGTTTTAAATCTGCTACCCCTTCACCTTTCCAGACTATTGGGGATGTTTCCAAAGGGTAATTCTATGATTTCAGCCAATGGATTAGCTTCAAGATGCAGTTGGTTGCAATAACTTTGTTAGAAATATTGTCACTTTAAAGTCACTTTAACTGGCATGACAGGTGATTTAAGTTTTCACTCTAGCTTCAGCAATGGATGCATTATCTCTAGTAAGAAGTTTTTTCAGAAATAGCGTATCCCAAAAAGTGCAGAAGTATATGAAGCAGTTTTATTGTTTCCTCCACCAAGTAGGTTATGTTTTTAGTTGAGTTTGTGTGTGGGGGTCTTCGTTTTTCTGTCTGTCCATCTGTGTTCAGGATAACTTCAAAGTTATGAACAGATTTTGATAATTTTTTTTTTTTTTTACTCTCAGTTCAAGGAACAATCCATTACATTTTGGTGATGATCCACATCATAATTCGGATGCAGGATTTTTTTTTTTATATTCTTTAACATTATTTGGAGGAACAAGCAGTTCTCTCTAAACTAGAAAGTGGCAGCAGTGACTATTGACTTGTAGCATTTGACTCAAAAAAGTCTAGAAGTATTGCTGATGAAGGTTCTCAGTCATCCAGGTCATAGTCATTCCGTAAAAATTCAAAAAATATCCACTGGACTTGGTTTTCAAGATTTGAAGACGTTTCGCCACCTCTCCAGGAAGCTTTCTCAATTCAAATGTCTGGATCCGCAGTGAGTTTGAGTCTTATATAGACAACGCCTTGTATCGCTTGGAAACATGCAATAGAAACCGATGAATGGGTCGTTAGTTAGTAGAGTCTAGAAGTATTATACTGAAGTTAAAAACATATAACAGATGAGCCGTGCCTCGCTTAAAGTCTTGATTTGCTGATCAAACATAAAGCAGAGTGCAGAATGAATGAAAACGGTGAGAGCAGAACAAGAATCAGAGACTGCAGACACACGCTGTTTCTTATTACCTTGTTCCTTATTTCAGAGTGCTTTTCGAGTGTAATATTCATATTTTGAAAGACTTAAATTTGTGTTTAAACAAACTCCAAGCTATAATCATAAAACTTAATCAAATTATGACGATTCTTTACAGACTTGTCTGTAATAATTATCCATCCATCCATCCATTATCTGACACACTTGTCCCAATTGGGGTCATGAGGGGTGCTGGTGCCTATCTCCAGCAGTCAATGGGCGAGATCTGTAATACTTATTTATAAGATATTAGTTTTACATTTTTAATTGCACTATTAAAATAAAATGGTAGTATTTTACATTACTGTATGGATATCACAAATTTTATGTTTTAAAGACACGACTGAGTTCATCTTTCTACCACCTGGTCTTTCTGTCCGTCCCTTTCATCAGTGAGTTGTTTACCTTTCCAACAAACATGTGATGTGCTCACATGTTTTACAGTGAACTCTTGCAAAACTGCCTGAAGAGGAGAATGAATTCCCCAAAGCTCTGTTGGATAAAGATTTTAGGCATGTTTCTCTCTTCTCCAGAATAGATTGCTTCCTCCACTCCTCCTTCATTTCCCATTCCATCTATTGCCATCCCCGAACAGAAACCTAATCTTCCTTTAGATCAACTTAAAAAGCTGATTTTTGACTTCAGGGGCAGGTCTTCTGACATCATCCGTTGTACTTGTGAAGTTTTTTTTTAATTAGTTGGTATTAAGAGCTGAGAACTTACAGACCCAGATTTAAGTTTGTGTGTTTTAGTACTTGGTTTATATGTTTCTCAGACATTCCTGCCACATTATGAATTAGCATAATTCTGTAATATTTGTATGTTTTATCTAATGTTGCAGTTTCCAAATTCTTTTGCTTTGGTGATTACCAACACATAAAGTCTAAAGTTCTCAAAGGCGAACAAAACAACTTCAATCCTTTTCCAGCCTTTAAGATTGCCTTTTTGTTCTCAACAGCATCCAGGGAAGAAGTCAGTAATCCATGATTCTATAACAAATCTAAGTTGCAACTTATACCAAAAACAAATTGTTACAAAATTAAATCATGGAGGCAACTTCTGGTCAAACGTAATTGAAGTCATATTAAATGGATGATTTTGAAAAAAAAGAACATCTGTGTTCTGAACATCAATTATAATTTCATTACATCCTTTGTAATTTCATTCAGTTAATTAATCGTGCACTCAATCTATCCCTTATTATCTCCACCAAGGAGGTTATGCTTGTATTACCATTGGTTTATCCGTTTTCAAAATAACTAAAAAAAGTTCTGGACGTTTTTCCTGATATTTCCAGAGAAGCTGCATATTATCACTGGCAACAATGATTACATTTTGGTGATGATCCGGATCACTATCCTGATCCAGGAATTTATTGAAAGATTCTATTAATACAGGTATTAACTTCTGTCAGGGGGAAACAAGCAACTTGTTGGAGGTCTACCCTCAATGAGTGCTTTTCTAGTTATTTATTGATTTCTTTAAACATTCTGACCAAGGCTTCAATGACTATAATGATAATTTCTTAAAATGAATTAAAAAATGAATAAATCAAAAATTTTCTTATTTTAAAGCTTTTGAATTAAGTTTAGTCTAATTCTACAACTTTTAAACCGCTGAATCTTTTAATACTATTCTTATAATCAACTCAGGTCTGACTGTTCAGGACAATGGACAGTTCAGCCTGTAGCTCATGTTCAAAGTAATGTGCAGTATTGCTAATGTTCACTGTGTGTTGTAGACCCAAATTTACACTGCATATCTCCACCCTGCTTATTTACACTGTGTCCACTCGAATGCAGAGTGAAACACAAGAGGGGCAAAAAATGTATTCTATGGAATTTAAAACAGTTAAAACTGGTTAATTTTCTGTTTCTTGGATTCGGGTGTTTACACTAGTTATTTTTTTTGCTTCAATGTTTATGAACAATGATTACAAGGAGGCTATATCTGTTGCTTATTTAGTACTTTTGATATCACATGTTTTGATTAAGTTCACATACATGAATCAGTAATTGATAGAATGTGTGCAAATAAAAAAATAGTCTTCCTTTCGTGGATTGTTTTTTGAAATGATGATGTTGGGATCATTCTGATGGTTACAGCTTCTTCAAATGTAAAATTTCTGAGTGGAGTTTTGCCAGATGACCATTCATACACCAGCCCATCACACTGAGCTCATTGATTATAATGAGTGTGTATTTACTGTGTAGTTCACAGTTAAGTGGACGAGAGTGGAGCTGGATACAGTATAAATTGTTGGTAAGGCTTAGTAACACCTATTTTTTTTATTATTTAGAAAGTAAATCTAGCATATTCTGATTAACATAGAAAGGAAATGAGAATGTGTGCAATGGATAAAACATGCAAACTGATCCAGTTCCAACCTTTTTTAGAATAAGTTTGTTGCAAGTGCTACCTGTAGTTTGAGAGAGGCTGTAAAGGAAAGATTTCTGCCTCATTATGTAAAAGAGGAGGGAGTGGTCTTAAGGGGACAACATTTTTCAGTTGTTTGGTTAGATTGCAGAGAATCTACATGCTACTGGGCCCGCCACCGTATCAACAAACTTTATTCAAACTACATATGTTTATGGATCTTTGTGTGATTTGTGATAGTTTGACACAAAGAAGTCTATAATTTTGAATTATAAGTTGAAATTATACATCCTTCTGTTAGTAATCTGAAACTTGTGTGGTTCATTTTCAATCAGATAGTTTCTGATATCGGATACTTTGTTAGACCAACATAGTCAGTCTGATTACTTTGATAAGATACTTACAACTAAATAAGGTGGAATTTCACAGAGCATACTCTACAATCATTAAGAAAAAAAAGGGAAAGAAAGACAAGGGCAGCAGTAACTGTAAACATTGACAATATACAGTAATTTGGGTGGAACTGCAGAATATTGTATATAATTACTTTCACACAGGATAAATATTAATCCTGAACGCCACAAATCAAAGTTGAAAGAAGAGCGCCAGGAAAGGAGTCCTTAGCAAGAGGATTTTATTTCTCAAAGTAAAAAAGAGCAGCTAATCAAAGTTAATGGAATGGAGGAAGCTAAATGCTGTTTAGATAGAACAAACAGACTATGGCAGAGGTTCATGTTCCAGCAAAAAGACAACAAAACCTTTTCCTATATATAAATGTTTATATCAAAGCAAATCCATGTGGTATAATAACAACGGCACTTAGCTGATTATCCTTAGTAAATAAGTAATTAACAAGCTTTCATTCCATCTCTCATTTTCGCAGGATCTAAAAAAGTTATTAAAATCTGTACTTGTCATTAACACTTAAAATGAGGACAAATTAAATCAGCAAATAGAGAAGCAACACACGTGCGACAGTGTGAAAGTAAATATGCCCAGACAAGCTTTGGCAAATGCATGTCATGTTTTTTTCTTTATAAACAATCCTTTTCAGCTGTGCCATTTCTGTGGCTTATGCATCTACAGCTAATTGAAGTCTGCAAATCAAATTAAAATTTTATATCAGAGCTTGTATAACCTAGTCAACTATTGATATATGTTTGCTGAAATAATATGTTTGTGAGAGATGCCCCCTCCAGCCCCCATCCCCCCCCCCCCCCCCCCCCCCCCCCCCCCCCCCCATCCAGGTGATTAACCATCGCTTGTCCTTTGTAGGCACTCGTATGTGCTTTACTTGAATCTATGTAAATAAACCATACCAGTATGAAATATTATCAGTCAGCAACCTATTTTATTTCCCCCATACTGAAGGATGATTACCTTATAAATTACTGGTTGCACCATTAGAGGCTTCATCCATGTTTTGCAGTTCAATCGGACTCACCAGTACATTTCTGCGACATGTCAAATCCAGCCCCCGGCTTCTCCCGACAACCCGCAGGCCGCTGCCATAAAGCGCGCTACCACCCTCAGATCTTATTCTCACAAACGCTGCGAACGCGTCCTCTCTATTATTCCTCCACTGAGAAGAAATCACCGACTTTGCTTTTCCGAAACCTTCACAGGAGCTTTCATTTGCAAGGGCATCGCTGGACATCCGTCCACTTGACAGTGCAGGCGCGCGCCGCTCTCCTCAACCTCAACTAAACGCGTCTGATGGAGCCCAGGCGCGCCGCGGTGACGCACTGAGCGCCACATTTAAACATGGGACTGGATTATATGACTCTTCTTTGAAAATAAGACTTTATTGATGCTGGTATTAGATGTAAATCTGGCATAAAATTTCCTATGGAAGGTAAGAGAAAAGTATCATTGTGACAGACAGTTCAATAAATGAACAGAGACCATATAATCTGACTAATTTACAGGTCAGTGCTCAAGCATTAACTCATTGTCTTAAAATGTCTTTCTTTTTTTACAAAGTTAAATTTCATTCATCACGTGTTTTCCATTTTTATTGTTTTTTTCTTTTGACACACCATTTAACCCAGGGTCTGCTGAGGGGTTTTCCTCACTGAATGCAGCAGGCTAAGAAATGTCTTTATTCACATGCAGCAGTAGGTTGTCAGATTACAGAATAGACAGTACATAATACTTAAAGCTAAGGTTGTTGAACATAGGCTTAATCATTGTAAACAAGCTACATTGCAAGCCCCTCCATCCCCCAATACTGTACCCTGAAGCAAATAAAGCAAATAATAAAATCTGTGCAAAACAATGCGTTGTAACTACTACTGTTAGTTATGCTTTGTGAACACACTATCTTTCTTGTTTTAAAGCAAAGTGGGTGTTTGAGAATGGGACAGACTTGGACTATATTTAATAAAAGGCACAGAATTAACTCAGTAATACATTTGTATTAAATATTTCAGCTCCTACAATGTGCAGTAAACTTATTCACTTTTAAATTTTTACTGTTTATAAGTGTAAAATTACTCAATTTTGTTAGGTCAATATTACAGAGTTCATGACCAGTATACAGTAAATCTGTGAAATCAGTAAAAAGGGAACAATGTGATTTTTGTTTTTAAATAGGCACAAAGAGGAAGGCATTAAGCACCTTTTTATATATAAAAACATTCAAAAATGCATTGCTTTTCAAAGTTTTACTAATATTCCTTACCAAATAAAATAACAGAAGGACCTAAGTCACAATAACAACTACTGTGAAGAAAATGTACTGAAATGTTTCACATGTTTTCAGCACTCTTTACACTGACTTAGATGGAAAATACCTTTCATAAACCACAATCTAAAATTGCAAAACCAGATGCAGTTTTGCACAGATTATGCCATCTACCTATTTCAAGTTCTGGGATTATGCATTTCACTTTGCTTTCTTCTCCACCGGTTTATTACCCATCTCCATTGCTCGATTTCATCACAAAAGTAAACAGCTATAAAGTCAATAATCTCAGACATAAACTCCTTTCATTTCATCTCAAGTTTTAGACATTAGTTGATTCTTTTCCTCCTATTCTCTTTCTCATAACACATCCCCCTCATTGTTTCGCCGATCATCTCTGTTGGTTTTATTTCTTGTAATTTCCAAACTGAATGGCAAACCGGTCGTTGACACAGCGGAACGTTGCTGGCTGCACTTCCCAGTAGTTTACAGGGTTGTCAAACAGGCTGATGCCATTATAGTAGGTCCTCTTCATTCCGAATCCTCTGGGACAGAAGTCATCCACGCCCACCTGACGTATGTTGTTGGAATGGAGGTACACCACCTTAAAACAAGACAATTAATTAGCATCGAATGAGCAAACTATAGAAATAAATGAAATCGTTCAGGCTAACCTGTAGGTACTTCAAGCTGGCGAGGCCTTGGGGTACACTTGTGAGGCGGTTGTTGTCCAGGTGCAGCTCCCTCAGCATAGGCAAAAAGGACAAACTGCCCTTCTCTATGTTGCGAATGTGATTAAAACCAAGACCCAATCTAGAAGAAGAAAGAAAAGGAAAAAAGTTGTAAATGTAGAAAATGTTTAGCAAATTACAATCTTCAAACCCCCCACTGTTTACCTCTGATCATTACAAAAAGTGCAACCAAAAGAGGTGGCCTTAGACGTGGGCACAGAAAAGAATTTAAGCATTAAAGTTGGTAGCCCACTGTAATATTATAGTAGCCTGTTTTTGTATGACCTTACACAATTTGAGGTGATTGTGTTTAGGTACATATGTGTACGTGGCCAAGTGTTTGTTAGCTTTTGGAGACAGTGTAAGGCCAATTTCTCAGGTATTTGCTACATTGGAGGTACTTATAGGGACTCAGGATGTTGCCTGGTCTGGGCATTAGCCCTGAGTTATTCTGATCAATCCCCAGTTCTTTTTTCACTTGGGAAATAAGAAATTACCTGAGCCACCCTATGATATTAAATTATGTGAAGTTTTGTAATTTTTGTAACCTGGAGGTGTATGGTAATTATTATTTTGAGTTTGGCAAGAATGGTAAAAGGACAGTCATCTACAGCACCTAACAGCATCAAGAGGCAGCTAGACCTATCCCCAGAAGGCCACAGAAGTCCCATGCTGCCAGTCACAAAGCATTATCCTGGGGAAGCCATACGCCCGGCACAGAGGTGGATCTCCACAGCAGTGACAGCGCTCAGGACAAATAGGCACAGAATGACTGCACATCAGGTAACTGATCTACAAAGTGATCCAGTGCCCGCATTGGCCAATTCTAGACCACCCTACAGTATGTCAAACAGGGGGAGCCCCTACTGGGCCCCCACCCAGCCATTTGCTCACTAAGGCTACTGAATTCCAGTATCAAGGTAGGAGGGGCATTGAGTAAACCCTGATTGGGACCGTCCCCAAGAGGTCTCCCAACCATAGCCAAGCACATCCTGCAGCCCTCAGCCACCTTAGCACACCTCAGGGGTAGCTAACCACAACGGGATGTGGCCGGATCACCCAAAACCACCACCATCATTCACCACCACCCACAAGGAAGCACACACTCTCACACACACTCTTGTCTTGTTATATGTAGTGAGGACCATGGGCTAACTACCGTTGACTTCCATTTTGAACCCTTTCTAGGCCCTAACCTTAAAAATAACAATAAAAATAATCATTACGAGTGCATACCTCTCACTAACACAATTTAAACCTAAACATTAGCAAAATAGCTTGGAAGAACCGGCCAAAATGTCCTTGCTTTGTAAAAAATGTATATACTCCATAGGTTAACACTGAAACCGGTCCTCACTCTTACTTTTAAACAGGAGCACCCACACACACAGACAGACAGACTGTGGGTGTGTCTGTGGTGATGTGAAGTGTTGTGATGTGTGAAGATGTGCATGTCTGAAATGTATTAAAACTGTTGCTGCTGCGTACATAGCCCTACTGCTTCTGCACAGCCGAGTCTCTTCTCCTCCAAACCCAAACAACAAAATATATCAAGTATATTTGTAATATCTAAAGTCTCTACCAGTTCACATGTCCTGATAAAACACAACTACTTAGTTAATTACATAATTAAAGCTCTTGAACATCATCTCATTTTAGAGCGCTAAGTTATAAAGAATGCACCAACCACTAATGGCTTCCATACTGTGAGGAGAGGCAGACACTGTTAGATGTGTTGTATGGTTTGTTTAGCTAAATAAAATAAGTGTCTTCATAATAAAAGCATCCCAGTTAACAAAGCATCAAAGAAGCTGTAGATCATGGTTTATATTTAATTATTCTTTAATCCCTTGTCTTCCTTATCTTTATTAGTGCTTCTCTTTGAAGAATCATGTGAGGCCACTGTGTTTGTATTTGAAGGCTTAGCCTTTAATGAATGCAGCTCTACTGACTACAGCATTTTTGGGATACTTTCAGTATCTGTTTACAGCCCTTTGAAACGTATTCTTGTGAAATGGAGGGGAAAATTATCCATTATTTCCAAATCGTTTTTTTACAAATAGAAATCTGAAAATTGTGATATGCATTTGCATTAGTTTGTATTTTTATGTTTATGCATTTGACAGAGGCTGTTACCCAAAGGGATAACAATAAGCTATAGATTTCTAAGTCTATATGTTTTTTTGCTTAGAATTTTTAACACATTAATATGCTTCATTGAAATAAGTAATAAGTAAATAAGGTGATCTTATATATCTAAAGGATGCATTTTATCTTGTATGTTTGTGATATTTGTCTTGCTTTTACACATCAGTCACAGGCTTTGGCATCATTTAAGAACTTCACTTTCAGGATTACCATGTTTTCAATGCCATGTGCCTTCTATGTTCAGCTTTTCGTGACAACTAAAATCAACCACATTATATTGAATAGAATAGGTGCAAAAAAAATGAAAGATTAAAAGACAAGGAAACAGGTTATCTTGTATTCCATAATAAACTCAAAGCAATTAGCAATGAAGCACCTTCAATCTTTTTTGATTATGCTGTTTGTTCTAAAAATAAACTTTGAGACCTTCCCAGAGCACTTTTATTTTTCAATAATTAAATTACACAGAGTTAAATTCTTTTAGGTTAATATTTAGATTTTGAAAGCAATTGGCACAATATAGTTTCACTGGAAGTATCAGAGTTTAAGGGAATAGGTAAAAAAGCATGACAGACTTTTCAGATTTCTCTTTGTAAAACATTTTGTTAATCATCATCATTTACCTAACAATCATACATTAATTTTCATCACAAAGCATCAATTAGGGGCTGAGCTCAGTATTGTTCTGAAAATCAGTTTTGTGTCAGTGTTGTATGCAAACTATCAACTTTCTAAAGCCCCTGTCACACCTTGACGTTTTAGCCAGCGTATGCCTGACATACGAGAAATCTGGTAAAAAACTCTGAGATACGTTGGATACGTTTTGGGTCAGTTCTGTATAAGTTATGAGTACTCTGAAGCACGCTTAAACACGTTGACAAACCGCAACGTGTTTAAGTCGAGAAATTAAATTTCTTGAAATATGCCAGCATATGCTCATACGTGGTGCATAAGTTACAGGTAAGTTATCCGATTGTTGACATACGTTAAGTGTGAGTTACTCATATGTCATGGTGTCTAGCTTATCCAAAACCTATGGGTAACTTGTGCATAACTTATGCGGAATTTATCAAGAACTTATCTTTAACGCATGTCAACGTATCTGACGTGTTCCAGACGACCGCTGAACACGTTTCTAAATTGCAGCTAATGTATAATGGTATACTGGAAGTGTTTTGGTGTAAAAGGGGGATCACAGGAGGAGACTGTCAGTACTCCTCCAGACTGAAATCCCCAGCATAGGGTGAGCGAGAAGGTGAGAGTGATAGATCCTCCCTGCGTTCACGCGCAAGACCAACAAACTTCCTAGTAGGTATGATGCTGAATCTGCTGAGACTGCAAACCCTCTTTCTTTCTTTTTTCCTTTTATTTATTTATTCTTTTTTTTAGGGTGGTAAACAGCAGCTAGGTTAATACCGCAATCAAGGAAATCTTTTTATGCAGGCCGGGCGCATTGCTGCCCCCCTCATGACAATGTCTTCTGATATGTCATAGGCTGTCATAGTTAGAAATATGCTGTGGACTCATTATGAATACTCTATGCATACACCCAAAATTGAAAAATCACATAAAAAGTTCAGCATATGGCAGCGTTTTAGAAGATTCTGGGACGTTGGGCATACGCTGGCTAAATTGTCAAGGTGTGACAGGGGCTTAAACAAGTTCAGCTTTACCATATCAAAGCACATGGAAATCAGCAAATAGAGTGAGCATGACTTTTACCTAAAACGGTAAAATGCTCATTCAAAACATATATTTTTAGTTAATGCATATGCATTAAAAAAAAGTTGAATGAAAATTGTATTATTCCTTAGATAACTAGTGTCACAAATTAGCTTCATGTATGCAATGTTGGAATTAATAAACTCTATTTAATCTAACATCTGATTTACAGCAAAAACACAAATGATAACATTTCTTGTACATTCCGGTGTATATTTAGGCATTAAGGGGTTAAGGTGGCTTAAGAAATAAACACTGTAAATTACCAACAGTATGGTGTGTTTACCTGTTAAGATTTTTGTAGCGGCTCAGGTCCTCCAGTTCCACTGCCTGGATCTGATTGTGGTCCAGATAAAGCTCATGAAGGCTCTCTGGAAGATCTAAAAGTTGCACATAAATATGTCTGAGTATTTACTGTACGGTGGAATACCAATAATTATTTTATGCAGTTTGAACATTTTTTTCGGAAATACAAAAAATTTTTCACCAGTGTTTGATTTTGTGATTTTGTTCATTGAATGATATAATAGCATTTAAACAGCATTCTATTATTTTTACACACTCCAATGAGCAAAATATTTCACGTCGTCATATAATATGTAATGCTGTAATAAAATTTCAGACTTGGAAATGTCACACCTGAGTTGAACACATTTAAGCAGGAAAACAAGTGGGATTCACTAATTTGGTACAAAGTTCTAGTAGCATGTAATGTCATTGATATCTGTCTTATTTGTGTTATGAACTGCACTGTTATAATACTTCTTGCATAGTTTTCTATCTGCTTTGGAAGCGCTTTTTTTCTTTTGTATTGTTTTTCATAATCATGTTTGTGCTTAGTTCTCTGGATCATTCTGCATTATTTTAAAGGTATAGTGGAAGATGTTCTTTTTCCGGGTGGATCATCAAAATAAGTCGTCCTCCAAATTGTCAAACATTCTGGGGATATGTTTACGTAAGGCCGTCCCTACTGTACGTGCTCATCTCCATTTTTACTTACCGGTGGTGAATCTGACTTAGTGGAAAAATTGCAAGTCTTCTTTTAGAAAGTAAGCTGGGATGATCAATGCAAACAGTAACTTTATAGAGAGTGTGCACAAGGAGAATCCCCCAAACTCAATATTCTCCCTTTAGGAGTATTATTCTTTTAATTCTCGCAATCGAGATCCCCAAAATCCAACATATGGAACCATAAAAAGCTATAAAGCTATCAGTTTTACAGTCTAGAATGTTAGTAATTCATGCATAAAAAACAAATTAATAAGATCAAACATTAGGTTTTTGGAATGGCTGGATTGGTCACAGAAAAATCCACTGGCAAATATTCAAATAACAAGAAATTTCTTTGACATTCATCTTAATATGCGAGTTCCTACCTTTAGGCACTCCAGTTAGCTTGGCCTCTGATATGCGCAGATAATTCAGTTTCAGGCCTTTAAAGGCACCAGGCTCAAAACCACTGTTCTGGATAGGGTTAGCTCCCATTTCTGCAAGATACAGTCAGTATTTAAGGAATGGAATAAAATATACTCCCTTTAATTTTACCAAATCTGTCGTGGTGCTACACATACAGCTGCAAGTACCAAGAAATATATCCAGGATTGTTAAAGCTGTTGGCATCTCTAACCTATGCAGTGCATGTTGCCCAGTCCCTTGAAGGTTCCAGCTGCCACCTTCTTGATCTGGTTTTCATGAATCCTGAGCTCAACCAGAGAGGCAGGCAGGTTTTTCGGGATGGTGGTGAGCAGATTCTTTGAGAAGTACAGCTTTTTCATGTTCTTCAAAGGAGCAAATGCTTTGGGGTGGACTTTGGAAATCCTGTTATTCCTCACAGATAGTGCCTAAAATAACAATCAATGAGAACACAAAGTCAAAGGCTCATCATTTCATATGTATAGACCAATTAAAATGAATGTGGAAAAAACACAAATTTGCATGCAGAAAACACAAAAGGCTCACTTATATCCGTCCTGCTTCTACTTCAGTAGTGTGTGGTTGATATAATCAAGCAAATGCTAAAGTAAATGCACACTGATAGGGAGGTCTTTGTATAACATTACTCACAAAGTTTCTTAAATGCCAGACTTAATATTTCTCTTGGTCAGTGTTTTTGAATGAGGGTCAGTCTTGAGTAAAGCCTGTTCCCTTGAAAGTCCTTCATAGTTCTATTCAGCTTTAGGTTTTAATACAGTTGAAAGTTATCTGTGAACTGCAGCTGAGGGAGGAATAGAGGGGAAATAAACTTCCTAATCCCAAAGGAGATGAGGATCATGCTGAGTTTTCACAGCACCAAAGCCAACACGAGATGCAGCTGCATAAACTTGAGAGTTCAATGAAAAATGAAGCATTATCCTGACCATGTGTGTCTCTTACGTATAAGTTAGTAAGACCCTTGAAGTCATTTTCTTTTAGCTCAGTGATATGGTTGTTCTGCAAGTCCAGGAGCCTGGTGTCTGAAGGAATATTCTTTGGAACTTCTCTCAAACCTAAGGACAAGACCAACAAAAACACAGAAGAGAGTCATCCTCCATTAAATACTTCCTTGGGTGACTGTGAACCACCACCCAAAACCAGTTTATTTTCAAAAAGGAAAACTCATAAGATGACCTTACCCAGACACTGACTTTTGAAAATAAATAGGTACACCAATCACACCCCCACATAATCTTAAATGACTACTTTGGTGATGTTTTAATAAAAAGGTGGACATTTGACCAAACTTGGAGGTCACACATACACATCGATGTGGTGCGACAGTAGCAACAGGGGACAGACGCACAACCACACTCACACAGAAACATCAATTACCCAAACACCAGATGGGAAACCAGATGTTCTCCATCTGTTTTCCATTTGACAGAAGTCACAAAGGATGGGACCTAAATACCATAAGCAAAGTCATACATCAAATAAAAAGAGAAGGGTGTGAGATGGACACATAAAAAGTAATACAAGCACTGGCTGTTAATGTGGCCGCGGTGAACCATTGTGACATTTGGAACAAGTGTCTTGATGTTGTCCTCATCTGAGAAAAAACAAAAAAAACTTCCAATGAAAAACTGCTCTAGTTTCTACACAGACTGCAGAAAAAGTGGCTGATCTTTTGGCCTCTTCTGTAAGTCCTGCGTCCAGCTTTTCTTCTCTCTGTCTACTTAGGAAATAGGCTAAAAATGATAAATTTTGATAAAGCTTCTGGTTAGACTGTCTCTGGTTATCAAAGACTATCTCCATAGTTATGATGCTCTATACCAGAGCTGCTGGTCCATTTATTTACCAGTTTTCTCCCTCTTCTCTCCATAAATTCATTATTTTAAAATAATGTTGGAATCAGATTTGTATTCTCTCACATTTTTTCCTTAAGTAGAACAATTACCTGGCTGGGTGGTTTTGTCTTCAGCAGTGTCAAATTAGATGCAGTTAAGAAATCAAATTTTTTTTTTATAAGTACTTATTTATTTCCCACGGACTGTCTCTCTGTCTTTCTCTCTGACAAAGGCATCAACAAAGCTTTCGCTGCCAGTAACTCAACAGATCTCCCGGACCAGTTATTCAATTTTTGTTAGTTTTTTTGTTAATATCTACTCCCCGTCCTTTCAACCTCTATCTGGTTCTACTATAGGTTTCATGCTATGAAAGGACAGTTGTTTGTTTCCACAGTAACCACATGCTTTTAACCAAAAAACCTGCTAGAAAAACCACACACAGAAAATAGTGACACATTAAAAGTATTTACCTAAAGCAAATTTTAAATTTTTTGGTTATTGTTTGTACTTGCTTTTCTAAAAGTGGAGAATGTAATGAATAATTTCAGCTTAAGGGTCTGCTGCAAATGCTGCTGCACCTCCACTGGGTTCTCTCTGATGTGGAGGAGCAGCGGCTCTACTCTGAGTCCTCCCCGGATGACAGAGTTCCTCACCCTATCTCTAAGGGAGAGCCCAGACACATTACGGAGAAAACTCATTTGAGCCGCTTGCATCCGGGATCTCGTTCGTTTTTTCATGACCCAAAGCTCATGACCATAGATGAGAGTAGTAACATAGACCGACCGGTAACTTGAGAGCTTTGCTTTTTGGCTCAGCTCTCACTTCACTACAACAGACCGGTACAAGGCACGTCACGCTTCACAGCAGACGCCGCACCAATCTGCCTATCGCTCTCCCGCTCCATCTTCCCCTCATTCGTGAACAAGACCGCAAGATACTTAAACTCCTCCACTAGGGCCAGTACATCCTCTCCAACCCAGAAAAGGCATTCTACACTTTTCTACCTTTCTCAGGCACTGATCCTCATCCCGGCCGTTTCACACTTGGCTGCAAACCACTCCAGTTAAAGCTGTAGATCATGCCCTGGTAAAGCAAATAGAACCACATCATCTGCGAATAACAGAGAAATGATCCTAAGGCCACCAAAACAGATCCTCGCAACACCTTGGCTGCACCTAGAAATTCTGTCCATAAATGTTAAGAATAGAATCGGTGATGAAGAGCATCATTTGCGGAGTCCAACCCTCACAGGAAACGAGTCCAACTTACTGCTGTACTACTGCAATGCGGACCAGGCTCTGACACCGGTCATACAGAGACCTAACAGCCCTTATTAAAGGGCCCGATACTCCATACACAGGACCCCCGAGGGACACGGTCGAATGCCTTCTCCAGATCCACAAAACACATGTAGACTGGTTGGGCAAACTCCCATGCACCCTCCAGAATCCTGCAGAGGACGTAGAGCTAATCAAGTGTTCCACGGCCAGGATGAAAAACAACACTGCTCCTCCTGAAACTGAGATTCCACTATCCGATGGACCCTTCTTTTCAGAACCCAGGAATAGACCTGGGAGGCCTAGGAACGTGATTCCTCTGCAGTTAGAACACACCCTCTGGTCCCCTTTTTTAAATACAGTAGGGTAACAACCATCCCAGTCAGCCAATCCAGTGGAACTGCCCCCTATGTCCACGCAATGTTGCAGAGTATGCTGCTGCTAACCCCGCAACCCGACCCTGGATAAGCGGAAGATGGGTGGATGGATGGATGGATGGATGGATGGATGGATGGATGGATGGATGGATGGATGGATGGATGGATGGATGGATGGATGGATGGATGGATGGATGGATGGATGGACATAAATAAAGTATATAGATATAGAGATACTTAGTTGTGAATTTAAACGAATGTGGTTTAATTGTATTGGGTCAGTTTTTTGGTTGATAGACAAGAGAAAGCAGTACTGCTAGGATACAGTTTTTTATACACTCTTTGCACACAAAATGATAATAAAGTTTGTCTAAGTCTAAGATCTAGCAACACTCATCACTATTTGCTAGTTGAGCTATTTCAAGGTAAAGTTTATATTGTCTTAAAATTAAGCTACCTTAAGCATCAGGCATTAGTGAAAGAAACACCACCATGTTGGTAGTACTAACTACTTCTCTGCTGGGTTTTGGAGTTGCAATGTGCAGTTTATACAGGTGCCAGGAATCATACGTGTGAATCCACACTTAAAAAGGAGTGAAGGGGGAGAAATTTCACCACAAGACCTCTGATCTAATACCAGCCTCCACTAAACTGGGACTATAAAGATTATTCAGAAAGCTTTTAATTTCTTATTTTTTTTGTTATATTCTAATTCAAATTTCAGAAGTACAGCTTTAATCATAATATTGATGTTAAACTGATATCGTTGCCTAAGCTTATTACCATCAGAATTTTATACCAGCTCATCCCTTATTGTATTAAAGTGTTTTGAACTGGGAATATTGAACCTAGCCTCGTGAGACCATCCTGATCTCGCGAGCTTTCAAGATTTCACTCACTAATAAGTCTGGAGACTCTCCGTTGAAGAAAATTTGGAGCCGTTCACCAAACGAACGTCCAATCAGCGTTGACTTTGAGGCGGGTTGAGGTGTGACGCAACGAGAAGCGCGACAGTTAAGTCTAAAGAACATGGCAGCTTCAGCCAATGAAACTAGCGTTAGCGTGGCTATCAAGCAAGTTTTATCGGAATTACACTGTATTTCTTCACTGAAAGAAAACACTGCTCTGGAGGCTTTTCTCAGAGGAAAAGATGTTTTTGCTCTTTCCCCGACTGGTTTCAGCAAGAGTTTGATCTATCAATTGGCTCCCCTTCGTCGTCGCTCTGTTACGTCATACAGTATGCTTCGTTGATCTGATTGGTTTATTTGGCCCGTCTAACACCAACATACTGTAGGCCAATCGACTAACCAGTATTTTCGCCCCTTCCCAAAATTACTTCAACGGAAGGTTTCCAGATGGATATGCGGAGCAAATCCATCTGGCGGAGTCAGGTTATATTTAACCAGACATAACTAAAATGAATGAACAGAATCATTTTTAGTTAGCTATAAATAGGTAAAAGATTACAACAATGTGATTTCTAAAGGATTTGTTTCAAGTAGGGTTGTGGAGAATATTGATGATATTTGTATTATATCTGTATGTCATACCCACTATTTTTGTATGATGTGAATTGTCCTCTATACAAGCTTTAGCAGAGAGTTAACAACATTCATGGAGGGGCAAACGATACATTCCAGCAGCTCAAAGATAAAAAAAAAATGTCTAAGTGAGGTTGCGAGTTCAAGGCGTATTTGGCCTGTTCACCAGCACTAAGGTGGTAGAGAATGTAAGTCATTTAAATATAATGCTGTTCTCTGTTGAACTCATTCAAAAGCTATTTAACAAACAATAATTTAAATTAAAGCTGTAAATGTTTAAGTGAATGTTATATCAATATTTTTGCACAACAAAAATGTATTTCATTTTTAGCAGCTTCTTATTGTTGTTGCCAGATTAGACTCGTTAAACTAAGAGATCAATCTGATGTGCTGCATCAAATTGTCCCTAGTGTCTGTAATATTCACTACACTTTCAGCTTTGCTGACCTAGGAGGTTGTGGCAACTACGGACACTGTCTCACGCATAAGTAAAAATTGACTCGGTAAAGTGTCACATTTTAACATTTAAGAAGACTAAAGTTTGCAGTTATAGCACCCCGTCTGACTCCTAATAATATCCTTGACTTCTTCCATTTCTCAAAGCTGACTCTGCTGTCAATTGCAGGTGAAACACTGACTGCAAACAGTCCTGTTTTAAAAAGAAATAAAAATAGAATAAAAAGCTAATATAGCTGCATTATGCCAGAGAAAGGACTCATTGCAGAGCACAACCAGCAATCACGGAGAACACCACTTCACGGAGCTACGTGGACATATGTATCAGATGTGGTCAGATGATGTGTAAGCAAATATCAACCAAGTTAGAGCCTCATCTGGACCAGTGGATGATGCAACAAGACCCACTGGTGAGAGAGTGCCAGCTGTCCTGATGGGACTCAGCCACCAACCACATCTGACCCACAGGAGTCTGCCCAGAGCTGTCCAACTATGGTTAACTTTAGATATATGGCTAAGTCTGTGTGGTGCCACACCCTCCATGACACCACACAGGATCAAACCCTCAGCAGCTTCCTCTGGCAATTACCGCACCCACACATAGCTAAGGGATCTGCTGCAGTGGCTTTATTCATGGTATCATTCAGTTTTGCCACTAGAAAATTATTTAAATGGTTAGTTTTGAAGAAAATCCTTTTAGCTTCAAGTCCCGAAATAACAAGTCCAGATAATAACAAATACTGTAAAGCAATGGCAAAAATACCTAATATTTAGCTTTGTATAATATGTTGGATTATTACTAGAATAGAATGAAAATGTATAATAGGCCTAAATCAGTGAAAAAGGTTAGATTTATTTCAATTTTCAAATGAAAGCTATGATATACCTTTCAAAATAAAATATCAAAATCCTTATTATAAGAGTGTAATATTTTGACCAACTCAGTTTAAGCCAACATTGATGACAGATAGTATTTATACTTTAAACTTTATAGCGCATATTTAAGATAAAAGTGTCAGCCAATCATTAATTGCTCCGAGAGAGTCACAAGCAGGGATCAACTCAGCCTTTTAGATAAAAATGCTCTACTAAATTAAAGTATTAAAAGATCATGAATTAACCCAATAATGCAAAAGGAGATTTCATGTTTTTATTTGTTTTTTCTACATTTCTGTATATATATATATATATATATATATATATATATATATATATATATATATATATATATATATATATATATATATATATATATATATATATATATATATATATATATAAGCCTTTAAAATAATGAAATTATTAAGAAAGTTTGTCAAATGTCCCATATGGTAAAAAGATGGATGCCAATTTACAGTTAAGCTCAAATGTATTTAATTATCCTATTTGTGTGTGTTTCCAATGAATGATAATGAAGACACAGGCATCCAATACAAGATAAAACAAAATAAAAATAAAAGACATATAGATTTTTACTCAAAACGAAATTATTAAATTAAATTAAAAAAATATTCTACTTATTATTTATAGCAACAATCCAACCTTCTTACCCAGCTTTTTGTCAATTTTGCTGGATTTGATTATGTATGTTTGGTTCCCATGCCCATCACTAGAGCAAGAATACAACTTCCTGGTCTGAGGAAACAGGCTAGTCAAAGTGAAAGATTACTTATAAAACCTAAATCTGCCAGAAGTAAGATTAAGTTTAGGATTAAGTGTATTTTGGGTATCTTGGGAAGCTGTTTTCTTTAACATTTCATTATTTGGAAGAGAAGGCCAGAACTAATAATACTTAGTAGACACTAAAGCCCTCACATGTCCCTCTGCCTTTGTCAAGTACAACTTAATGTATTTTACTGTCTCCTATTATACCTGTTTTTTATGCTGATATGAGGTTGACGGATTGGCTTTTATCAATGTGACCAAAATGTTTTATTTGCATGAATCATAATGCAACTGTTTAGTTTACAAGATATTAGCATCCAGCTCATTTTTATTCAGCTTTCAGCAAGCACCCCTCAATATTTATTGCGTACGTGTCATAAAAAAATTAACTTTCACCAAGTCCCAAATCAAGTGAATCCTTTAAACCTCAAAAACCCCAAACCACAACTCATCCCCTATATCAACCACAAATCCCAAAAGCTTAAACACAAACTGACAACACTCTCACCAATTAAACCCCCAGTTCCCCACCGACACAAACTCTCAACATCATGTTGGGATGCAGGCTGAGAGGAGACAGACGCCACCACCAAAATACATCTGTTCTAAATAAGCACTTGACATCTAGGAAATTATACACTTCCACATTTACTTGCTGCAGAAAAGACAGGACAGAAAGTACAGAGGGCTTTAAAATGATGATTCAACAAAACCGTTATGTCTAAAGACAGACTTCCTATTGTCCTATTGAGGCTTAATGGGAAGAAAATACGAATATGACGTGGAAGACCAGAGAAATTTAGCAGCTTCCACATAGCAAGAACATTTTGTATTTTTTATTTCCACAAGATGCTTATAAACAGAACCAGAAAAGAAAAAAAACTCACTGTACACACATTAAAAAGCTTTTGATGCCATCAGATATAGTTTCTTTACACAAAGGAGTAATTTATGCTAAGATTTTATCACATTTGATTAAACTTTGTTATTGTGAAGGAAATCATAACAGTAAATTATTTTTTAATTTAATCTGGATATCCTTCTGATATTCAAGTCAGAGCCACATGTTTATATCCCTCTAAGCTAAATATCATTGTTCCCTCCATCCTGTTTTAATCAAACAATTAGTATGTGGTCCAACAAACAAACAAAAAAAGATTAAAAACTAACCCAAAGGCAGAAATCGAATAAAGAAATATCCAGTTTTTTGTGAAAAAAAATTCATTTCCCTCTACCAGATTTCCTCTCATGCTGTTGATCCATATTTTTTTGCTCTCTACTACCCTCTCCCACTGAGCATCTTTATACAAAAACTGGGACACATAATCCCAAAAGGAGACTTCTTTCACTGTAAAAATAACCACCAGAGTCCTTCCTTTTGACCCAATGTCTATGTTTGTAAAACTAAATTAGTTTCCTCCCCAGTCATTCAAGCTGATGCTCTCTGAGCTTCAACATTTTATCATCTGCACTGTAACAGAGCATTCCTCATTCTTTTTGTCTATTTTATTGTGTTCTGACATTCATTCTTACTAACCGAGATCAGAGCACTGGACCACCCGGTACTGGCAGTGGCAGCCAAAGGGACACGTGGGCACGCTAGGAGAGGGGATCTCCTCTATAGCCGAACCTTCCTCCTGATCCCTCATCATTGTCATCATTCCGCCGTTCTCCAGACTGTCCAGGGCAAAGTCCCAAAAGCCCTTCTGTTCAAAGGGCAAAGCAGAGGAGATAGAGAGCAGCTGGGCTCCGCAAAGCAATAACAGGAGGGAGCAATGTCGCAACATCTTAGATGAAAGCACCTGGGAAAACATACAGAAGGGGTGAGATTTAGTGCATATGAATACAGGCACACACAATGCATTTTATTCCTAAAAACCTTGCAATGCATCCTACATATACTATACTATTCAGTTATTTTACTGTAACTTTGTCTTTCTGATTATATTTTATTACGCTGTTCAGAGTTGTTTTTTAGATTTTCTAACACCAGTGACAGTAAAGCTTGATTATGCTTATAACGATTGGGAAATATAAGCTAAAATTAGTAGATTAAGAGGTAAAAAGAATGTAATAATAATACTTTTTGGAAAAAGTTCAGCTAAAAATGTGCAAATGACAAAAAAAATTCTAGAATCTGGAAAATAATATCTGCTTCTATGGTGTACAAAGGGTGGTAAACTCATGGGAATGAACAGGTGTTATATTTGGAATAACTTACAGACAGTGCCCCATATCAAACTTTTTGACCTTCCTAACTAGGAAATCCTTCCACTGACGTGGAGTCAGTGAAGTGGTCAGAGGATATTATGAAATGGTCTACTTATCCCTAATTACAAGGCCCCTACTGTTTATACCACACCTCACAGGCAGACTCCAGCTGGAGGCTAAAGAAGAGAAACACACTCATTCCTTCTCTCACATTTGCCAGAAAAGGACCCAGCAAGTGAAAAAGTCTCCTAAACCTCACCAAATGTTCACTCTCCGTCTACCACCCTCCAATGTTCCCCGAGAGCCAGTCTATTTTTTGCCTTCTAATCTGATAGCAAGGAATACATCACCATAAGGATGGAAAGGTTTATTCCCATTAACCAACAAAGCTGGCCATTCACTATGGAGGAAGTGTCTGGATGTTGCGAAACAGTCTCCATGATGTCAGGGTGGTGTGCACACAGACACGCTACAGACTAATTGAGGTCACTTGGATTTTCATCATGTTTGCATTTGTGTTTCTTTGCTTCCCTTATGCATCCATTCAGTGACTGGACAAACCCATGAGTCAATCACCTCTGTCAGACAAAACAGCAGCTCCTGAAGGAACCGATTTTCCAGGCCAATTGATTGTGACAGTAGGAAGTGTGACCCTCTGGGCTAATCCACTGAAGTAAAACCTACAGTACTCCCACATGAGACACAGGAATGACCTGAAAGCTTGTAATCTCCAACATTGTCATGCTAATTCCTCCTGTGTGTTATTTCTAGCGTGTAGGCTGGGAAGTTTTACTGGTAATAGCTAGCACACGAACATTACTTTGGACACGTTTAGGAAACATGCTGTGATGTAATAAGATGTCTGAGTTAAGATACAGGAGATTAAAACAAGTCTTTCTTATAGTCAGAACCAAAAGTAAGAGAATGACGGATGATAAATAGGATTTTGCAAATATTTGGAGTCATTTACATTCAGATGTTTAGATGTGCCATTTTGTGTTTAAACTTATTCCTGGTAGTTTGAAGGTGGTGCAATACAATTATCTGCAACTGTAAGGATTTCAGCAATTTTTGCTAATATTTAGGAACATTCAAGGCAGTGAAACAAAGAGCCAGTGCAAGATATAAAGCTGCTTCAGAAACATAAGCTGCCCACTCCAGGCAGTTATTTTGTAATGAAAATAGCCGCCAAATTATACCATTTTGCAGAAAAAACAAAAAACACCACTGACCTTGGCTTAACCAGAGGAATGCAGCCAAAAGGACAAAGGGAGAGCATATAGAGTCAACATCTCATAATCGCATGCAACATACAAAGACACACAAAAGAGGTAGGTTTTGCACAGAAGTCACCACCAGGATTGTTTATATACTGACAATTTTAGCAGTTCATTCCTTGCACTGCGACAGCAACTATGCATTGTAAATCTAGAAATTTGACACCAGTTCTCCAATTTGTCTATCTTCCACAGAGCTGCAGTAGTACACAAAAAGTTGCAGGACTGGGTGTGATCATGGGAACAAAGCAGACGTGAACTGGTCCGATCTCTCATCAGTGGTTCTGATTTGTAGTGCTGCTATAAACACAACAAGACGATAAGACTAAACTACATCCCACAGTTAAGCTGGGCTAATAACCACTTTTATCTGGCTCTTCTGTTTGTGTGTATAAATTCCTCATCTCTCCCTTCACTTAAGCTTTAAGCTGTCAAACATCCGGGACTCTGATTAAAACAAAGCAAAGGCAGAGATCTTAATTGTTGTTGCTTCAGCTTTCCTTCCACCCAAAAGCCAAGAATGGTTTTAATGGATGGATGCATGCATGGGCAGCTATTTTTGCTTTGTTAAAATGTGTGGGGTTGTGAAGTTTATGAGTGTGTGTACAATACCATGGGTGTGGGGGAGGTCAGACAACAGAATGAAAACCGAAAACAAAAAAAGAGTTGGTTGCAGAGAGGCAACTTTGAAGCAGTAAGACAGAAAAAGAGAGTGAGTTATATTTTAGCCGTCTATATGCCGCATCACATGAGCAATGACAAAGGGTTGCCCTATTTACAAGATAAGTTACTGCATCTTTCATAAAACCTAGTTGTTAACTCACATAACCTACAAAGTAATTCACTTAAACCCAAAGATCAGTTTTCACATTTATTTGAGTGTATTTAAAAGGAACTTTCCAATAACCTGTCAGGTACTTTCTGTCGACTTAGAAGTTATGTTCAGTACTTACACTTTCCAAAACACATATGGTACTAGAACTTATTGGGTCCCCCTTCTTTTTTTCTAATATAGAACATTCTTCTGTGATATTTCTCCTTCTAATTACCCCTGGTTTCTTAAAATGCTAAGTACATTTCAGGAAAATAATAATTTCTAAAAAGAACATAGCACAGAATAAGTCCTAGGAAAGGTACAAAAAAGAAGACCAAAAACGAAAAAAAAAACTGCTGAGCTCCACAATGTGATCTTGAAGTTACAGCAAATCAAGTACCTGGTAAGTTCAAAGACTTGAACCTTAAAGTTACAGGAACATTCCCTGTAATTTCTGGGAAAGTATCCAGTAATTTCCAAAATAACTTTTAAAGACTACCTGTTACGCCCCAGCAACATTGACACTAGATTTTTGGAAAGTCTCAGGTTAAGACTAAGTTCCAGAAATTACCTTGTGTGTTTCTGGCCTAAATGCCTAACAAGTTCTGGAAAGGTTTCAGAAAAAAGGTAGAAAAACTGCAAAAATATTCTTGGAAAGTTAAGGGAAGAAAACAAAAAAACAATCAATCCCAGAGCATCTTCACATAAAAATATATAATACAACCTGGAAAATTCAAACTTATTTTAAACTACTTGTGTTTTTATATGAGCAGACAATTGCACTGTATGGCTGTTGTAACTTTTCAGGTGACACAACAGCTTTTTGATGCAGTCTGAACAGCTAAGAGAAAATAAAACACTTCTTTCATTCATATACAAACCTTAGTGGTTTACTGCTGTATAGAGTAGCTGAAACATTAAGAGTTCAAGAATTTATATAATGAGGGATTTTTTTTTTTTTACAGTAAAGCATCTGTACAGACATGCTCCTGCATTTTAACAGCATCGGGGACCCTCTCAACCTTGTATATTCAAATTAAAGTTTTTTTAAGTCTCAGTTTCGGTTTATTCTCTTTTAACACTTTTGAAATCAGTGAGAATAATCAGGTTCTAAAAGAGCGCTTTATATGCAAGTCTAAACCCTTTTGGCACTACCAGAAACATTGCAAGGTGGGCAAGGTGTCAAAGTTCTCCAGACATGAGAATTCTGATTTTAAAAAAACACAAAACGCTACTTTTGGCTCATCAATCCTCACAATAAATGTTGTTTTTTCAGACATTGGTGGTCGCTGGATTTTGAATGTTAAGGCGAGCCAGGGGAGCTCACCCGTTACAAACTGGGATCTCATAGCTGCTGTACTGGCAGCCACTACATCAACACTGAGTGCCAGTTAAAATCCCATGGTTGTTTAAACTGATCCTAGTGCCAACTGAGCATGAAATATCACACAAAGCTTGGTCTGGCGATGCAAGGGCCTAGTCTGTATTTTCATTTAGAACGCTAGATTTTTTCTGAACTATGACAACAGCCAACTGATAACTACTGTATGTGTTGTACAAACAAAGTATGTGGTTGACGAGCAATATATAGGAAATAATCCTGTTATTTGATTAAATTTCCTTCACTACCATGTGTCAAGCCTTCCTCAGAGGGATGTGAAAAAAACCCACAAGCAATCCCTAATTCCTGTCCTCCTTTGGCATGAATGCAGTTACTGCTAGGCGGGTCCGGTAAGCGAATTCGGGTGGAGTTAACTGCACCAGCGACTGTAATTTGGTGACTTCTGTGCCTAAAAAAAGTAACTACTTGGCAGCTTCTCTCATGCCGCCGAGCTTCGATGTGGTGGCAAGCTTTTCAGCCCTGCAGAAATGAGGCCCAAGTAAAGCCTAGCAGAGGAAAGAATAATGCAGAGATACAAACAGAGAGAGAATCTTTTTACAGCAGAGGGACCACTGAAGTAAATATTCACACCCTTGGGTAGATGAGTCTCCTTCAAATGATTGTCTTAACCAAGGATTTCTCTATCACTATAGATTAAAAGACTCAAGATTTAAAATTCTGCCGGCTATAGATTTATTAGAGATTAGAAAAGATATAAGACAGGTTAATGTTAAAACAGGTCAACATACAGACAGGAGAGTGAGAGAGCAAACAGACAGACAGGTGTATAGTCGTCAACCTGCAGACTTCCTAATAGGCAGGCGGGGAGGAAGTTCAGGAAACATACACATCACACCATCAATTTCCACCGTCTGACCGAGTTTTCAGACAGCCCTACACAATGCTGCTTGGCCTTGCACAGTCTGAGGATTCAGTCAAACAGACAAACTACCCTTTTCAAGAACTTTCTTTCCAACTGATATTTTATTCTCTGAAACCTCAAAACAACTAACTAGAAACACAGGACTTTCCTTTGGGACACAGCTGCATATTATAAGGAACAGTGTATTTTTATAGCGACTTTCAATATAAAAAAAATCACAACGTGCCTCAACAAATAAACACAAATAATTAAACAAAACAACATTTGAGCAAAAGTACATTTTTGGCCCTTAAAGGCCCTTAAATCTGGTGATCTGAGAGCAGGATGAAGGTATTCCACCCTGCAGATCCTTTCAATGAGGAAGTTTGTTGCATTGAGAGATTATTTAGATGTAAACTTGACTTGATTTAGGGATTAATTTAAGAAAAAGTAGAACTACTGCTTAAGAACTTAGTCTGAGATTAATGGATGTTTTTTGCGCCATCTAGTGTCCGAGTAGAAAAGTGTCAATTGACGTTAAGCATGCAGTGACACATGTCGAGAAAAATATTTTTAGGTTGGTTTTCTTTTCTTTTCTTAAATAGCTTCCACTTCTCTTTACTAGATTTGAGTTAATAACAGCTGATCACCCTCTATAGTGAATAACGTAGCCTATAAGAAAATAAATGTAGGCTACTGTATGTACAAATGACTAAATTAATTTCAAACCAATTACAGATTAAAAATTAAGAAGCCGGGAATAAATCAAAACTATTCAAAATCAACCTACTTTACAAAGCATATAGATTAACCAAACTTCCTACCTTTTTTATGAAGAAAAAAGATATTATCTCCGCACAATTAGGATTAAGGAGTTTTTCTGCTTTTTAAATGTTGTTTTCCTCCCCCTCGGAAGATTTTTATACCAGCTGTAATATTTTCATCACATTTAGGGATAATCTTCCTCTCACATCCAGCTGCAGCTCCTCTCTCACTGCGCTCCTTGGAGAGACGTTCGGGGAAAGACTGCGTGTCTGCAGAGTGGAGCCCAAAAAGTTAGGCCAGCCTCCTTCCTCGCTCCATTTTTGAGTAATGGGAAGAGCAGGAGGTGAGATTGAGGAAATAATTTAGAAAAAGAGTAATTGGATAGTCATTGAACAAAAGGCTCTTTCTTTTTGAGAAGTGGGCAAATAAAGAGGCGGACCTGAATTATCATCTTTATTAATCATCTCTAGGAAATGTGTTTTCTTTTTGATGTTCTGTAAAAAAAACATCAGATGTGGGGGGAATTGGGGTGCAAACAGTGTCAGGAAGGCTAAGGGACACAGCTGAGTGGTCAGAGGTTTAAAGATTACATGAAACATCTGGTGCTTAAGTCAGATTAAACCAAATTTATACATAGAAAATTTCTATGACTCTCAGTGGAGCAAATCCACTGTTCTATATTATCCTGAACAGATACCCATTAAGATGATGCATGGTATTGGCTGCATCATTCTGTTGGGATGCTTTTCCTTTAGATGGGAAATTGAGTGAGGATGGATCTAAGATACAAGGCCATCCTATAAGCAAACCTTTGAGAAGGTGCTAAAGACTTTAACCCTGGGCTATGTTCAAATTTTCAGATTGGCAATGAGAGCTACAGCTTTACTAGTATGGTTTACATCAAAGGATAATTGTATGTTACAATCTCCCAGTTAAAGTCTAGACTTGGTGCGGATAGTGAGTATGTGCCAAGAGATAGAAAAGAAAAAAAAATCATAGGTGTTTCCTCTCCTGTCTGACTAAGCATAGGACAGGGCAGCTATTAAATTTCTCAAGGAACTGTTGGGGATGCTTGTAGGAAGAAGGGAAAGTCAGGAGCAAACTGGCAAACAAAATGATCTTAATGTGCAAAGACTGCAGGAAAGATGATTCTGATGATCTTTCATTATATTAATTTGTGTACACATATGTATATATATAAAGAGCGTGAGAAAATGGAAAAATACCTAGGGCAATCAGGAAATAACTAGCCTGCAAGACGAAGGAAACTTTAATACCTATGGTCAGTAACCCCCACACTGGAGAAGTGGCTCCAACAAATATCTGGTTTTATATATATATATATATATATATATATATATATATATATATATATATATATATATATATATATATATATATATATATATATATATATATATATATATTAGTGCTGTCAAAATTATCGCGTTATTAACGCGTTAACGCGAGGCCATTTTAACGGCGATAATTTTTTTAACGTGAGATTAACGCTATGTGGTTTTATGGTACAATTTTTCCAAGTACATCCCGCTGCAGCCTGCGGGAAGGCGGGGCTATTTTCCCCCAGTCTATGCATTTCTCATAGGCTTCTAGAGCGGAGCTCCTCAAGGGAAAAAGACGCTCATACACTGGGTGACGCTAGTGCCTTTTCTTTAAGCCCCACCACCAACAAACAAGTTGAGTGTCTGGTAACTAGTAGCAACCTGAAATACGCTGAGAAAACTGAATCTCGTAGCAGCCCTCTTGCCGTCTGTGTACGCAACAGGTCAGTATCGCATGTGTGTGTGTGTGGGTGGGTGTGTCTGTGTGTGGGTGTGTGGGTGTGTGTGTGTTCTCATTTTTGTTAAGAGGCTGAAAAGTAACTTTCTAGAGCATAGACTACCTTCATCTAGTAATGTCGGTCTATTGATTTTGATGTATTGATTGAAAATTGTTCATTATTACCTTGGTTAATTAACATCTAATGTTAACTCTACTGCATTTTATAGCGGTAGGGTAAAATGCTTGTCTTTGTTCAAAAGACTGTATTAACTGTAAAGACTGTCTTTTACATCAGCCTGTTTTCAGGGCCTTTTTTTTGCCTACATATTTGTTATTTTTTGCTACATGCCTCCCCATCTTCTTGCCATATGTTTCTATGGCATAAATCAGTATCTGTGACCTGTTTTCATTTAAAAAAAAGAACATTGGCACAAACCTAGCCTGTATGTATTTTTTTGTATGTCATCGAGAGTATTTAAATGATTTTCAATCAGGAAAAAAATGTGCGATTAAAATGCGATTAATCGCGAGTTAACTCAGGCATTGATGCGATTAATCGCGATTAAAAAATTTAATCGATTGACAGCACTAATATATATATATATATATATATATATATATATATATATATATATATATACATATATATATATATATATATATATATATATATATATATATATATATATATATATATATATATAGTAATTGGAGCACTGGGGGCTGTGACCCCCAAACTGGGAGAGTGGCTACAGCAGATTCCAGGTAAAACATCAGAGGTCTCTGTCCAGAAGAGTATGACACATACCACCCCACGAGGGGTGAGAAAACAGTTTTTATAGATAGATAGATAGATAGATAGATAGATAGATAGATAGATAGATAGATAGATAGATAGATAGATAGATAGATAGATAGATAGATAGATAGATAGATAGATAGATAGATAGATAGATAGATAGATAGATAGATAGATAGATCACTGAAGGTTGTAGTTCTGGTATGTATGTATGTATGTATTAAATGATTCTTTATTTCTAAAACCTACAGATGATCTAAATAAGGGCTTCTCAGCTTTGCTTCGGGTTGTAAGTGGAATTTGATTCAGGTCCCTAATGCCACTTCACACATACACAAATGATATGAGACAACATACATTCTCAGACTTATTTTTCTGGCAGTTCTGTCCACAATAGACTGTATTTTTGCAAGTTTGTTTTGATTGTAAGGTCATTTAAATGTGCAGGAAAAGTTCAGTTTTTTTACAAGGAGTTTTTTTTGACATATATTTTTATGATTGCTGCTATTATACAAACTGGCCTGCAGAGTCTCTGGATGATCTTCAAGGGATTTTACAGAATACATATTTCTCTGGAACTGTTGTTTTCAATCTTCATGTGACTCATTTATAGATATATTTTTCCTCTTTGCACAGTTATGTATGAGATCCTTTTTGGCAGGATATAGGGCCATGTCTTCCTGACTTCTTTACTCTGCATATTTTCCCAGCACCCAGAAGAAGCTCTGGCAATCAAGTCCATTGGGGCTCTTTTCTTGCCTGATATGAACACTGTCACACAAAGCCGTCCTGATATTTATATAGTCCTTATGAATCCTCAATACTTCTATACTAACTTTGGTGTGAAGTCTTTGTGACATCCATCACCATTATTGGAAGCAGACATAGACAAACTGCAATGGGCTAATGGCTTTGTCCAAAGCTCTAAAAAGAAAAAAAAATTTGACAGATAACATTTCATATTTTCAGTTTCTTTACTCCTCTTTACTAGCAGGGAGTGTGGATACCAGTCTTTCTCTGTGTGTCTGTCTACATCCCGCTGTGGTTCACTTGATTATGGTGTTGGTCTGTAGCTAGAGGGCTTGGCATTCAAATTAAACTCACTCCGCCTTGTGACGCTCAGCAGTTAACGTGTCTTTAGAGATCGGGGCACCAGCTTGCTTTGTCTTGAGTTGGTGCTGCCATGTTAAGCGTATTTTTTATATGATACATAGTACGTGTTGGGATTTATTGAGCGCTGATAGCAAAGGAGTTGCTTTTTTTATTAGTGCCCAGAAAAAAAACAGATGTTGGCTCTAAACACATTTGGAGTCAAACTTTTACAGACATTGCAGACACATAACCATTTTGTTCCTGTTTTAAGTTAGTTGGGTTTGCCATTTTATTTCTATTTTCTAACTGCCAGAATTATGAGAAATAGATTTTTCTTCAACTCCATATGTTTACATACTTTACCTTTGTATTTGGCTCCTGATAGCAATGGCCTAATTTTCTTGGCTGAATTGGCAAATCTGTGTGAATTATATAATCTGCCTTGTGTAAACGCCCCTTTTGTTTCTTAGCTCTAACCAGTAAATTTCATGGACCTAAGATCAATTGTTTTGATGGTCTCTCTAAAATGTTGACTTTATTGACCCTTAGGCTACTTTGTTACAAATATGGGAGCAGGATTCAGATTATTGCACTTTTAAAAGACCAATTTGCGTCCAGGCCTCATCTTCCCGGCAAATTTCTTGAGACATTGCTTTGATATTTACACAAAATAAAAAAAAAATGTATGATGCCACCTATTGAGGGAAGTGCCCTTGATCCTCCTGCTGCAAAACAAAAACAGCCTGCTAACCCCATACATCAGGCATCCCCAAAGTCGGTCCTCGAGGGCCGCTGTCCTGCAGGTTTTAGGGGATTCCCTGCTTCAGCACAGCTGATTTTAATTGAAAGCTGATTAACAGGCTTTTGCTGAACTGCAATCACAATCAGCTGTGCTAAAGAAGGGAAGCCTCTAAAACCTGCAGGACAGCGGCCCTCGAGGACCGACTTTGGGGATGCCTTCCATACATCAGTCTGGTTTGTGTTTTCAGGCTTCAAAGCACCATGTTTTCCCTCCAAATATTACAATAGTGGCTATAGCCAAACACATTTTACATTTCTATGACTGGATGAAATGTAAACAAAGCATAAGCTATTTGTCTGTTAGTACATTTGTTAAAGGAATCAGATTTTTTGTGTTGGTTTTTTGTAGTTGGTTTTTTGTTGTTTTTTTGTTGTTGGTTTTTCACCACCTTGTAGTCCATGATTTATTTAAATGACTTGTTTTAATGTGCAAAAGGAAATAATTTTACCAACCTCAGTCACTACTGTATCTTCACAAGGTATTTTGCATCATAAGCTCTAAAATGTTTTTATAACTGAGACACACAATTTGCTATACTATGAGAAGTAGTGCCTTCAATGGTATTGAGCCCAAATCCTTGAAGGCTGATGTCCTGCTACTTTGAGATATTTCAATTGCGCTACACACCTGAATCCAATGACTAAACTACATTTTTTTCTCCTTGATTTTTAATGGCGGTTGGCAAGCATCTAAACTACCTCAGTAACAGCAGCTAAGCTATGCAGATCTCTGTCAATGAGTTCATATTAAAGTCAGGTGTGTTGAAGCAGAGACACATCTAGAAGTTGCAGGACATCAAGGATTTGGGCTTTATGCTGAAGCTTCAAAAAGGATCTCATCCCAGTCAGTAAAACCCAAACCATCAGTTAAGCACATTACAAGTTCAAAACCTCCAGAGCAATGTCCCAAGATTGAAGATTCATTGATTGTAAAAAAAAAAAAAAAAAGAAAGATTTTGTTCTTTTCATGGTTTAAGTAATCAATTGTAGTGCTCAGAAAACAAGAAAAACTGAGGAACTGGGAAATTGTTGAAAGCATGATGGGAAAACCAATAGGACCATCAGAAACTGGCAGAGTGATGATGATAAATTAGAAATTATGAGGGCAAATGCGATTAAGTATTTATTATGTTGGGTTAATTTAAACAGTTCGGAAAATTATGATTTTTTTGTTGTTGTTTTTGTTTTGTTTTTTCTGGGGGTGAGTCGTTTCTTGAGACCACAGCCTTAAGGTATATTGGTGTTTTAACCAAGAAATACTTTAACTTATGGAGGTCAACAGTTCTTGATATTTGGTCTGATTTTTTATTTTTTTTTCATTGATGCCACAAAAGTAAGACCTGTGTTTGAGGTGCTGCATTACACTATCCCCAGATGTCTCAAATAAAAATTAGTTTTAGGAATTAGCAGCGTACAAGCAATGCCATTGATATCTTGATATATCAAAAACATTTAAAGGTTTTTTTGTTAGCAAAATTCTGAATAACATCCATCATCTGACACACTTGTCCCAAGTGGGGTCACAAGGGCTGCTGGTGCCTATTTCCAGCAATCAATGGGCAAGAGGGAGGGCACATCCTGGACAGGTCGCCAGTCCATCACAGGGCAACATAGAGACACACACAGGACAAACAACCATTCATGCACACACTCACACAATTTAGAGAAGCCAATCAACCTAACGGTCATGTTTTTGGGCTGTGGGAGGAAACTAGAGCACCCAGAGAGAACCCACACATGCTCAGGGAGAACATGCAAACTCCATGCAGAAAGACCCCAGGCCAGGAATCGAACCCAAAACCTTCTTGCTGCAAGGCAGCAGTGCTAACCACTGCGTCACTGAGCAGCCCCAGAGAAAGAAATTTTTGGCTGTTTTTTTCTCCATGTGTTCTGGAGAAAAAAATAACTTTTCTATTTCATTAACAGGCAGCCCCCTTCAATCCATTAACAAACACAGGAAGCTGCTGTCTTGAAGCAGTACAGAAAGTACGTTGAAGAAGAGAAGCCTGACACTGTTCTTTGGTCAGCCACTTAGAAAAGGGGGCTTGTTTTACCCTAATGTAATCCAAAACACCTGTTTAGTGCACTTTGCTATTGAGTTACATGTCACATGTGAATGATGGATACCATTTAAAGAGTCAAACATGTTAGAAATTAAACATCTTTCTATGGCTAGCTGTGATTGGAGCTAAATGTTTTACTCCAAGCTGTAAAGCATCCATCTGTGCAGAAACACATGTGAAGACTTCAGTTTAAAAAGAGTTGTTGAGGAAATATAGGGAAAATTTTATTTTTTGAAAATAGACAGCAGTGTGCCATTTACCAAATGACTGTACAATTACAGAGACTGGAGATTTCATGGCTTGCACACGGCTTTAGCAAAGATCTAACGTGTGATTACATAGCCATGCACAGAGGAAGAGGACCTAACATGCTTTTGTCTGTTCATACAACATATTCAAAACATACAGGCGCTGTTCAGTCAGAACATTATTTTTGTTTTCATCTGCCTAGTTCACAAATTTTTTCATTTGTAACTCAAACATCTGCAAGAGACCTTCTGGTCTTCATTTAGAGCCTGTAGAAACTCTGCTGTTGGCTGAATCACTGTAGTTGTAGCAGTTTACGTAGTAATAGCACCATCTGTCAATCCAGATTTCACTTTCTGGACTGGATTCAACACACTCAACACTCAACATATTTTTATTTATTAGACTAAGTGATAGCGTGTTAAATGTGAATCCTTTATTGGTGCAAGGATTTAAAATTATACAAAACTCAAATTTAATACAAGATGTGATAAAAAAAAAATATATAAAATATATATATATAAAATATATATATATATATATATATATATATATATATATATATATATATATATATATATATATATATATATATAAATAGATAGATAAAGAAAACAGAACATTACGATCTGAGAGCTTATTTGCAAACAGGGTTATTGGGGTAAAAGATGTCAGGTGGCTTCCATCTCTGAGCAATAAGAGCTCTGAATGGGACTCATCTCCCCACCCACCTTGCCTTACCGTTTCCTTGGTTTCAGATCTACTTCCTCCTTTGCTGTTCATGTCTGATTGCTCTAAACCTGACGCACTTGATTGCTGTTTTTTGTTTTCAAACACAATTTCCTCAGGTTCCACTCACCTTTTCATAGCACAAATCATAGTTTCAGGTACAAAACCCAGTTTAAATGATGATTTCATTTATTTAAGGAAAAGAAGCCTGGCCCAATGTGAAAATGTGATTGTCCCTTAAACTTAATAACTGGTTGTAGTAACCTTTGCAGCAATAAACTGTCATCAGGCATTTGCCATGACCGAAAATGATCACTGTGGAGGAATTTTGGCTCACTCTTCTGTTTAATTCAGCAGCAATGGATAGGTTTTGGAGCATCAATGACTCGTTTAAGCTGATGCCAAAGATCTCAATGGGATTTAAGTCTGCACTTTGATTAGGTTACTACAAAACATTCATTTTGGGGTTGTTGTTTTTTTTGTTTTTTTGGTTTGTTTGCTGGATGTCTGGACATTACCTGGAGATAGGGACACAAAATGTTAAAATTCACCCTCAAAGTGGGGCCCTTTAAGGTCAGACCTTTTTGTTTTTGAGAAGTTTAGTTTACTTCAGTCTGCATCTGCATCTACACCACACCCTTAGCTTGATTCTAGCTGATTAAAGACTACTCCTGCAAAGACCTAATCTAGCGACATTTTAACTGTTCTAAGTTGTAAAACCCCCAAAGAAGCTTGAGGCTAAAGACTGAGTAACCCTGTGATTTTCAGCAACTGTGAATTCCAATAGAAATCGCAGTACAAACAGGTAAAGAAATTCAGTAACTGTGTGAGTTTCATACTGTCTTTAATGTTTGCCAAAATACTACAATTTCTTGCTGAGAAACCGATTGACCGACTAAGCTAATTACATTGCATATGTAATTTTCTACAAACTTCCTCTGATAACATGGTGAGGATAAAATTGAAACTTGCCAGAACTACATTGCTGTTAGTTTTGCTTTTGCCCAGCACAGCATGTGTATCAGCTCAAGATGGATTTCCATGCTGTGGATAAAGGACGACTCCTTGTGTATCAGTGACACAGAAGAAAGCTCTTGGGGGAATCGCTTTTTCTTCTAAGAGATTATATTCCAGGTGGACAGAAGTCAGGGTGGAGCCAGAATTATGAGGGTGGCACACTGCCCATTGCCTCACCTGCCTGAAAGCATACAATACAGAGGTTTAAATCATCTCCATGCAAAGAATATTCAGGAGGAAAAAGCTTAGTATTTCAAAGATTTTAGAAATCTAACAGCATTTTTACCTGATCTGATTATTTTCCAGTCTTAGGACCTGCAGGTTCTTAAACTGCCTGATGCATCTGGGAACATCTTGCAGTCTGTTGTTGTCAAGTAGCAGCTCCTTCATGGAGCGGTAGGTTCCAACGAATGAATGTCGTTCTATATCCTCTGTGCTCAGCTCATTGTGGGAGAGATGAAGGGACTGCAGGCTGGCATGCATGTGACGGAATACGAAGGCAGGTATGTGACGTATGTTGTTGTGCTGTAGGATCAGTCTACGGAGAAAGCGAGGCAGATTCGTTGGAACGGACGTGAGGCGGTTGTGGGAAAGGTCCAAATCTTCCAGAGATCTGAGAAACATAAATCAGAACAAGGAATGAAGGAAATAATCCAAGCTGCCATCAGGTAATTGTCTTTACAATGTCAAAGAAAGGGGCGTTGCTTTGTGCTCAGTGTGGCATTATGATCTGAAATGACATGTGATGGTTCTTTAGTGGAAACAAACTTCCCTTCATTCATTAACTCACAGTTTTTGACTAACTATTGCACAACTGCTTACCAGTTTAAGCTGAGGTATTGGTATGCAGGGTTTTACAGGTCCCTGAATTGAATTTTTTATAAGATGTCCAACAATTAAGAGCAGACTCTCTGTTTTACATTAACTGGACTCTTATGAGCTCTGCAGGAGAGACTGAAAGGAAAAGGTCTGAGGGAAATATAAACAAAACATAATGCACTTTTTGCAATAGTTTGGACTGGGGAGCATGGTTTGGGGGGTGCAAACTAATGCAGTGTGTTGGGAAAATAATATTATATCATTATAATGTTTGGTTTGTAGAAAACAAATCTTTAATATCTACTGGGAGAAAAGGGGAATTCTTGGTTCTGAGGAAAATAAGTTGAAGTTTAGTGTTTTTGTTGCATGATCACACACAGCTGTTGTGAATTTACTCCATGGATCACAGCAGGAGAGGGAACTCATTTTCTGTTCTTCACCAATATGAATGAACAAAAGAGCGTAGGCTGCCAAACAATGCCCATACAGTCAATTGATTTGGGGACCAATGAGTCAAACCCACTTGTGTTGGATTTGCTGCTGAACTATTTTCTTTTCCTTCTGATTCCATGGAATATGAATCAAATGAATTTTTGACCATTTCCAAGTATGCTTTTTGTTGGCTTTAGGGAACTTGAGAGATCTCTTTCTGCAGCAGTTTTACCTAAACCCTGCATACACCAAAGAGACTTTGTGTTTAACCCTGAATCTAATTTCTTACAAATATATAATTAGTTTTGATCCTAAATCCCACATATCGCCATCTTTATGTCCCTGCGTCAGTCCAGAACAGTGGATTACTGCCTATTTGTACTCACAAACTTTGCCAGTAAGCACAGCGGTAGTCCGCCACTGCTTAGAGCTGCACATGGTATTAATGAGCGGAGGGACACACAGTTCTCTCTTCTGAGAAAGAACCGTGGAACCCTCCACCATCCACACTCTCCACCCACAGGCACACAAATACACAGTGCAGATAAACAAATGACGTGAAACAGATCAACTATCATACACAGAAATTCTCTCAAAGATGGCAGACAGCAACATCAGATCCCCAAACGTTTTTGACTTTACAAGTCTGGCTGACCATGTGTTTGTGCAAAGCACCACCAAATGTAATGGAACAGATAGCCTGCACAACCTCCAAACCAAAGCAGAATATGATACTTTAAAAGTCACATATCTCCCCCTCTCTTAAAAATCACACAAGGCGCTTGTGCCAGGTCAAAACCGAGAAAAAACTACCTTTACAATAAGTAAAGTGAGTGATGAACAATGGAAAGACATGACTTCAGATGGATTAGAGCTTCTTGTGCATGTCTATGTACTCTGAATATATAAGCCCTGATTTCTGGAAGCCTTTATATTAACTTGTCAAATCTCTGCAAAACATACTGATGCATATTTGAAATTATTTCAATCTGAATTTAATTGTACTGCAGCTGTACTTCTTTGGCTATAAATCAACTTTGAATTATTTTCTATTTTTTCGCTTTGTATCCTGCTGTGTAAATAACAGTTCCAGTTGAAACTATAGATGAAACCCTGACGTGAAGTGATGCTTATTTAATTGAATCCTTCTCTCTTGATTATAGGCTGGGAGTACTGTGTGCAATGATGCATGCACTTATGCTTGTGTTCCTGTTTATGTAACCTCATTATGAAACCAATTTTTTAAGGGCTTTAAACAAAAAGAGATTTTGGGGGCAGGCTTTTTCAGGCTGAGATGTGACACTAGTAGCACAGGCACTCACACACAAACAAACAAACAAACCCAACACTCATACACTCACTCTAACTGCAGAGTGATAGGAAATCATCACAGTTATCTTACAATTTTATGACTTTTGACCCCACAAAATTAATTAAAGTCAAGAATTCAAAACTAATACTCTACAGAACAAAATAAAATGAAGGCCCCTTGTCTTCTAATGTAGTTCTGTATGTCTTTAGTCTGGTGATCCATTTATAAAGCTGCTTATTTCAAGTCTTTTATTATAAAAACTGAAGTAAAAGTTTTTCATAGCAATAAATATGCTTGATGGGATAACTGATATAGTAGGGGTTGGGCTTTATGTAACACTAATCAGTGAAAGTAGTTCATAACATTGCCCTGTTTTTCATGTACCGGTAGTGTTAAGTCAGATTTTTAGGCTGGCAGCAGTGATTTGAACACAGATAAGATTTGACTGATATCCCGATCAGCAAACAGAATGAAAAGAACAGGTAGGTGTGTACACCTTCTCCTGGGCCAGAAGATTGAATAGAAATGCTTATTTTTGGCGCCCTTTAGGGCTGTTACTGCAATAGAATCAAAACTCTGCATAATCATTCATGTAACAGGGATACCTGATGAAAACACACAAAAGGGTCATTAATGGTTAACAAAGCTGGAAAGGTTCCTTACATAAATAAACATAATGCATTCTTAGACAGTTCTTTGTATGTAGATGTTCAAATTGAAAATGGTTATTCAAACAAAGATATCCTAGGGGGAAAAAATGTAATTACAGCATAACAGTCTGCGGAGATGATTTTTCTTCATGTTAGAACTCGTACTGTAGCTTTACTAACCAGATTATAGTATTGCAATATTCAAATTACCACATAACATGTCACAAATTTTCATGGCACATTTTGCAGGAAATTATGACTAAATGAAAGGTTTGAAAGTGAAACAAAAGCAATATATTTTGTATTTCCATAAGAGATTAAAAGGTAAAAGCAGCAGGCTAGTTCGACCTTACTAACAAAAGTTTCATCATTCATTTGGACTTAAAACAGGTTAATTCAATGTTTAATACAGTTTAAACAACAAGAAATAAAGACCACATTTGTAAAGATTATCGAAAAGCCATCCTTTTATACCCAAAACAAGAGAAAAGATGAAAAATAATAATTTCTTAATTGTTCTACCAGAATTCATTAATAAAGTTAGACCGTATAGTGAGGTCTGCCATCCTCCTAACATGTTATCTTGAACCACAGGCCTGTTCAAATTAGAATAACTTTTAATATCGATAGGTTGGCCACATCTCCAAAATAAAAAATCACATGACCTAATTTTTGTGGACACACTTTTTAATTCTGAATTTTTAACTTGTCAAGTTTGATTTATAAATATTAATAAAATAATATTTGACCGCTAAATTAATTAGGGTTCTCCTTTCCCAGACGTACGTATTCAGTAAATTCAGTAAAATCCAGAGGTTGGAACCTCAACCAAAAATCCATCAACAGGATTTGCCTAGTCTGGTCAAACAAGTTTGACCAACCTTTCAAGGAAGTAGAGGACCATTCATCTAAATCAGTTTTCTCTTGTTATAATAGTATATAATAATCCTATCTCCCTCAGTTTTCTAATTTCAAAGTTGATTCCCTGCAAACAGATCACTTCATCTTTTTAAATAGCCCAATTAATCTTATCAGCCAAGCTGAACCTTACAGGCTTGTTCGATGGAGACTAGAGATGTTAACGTGGCTTGGGGGCATTGTAGCTGTGCCTTCTTGGCCTTGGACTTGCCGTCTCTGTGCTTCACTGACAACCTTCCTTTGTAGAGGGCAAGATGTCTGAAGTCATGCCTTGTATCTGTTTGTCTCGCAGTGCCTTTTAGAGCCAGGTTCACTGGTTCTTTACTTATGTTAGGTGCTAAGGGTTCCAGGACTTCTACCATTCTGACCACTCTTTCAGTTTCGCATCTCCAGGTGATGAACTTGCTCAGATACACTCCACATACATTCATTCAACACAGATGAATGAGTGTATCTGTAATCTCAAATGATTTAAAAACGTACAAACACAGCTTACTGTTGCATCCATGTGGCCAATGCTTGATTAAGTAGAGTCAGTCACACATTCATAATATATTGACGGCCCTCTGCTGGTGCACTTTAGCCTGATACTTAATTGTTCTCTGTCACCACAGTAGGAGGCATCTGGGGCCCAAAAATTATTAATAGGGGGGTTCCTTTTCCATAATGTCCCAGAGCATCATAGGTTTACAGCATTGCTCCATGGCTGCTGCCTACAGCATCCTTCACCCTTGAGTATGTATGACCAGGTACGCTGCCGCCACAATGATTTCGTTTGCTAATAAACTGTACAAAAACACCCTGTTTTATTTCACCCTGTCTAAATGACTATATTAACCACACACACCTAGAGAGAGCATTTCCACTCACAGCATGTAATTGAATTGTTTTTGTCCAATAATACTGGCCTTGCATATTAGACACACCTGAAATACCATGAGAGGACCCATAGAAAACTAAACAAAAAATTGAAGATATCACCATAGTTCTCGTTGTGTTATGACCTAAAGATCATTGAAAGACAAATTAGAACATCATTAAATTGTTGAGGGAGATTTTTGTTTTTATTGTGGTAAAAACAAGTTCTTCTGAATACAATCAGGTGTCACCCAATTATTTTTATGGCTTTGGGGAATGAGATCATCTTTTCATTGCATATTTATCCTGCCATTTTTCCAGCTAAACAGTAAACACCATTAGGAAGGCAAATGATGACATAAGAGTTTAGTAGAGCACCAAGTACATCGAAGACAGATCCCAGCTTTTAGTTGCAGTCCTCAGTGGCCTGTAACCTTCACTGTCCTCTAGCTGTAATCTCAGCAGGAGGGAATAAAAAACTGACTGCTTTGCATTTCACTAACTAAAAGCAGCACATTGCATTAAAGTGTTTTAATTTCTCCTTTTCTTTTTTTTTTTTCATCTCTGTTTTGGACTACACAAGTAACCAATTTACAATTGCCTTTCCTGCACTCCCTAGTATGTTCCCTACTCCTCAGCTCTCCCTGAAGCTTTGTGGTTCACAAGGTTCCAATGGAGAAAAGCAAAACCCACCGGAATTCACTATATTTAAACAGACAAACGCACACATGCAGGCACACAGTTGCCCTCCAGCTCTAAATCACACCCCTACTCTTCTAAGTACACAAAGTTAGCTGCCATGACTTGTGCGATATGCAACTATGACTGCGTAAGAGAAAGTGAAGTAAAGGGCAAGAAAACAGAGATATTTTTGCTGAAAATAATCACTTATATCCCTCAAAGAAGAGTTTATTACTTAGAATAGAACTGACCGCAGATAATGATGATGAAAACATTTAATTATAGAAGGTTTTTTTAAAATAAAACCTATATTTATCGACTTTATGTGACTGAGGTTAATTCAGATCTAATTGCACCAACTGTAGCTCACTTGGTTAAGCTCCCAATGAGCAGCTTGCCCTCTTGTGGCACTATGCACCAACTGCATAATTGACACATACCTGAGACGGGTCCAGGGGTCGCCTGTGAAGCTTTGATCATGGATATAGTTGTGCCTCAAGTCAATCACTCTCAGATGAATACAGTCCCTCAGTGGCCCACCTGTAATTTCTTCAATCAGGTTTTCACTCATCCTCAGAACCTAAAATATGATGAATTTTCAAAGTTAAAACAAAGATGGATTAAAGCAACTACCTGGAGACCTATCAAGCAAGTACAGTAAACATTACATTTAGTAAAAATTCACACCTTTTTATGTTAAGACCCTAAATATATTTCATCAAGATTTAATGTAACGATGCAACACAGGTTAGATTATCATTTTGAAACATAATGACACGTAAGTCTACATATGTTGGGGTTTTACTTTCAGCAGATTTGAAGTTTATCTCTGCAGCTCCTCTAGTGATATGATGGGCCTTTTGCCTGCTCCTCTGGCTTATGTATTTTTATTTTTTTTTCTTGTCCGAGTCACCACTTTTGATGGACTGCCATGTCTTGGTAGGTTTGTGGTTATGACTTACCAATACGTTTTCTTTACGATGGCTTAAACAAGGCTCTAGGAGATGTTCAAAGGTTGGAATGTCCGTTTACAACCTTGCTCTGTTTAACTTCAGGATGTCATTCCTTTCTTTATTAATCTACTCAAATGAAACCTCTGAGGCTCCAAACCACAGATGGTTTTATAATAAGAGGCATCCAGAAGGAATCGGATGTCTGAGCCACCCAGCTGGCTCCTCTTGATGCAGAGGAGAAGTGGCTTTGCTCCGAGCCTCTTTAAAGACCGAGCTCCTCACCCTATCTCTAAGGGAGTGCCTGGACACCCTGCTGAGAAAGCTCATTTCAGTGGCTTGTATCCAATACCTGGTTCTTTTGGTCATGATCCAATATCTCATGACCATATGTGAGGGTAGGAACGTCGACTGGCTCAGCTCTTTCTTCACCACAACAGAAACAGAGCGCCGTCTATCGATCTTCATTCTACCCTCACTCGTGAACAGGACCCCAAAATACTTTAACCCCTCCATTTGAGGGAGGAATTCTGCTCTGTCCTGAAGAAGGCAAGCTTCCTTTTTCTAAAAAGAAAATTACCTTTAATGGGTTGAACTTAAAGGTAGAAATTGGGATTAATACAAATGCATGTCACAATATTAATGTGCATTCATGAAAAAAAACTCACAACATTCACAGTTATGCTCTGTTTCTTATTGGTATATGAAGTCACGATGAAATACCAGAAGGCTCGTGGTTGTAATGTAACCTGGCTTCCAAAAATCATTGGCAAATACAAGCCCCTCGGATATGTTTGCATACCCTCAGAAAGCAACAGATGCATAAAAGCACACCTGAAGTGATGAAGGGAGGCCTAGAGGAATGGAACGGAAGAGGTTGTTGTCCAGTTGAAGATCCAGAAGCTTCTGCAGAGGTCTGAAAGCTGTAGGTGACACACTGGCTTCATAAAGGGTGTTCATCCTCAGCTCCAGCTTAAGCAGGTTCTTCAAACCTAAGAGGTAAAAACAGGTTTTTTATATTTAGAAATCCACTCCTCTTTCAGTTGTGTCTCTCTTTCTGTGGCATTGGGTCTAGTTGTACCTTCCAAGCATTGATCGGTAAGAACAGTCAGTTTGTTGTTGCTAATGTTTAATTCCTCTAGGGATGGAGGAAGGGTTGGTATCCGGGTGATCTGATTGCTATCCAGATTCAGTTTTCTCAGGACGGTCAAGCTCTGTGTAAAAGAAAAGTACACTTCAAAAAGAGATAAACAGTTTGATAAAAAAAAAACTAACCAACTCTCAGTCCATAATTTTGTACACCACTTTGATTTTACAGCAAAGCACCAAATGAAAGAATTGCTATTCCTTGAATCTCTTCCATGTCATTTTTCATGATTTATTTTTAGCAAAACCACTGTGGGAGGCTTTTCTTTTTCCTTTTTTTTCTTCTGTGGAGACGGCTCCGGTGGTTTATGTGTGAGGGAAAGCAGAGGACATGATCTTTTACAGTATTCCTCCAGCCAGTCCATCAGCCCTCTGTCATTATGGTGAGGTGAAGAGAAAATGGAGAAAATAAACTATTCCAAATATAATTTCCTTTCGTTCCTCACCCTATTGGCTTCAGTATATCAGTGGTCCAGAGTAATGATTGGTCAGCGCAGAGTGGTGGCCTCGGTGTGGTTGGGATGGGATTATGGCCTGAGATCAGTCGAAAGTTTTACTTAGAAAGCATCTGTTAATACAGCTCAAATTATCTTGACTTTTATTTTTCATTAGCTGTACAGTGACAAATACAGTCCGGTCATTTAGCAGATTACAGATGTCTGTTTCAAGAGGGAAGGAACCTCTCTCCTCCAAAAATGCCGATTTATTTTCTTTTATTTCTTTTATTTTTGGTGAAAATAAACAGGGTGATAATAAAGAAGTTAGATATCTCTATATCATTGATTAGTTAATAGTGAAAAATTAATGTATGTTAGTAATTGAAATCAGAAAGTGAAAGTTTACTTAGAATAAAATGAAAGTTTAATAATAACAAGAACCAAAACTACAGTCTAACACAAAGTAGAATTACACATAAAGTCAATAGAAAAAAGGAAATAGAGAAATGTTATTTTATGGCATACAAACAGCTGTCCTGAAAAGATAAAACATTATGCTAAAGAATCTAGATGTTAATAATGTATCCAAGCATAGTAAAGAAAAGTAGCAGTAGAACAAGGTTTTCAAGACTTGAGATGGTTTGGAGAAAGCAAAGTAATTTTAAGAGTTTAGGGGAGATTTACAAGGTTACCACCACCACCACCCAAAAAAAGTCTGACATTGTAGTCCAAAGTCCTCTCTTTTAGCTTGAAAAAATATTGTTTTTTTACATCAATTGGGAGGGAGAACGGAAAGGCAGAAAATCCAAGTTGCTTGAAGTTCAGGGGGAAGTTTCCACAGATGATGGGGAGAGCCATGTCCCCTCCATGGTGTTGGTAAAATCCATTTTGTCAAGTTTAAAGTCAGAGAAAAAAACCTTTAGACCACTTAATGCTTCTCTCTGCTGACATGCTTTATGGATTTATGGCTGATTTCATAGCCTGTATCTGTTGAAATTGCATTGGTATCTCTATGATTGATTGCTATAAGCTTCCCTGACATCCAAAAATGTAGGTGAGCTATTGGAACAACCTGGACTACATTGATGCAAAAAGAGTTGTAGCTTTTTATGCTGCATTAGGAGGTAAATCACATGAAATTGTGTGCTTTTCATAAGCCAGTTTTAAGAGAGAAGTCACACTCACAAGCAGCGGGTTTTGGCTAAACGACTCATCATCCAGTTGGTTCTGGCTTAGATCCAGTGTATCCAGGTTAGGAAGGCCAAAGAAACTTTCTGGAGCGAGGATGCTGATGTTATTTTCTGGAAACACAAAGTAATAGACCGTGCATGAAGTATTTCACATGTTGCTTTTACGTTAAGTCTTACCTTGTGGCCATTAAAAAATATGTGGAAACATATTTTTGTTGGAAACAAAAATTACTAAACTTTCTGAGTTTCTAATTAGAGATTTTAAACCTCCTTCTTAATTCTTGCCATCTACTTTTAGCTTGAATCCTTCTGTAAACTAAGGTATCTTGAAGCCTTTATGTGCAGCTTTGTTTAATGATGCCTTCTGTTTATATTTGGGAAAAAGAGGTAATGATGATTAAAACCTTAAACTGACTTCACATGTTTGAATGTAATGCTTTTCTAAAATACACCAATTAGCATCTTTAAATGTAAATTTAATCTAAATTACATGTTCGCTGCCCTGATAGCTGGCCTAATTGCTCATTTCACTCACCTGCCGAAACCTCCCCGATCACTAATTATCATTCATCTTATCCACCTGCTTCTGCTTTATATACAGCTCAGCCTAGCTATTGGGGCCAGATCATTATGTTTTGAGATCTGAGTTGGACTTTAATGCTGTAGTTCTAGTTTTTGTTCTAGGAGGCCAGTGGTTAGATAGGATTGTTAGTCTTGGCTTGGTTAGTGCTGATTCCTGCTATGAAGTATATTTTTTTATAAGAGTCTTAAAATAAGGAGAATGCAAAATAAATCATATGAGAGGCTTATTCTAAGCTCACTTTATCAATTTTATGCCTTTATCTCTCTGTCTCAGTTCTCTTCACTCCTTACTAATTCAACATGTATATTATGCATACATATACTTTTAATTAGCATTTCATTCACCTGTATTTATGGGGTTTCCATAAGTTCAATAATCTTCAGTATAATTCAAAAGTGTTTTCCACTGGATGAAGGGAATCTGATTAGGGTGTACAAGAACAACCCAAAATCATCCAAGGTCTTAAGCCTCTATTTAACCATAATCTATTGGTAAACAGGATTCTCTGTCAACAATGAAATTGATGTTATTTGTATATTGGTAACGATGAGCTTAAAGATTGCTGTACATCTTAAATTTTAGTGGCCCACATACACAACTGACCTACAGTGTTGAGAAAACGTCAATGATGAAAGGGAACAAGGGCTGAATTATTTGGCCATAATGGCTAGAGCATTGTTTGGTGGAGTCATAGGGAGGTTTTCTGTCCAAAGAATGTAATAGCAACTGCCAAGAATAATTGTGGTCACATCAGACTAAAGAGCTGGCTCTGTGCCAGTAGAATGATTTCATTGCACAAACCTTCAACATCAACCTTCTGGAATGTTGAACTTCATGGAATAGTATTGTTAAGAACAGAAGCTGGTTTCATGCCATTAGACAACCCTATTCTAATTAGCCATGCCTTAGGTCAGAAATCTGTATGTGGCTATAAAAAAGAATCCTTGGTAAGGAATTGATAGTATTAGTAAAAGTGTATACTTTTGGGCCTTTATATATAATTTTGAATCAATATGAAGTAATGGAAATTCACCATACAGTAAATGAGAGTTTCTGTTTTAAAATAATTTAAGTTTGCATCATCGGTTAATTCAAGAAAGAGGTTCAAATAAGTAAATAAAAAAAATGACATTCAAACAAATGATGCATATGTCGGTGGAACTAAAAACAGGAAAAAAACTAGGATAACACTAATCTTTAAATCTGACAATTTCCTTATGAAATTTTACATAATTGCATTTGGCACACACAGGCGTGTTATTTGCGAGGACAGTGTCCTGTCACACACCTCCCATGTCCAGCTTAGTTACATCCAGGCTCTGGAAAACAGGCAGATGAATCATCCCAACACCTCTGCAGCTGACTTCACGGTCTGCAGCCTGGCATTCATCAGGAAGCTCAGTCATGTTGAACTGTGTTTGATTGGTGGGAGGCTCTGTGGCCTCTTCCTCTACTTCCTCCTCTTCTTCCTCTTCTTCTTCTTCTTCTTCTTCCTCTTCCTCCTGACAGGAAATGGAAAAATGTCTCTACATTGGGAAATAGTTGGTCTTGAATAAAAAATTTCACAATAAAATCAAACCTCTTCTTCATCGCTGTCCTCCTCTTCCTCCTCCTCATCACTGTCCTCCTCCTCTTCTTCTTCTTCCTGCCCCTCCTCTTGTGTTTTTCCATTATCCATCAGTCGTTTCTTTTCTGCATGAAGTTCCTTGAGCGTAGCCATAAGAAGGCTGGTCTCCATCTCTCCCTTCATGCTCTGTCTCCATCCTTTAAGAGGTTGGCTCAATCCAGCCTGTGAAACATAGTTGACACAGTGGTAAATAAAAATAAATATATTGAAATGATCCTGAATAATGCTTATTGATACTTGCTATTCTATATGCAGTGGTCTCTACTGTAGCGGCGTGTCTTCTCCTCCCCCAGGTGCTTCTCCTTCCTCGACCAACCTCTAGCTTTTGTGGGACAGCTTCCCTCTGATCCGTCTTCTCTCCTAATTCCAGTTGAGGCTGCACTTCTGCACCCGAGTCTTCACAATAAATTCATACCGTCAGTGAAAAAATTACAGCTAAAGTCAAATGTTAAAATACAATTTTTTAAAAATATTTTATAACTGGGCCTGTTAGTATTCTTGAAATTATTTGTTTTTTTATTCTTTTAAATATTCTTTTTCCAAAATCAGACATTTATATATCCTCAAAACTTAACCAATTTATATTAGTTTACATTTACATCTTTTCAGCTCTTCAAGTTTTTATGTGTATCAGGGCATTAAGATGGCCACTCCAAATAATTGACCTTGCTGTTCTCTTAATCCCCTTTTTAACTAATAAGGGTTACTCTCTACTTGGAAACTTCAAGAATCATCCCCACAGTCATCCGTCTTTTTATGTATTTAGTAAATATCAGGTTCCTACTCTATATAAGCAGGACAAAAAAAAAAAAAAACGTATACGTTAACTTTGATATTTTTTTCAACATTATAAAAAAATCAAACAGGCAGAAATAGAAGTTCCATATTCTCACCAATAACATGTGGATCCAAAAGCTTCTCTCCTGATTCAATCCTCCATGGATGACTAGTAGCCATTTCCTTTTCAGGTGCATCAGAGTTGATTTCTAGCATTGCGTTTAGTTCATCCACTTCTTTGCTTTCCCCTGAAAAAATAGTGCCAACTACAAAAATGATCACGATCCATATCCTTGGAATTTGCATTTTTGGATTTTAGCTTATTAAAGTCTAGTTTAGATCCCAAGGATGAATAAAGAACTTAAAGTCTGAGGTAATATATAAAAAAAGAAATTTTACGTCAAATTTAAAACAAAAATATTGTTAGAGCTTTGTAAAGCTGTTTCTTTCTCTAAAAGTCCTTGTATTACAGGATCGTTTAGTGAATGAGGAGAGAGAAAGAGGATGGAAGAAAAGTCTGGAAGGTGGACAGGTTGAAAAATAAACTCTCCCCATGCTAATAAAGGCCCTCCATCATTATACTAGGAAGTATAGACACGCCTTCTCGTCCTTGGCTCCTCTCTCTCTCGCTTTCTCTCTCCTCTGTCAGCAGCTTGTAAGTTAAAAAAAATGTTTTCTTATGTCTGTTATAAAACCCCCAAAAGAAAGAAATTATGGTACAGAGCATTCAAAAATAGATAGAAAAGTTTATTCAATCCGTGTTGACTGATTTAGACGATGAGGAGGACAGAGAACATGTATTTTAAATGCTGCCAGCCACGGACTAGAGTTGATAGACAGTTCAAGTCAGAGACATCCATGTTTGGAAAGGCTCCACTAGCATCCACATACTAAAACAAACATGAACTCTGAGGAGGGAACAATAAAAGCATCTTTACCTTCTCTGCTTACCTACTCTTTATAAACTGTGCATCATGACACTCACTCTTTGCCCTGAGCTCAAAGAGGAGGCAAGATGGGAATTTTTACTGCTTCAATAACTGTAATTAGCTGCACCTGTATGATAACAATGTATTACATACTATTGATTAAATTTAGCTCATAGAAAGAGTGATGATTCTCACACATTAGGTGCAGCTGTTGAGACAGAGGTGCTAGACATGGTCCAAATGGCACCTGGGACAACTTCACACTAAACACTGAAACACTCAGGTCCTGATGCGCTCCTCCAAGGTAAACAGTAGAGTCCACATATTCATTTTAGCTCTGACAGGAACATGCAGTAATCTCCCAACCGCATTCAGCACCCCACTGTAACCCCAGTCTAACAGCACAGCTAAATTACAGTTCTGACTCTAAAGGATGGGGCTAAATTCAGATTTTTTTCCATTCATACACTAAAAAGGTTTGCTTTGCTAATATGAGTTGTTTGTACAGTGGAGAAATACAGACAGCAGAGCCATGGTGCAATTATTAATACATATAAATGCTGTAATATGAGGTTATTTGGTTTTAAAGCAAAAGAAACCTAATTGGAAACACTGTAGGGCGGCCATGTTTAGACAAGGAGCCTCATACTTCCTCCTCAAGAACCAAAACTAAAGTTAAAGTTTTTCCAGTTACAGTGTAAAAAACAGAAATCCCATTATAGACCATTTTAAACTCTAGCTAATGCTGGTTCAAGAGTTTCTTTTTGTCTGCTCACTGTTTCAACGCTCAAGGCATTTTTATATGGTAGAATAAGGCTTGTAAAGATCATTTTAGAAACACAAAGTCCAGATTTGCAATTTCAAAAACAAGAAACGGTCCATTACAACAGAGATATATATACCAATCATGTATATATTAAAGATATGCATATTTAATGTCATATCAACTTTATAGCACCAATTTCACATGCAAAATACAATCTGGTTCACTCTAGCAATTCTAAAATGCAAGCTAAGGGAATCCAGGTGATTGGATTAACCAGAAAATACCTCTGGTATCACACACACACTGATAAAAAAGAAATCAAGGATGACCTGCTTGGGGTTAAAAGGGCAGAAAGAAGACGAGGAAAAAAAATAAAAGCACCAATTCAGAGTTTTGTAATGGAAAGAAAAACCTGAATGGCATCACCTTTATCCTATCATTTCTAGATATGAATTACCTAACAGTTTACAAAATAAGTAGAATCAAATCAGACTAATGCAGGAGATTTGATCTTCGTAAAAAAATTTGTCAGTATATTGTACCAAGTATAAGTGCTGCTTAATTAGCTTATTTTGGTTTATTTCACACACTTGCAATGAAATTTTATATTTGTCCTTTTTAAATACATTGTGATACAAAAGTTTTCTGCAGCAGACATTTGATAAAAGTGGTTGACATTTTGATGTAGTTGAAGGAAGCTGGTTCAATTATGAAGATAGTGGCAACAAAGTACCTTTAAAACAAGTTCCTCAGTCTGCAATATCTGTATACTCAAATACACCAAATCAAACAGCCAGATTAGCCTAAAAAAATTTGCATTCTGCAGAGCCTTCCTAGTAACTTTGTTTTGGTATACAAAAGGTAGATGGAGGTCTCATCTCCAACAATCATCCAAGGACTGGGCTTAAATGTCATGTTTAAAAAACATTTGATAGAGCTATTTTATGATAGCTAAAAAAAAAACTATCATAAGTAAATGTAAGATATTCTATATTCTGAACAGTAGCCATACTAAAATGCTGTTTTCAGATACAATGGTAATTTTGCACGGTATCAAGACAGACAAGTGTGGCTGACATATTTCAAACACATTTAAGAATGCCTCAGAACCCTAAAATTTTAAATTGTATTCAGCTTATCTATTTGAACTTATTTAACTTGCAGCTGTGATTCTGTTTGGAAAGCCTGTTCCAAGTGGATTGAAAAAGGATTCTTCATGTTTTACTTTCTATGCCTGCATCTTTTACCAAGTATCGAAGTTTTTTTTTTTTTTAAACAGGCAAACATGATCCATTTAAATGCTTTAGAAGTCGTAATTTCATGATGATAGAAACTGATCTCCATTGCTAGCATTTTCTTCCACATTTAGAAAGTTCTGTTGTGTTCCCAGAAAAAAAAAGCAGCTTATAATTATACTAATTTCCTCTAAGATGCTTTGGTATTAGAGGCTGATGTGTCTAAATAAGACAAGAGGTCAAAAGAATAAAGTCAAACATTCCTACCAATGCTCAAAGGTCCTGAACCATTAGTGCTATCATTTCTACACAGCGTCACTGGACTGTTCTTAATGTGTGATGAAAAACAATCAATAGACAGCAATGATTAAAAGGACAATTCAATGTGTTTTGCCATGAGTTTTTTTAATGTTGCAATCGGCAATGACAGGTGAGACAAGAAACCTTCAACACCATCAGCATTGTTGCATACGTGGAATGTTTTCAGTGTAACTTAACTCTGAATAGAAGCAAACATCTGTAGCTCAGCAAAAAATATTAAAGGCTTTCACCAACACTACAGAAATGATCTAGTACATTACAAGAACAGCAGTAACGGTGCTTTGAAAGACTTAAGACAAAATGAAAAACTGAAGACAGAAAGCCATGCCCTAAAGTCATAATTAAATCATGTACCATTCAATTTTACAGTAGTTTGCTGTTATCTTCAACAAGGCTTGGAAAACAGGAATGTCTGAAAGAAAAATTAACATGAAAATTGCTAAAAGCACATCAATCTGCTCTCTGGTCAGATGTAATACAGGGTTAGTGAGCTGCAGTTTCAAAGCCACAAGATGGCAGTAGAGAGGTTAAGTGTGAACACTGTGGCAAGTAAATGGTTGGAGGTTGGGATGAAACCTCAGAAGATGTCTTTAGTTTGCAAAGGTCTGGCGGACAGCAGCTACGATGTGCTTGGCGCTGATGCCGAATATATCCAGAAGCTCTTGAGGCTTTCCACTGCGAGGAACAGCAGACACTGCCAGGCGGGTCACCATGATGCCAGGTTCTTCTCCCACTGCAGACAAAACTGCTTCACCGAGACCACCTGCAACAGAGGGACCACAAAGACTCCTAAGCATAGTGGCAAGAAGATTTAAAAGAGTAAAGGCACCAACAATTTATTTAAAAAAATAAAAATTATTTGGAAAAGGCCTTAAAATATTAGTTTAAGGCTCAAAAGAAGCCACTTTAATGGCATAAAATCAGATCTATAAACTGTCCTCCAGTTGAACAGCCAAGAATCTGACAAATATGCTACCATCATTATGATTTGTAAATCCAAGCATAAGAAAAAAAATTCCTTTCCCCACAAAATATTTGTGGTCCAAAAACAAGCATTAAAAAAGCCAAGAAAAATCAAACCAAACTGATCCAGAAACCCTACCCTCCTTGTAGTGGTCCTCCACTGTGATGATGCGCCCTCCTGTGGCTCTGGCCCGGGACAAAATGGTTTCAGCGTCCAAGGGTTTGACAGTAAATGGATCAATTACACAAATATTTTTTCCTGCAAGTTTAAGAAAACTGGTTAACCAGTGCTTTTGATTTACAAAACAGACATGTCTCTCTTCCTTAAAAAAGAAGTGGAGTTACCTTCACTTTTGAGTGTATCATAAGCAGCTAGTGCTTCATGCAGAGTGACTCCAGCTCCAATGACAGTCGCCACATCATTGTCAGACTGGTGCAGCACCTGGTGACCGGTAAAGTAATGTCAACATTCTTGTCAAGGAGACACTTGTGATTCGACCACTTTTCAGGAAGGGAACCAGTAACCAGCATTTATCACCTTTGCTGTGCCCACTTCAAACTTCTCATCTGGTGAGTAGATCACTGCAGTGGCTGGTCTGCTGGTACGAATGAAGCAGATTCCCTGAGAACAGGAAGCATTAAGTTACTGCATTGAGCTAATGTCTGTTTACAGGAAAATAAGGCAAGCCGCTCACCTTTGTGTTGGCAGACAGCTCAACAGCCCTCTCTGTAGACACTGCATCACTTGGATAAAACACAGTGCATGTTGGTATGGCGCGGAACATGGCCAGGTCCTCAAGGGCCATCTGGGAGGGACCATCCTCACCTAAAGGTAGAATGAAAAAAAGACAAAAAATACTGATGGACAGTTTTCTCATTTGACCTTAGAAAACCCTATGGGTTTAAAAAAGGTGCATGGATAGTACACAACATTCTGTACAACCCTGCATGCGCATTGCAGGGGACAAATCAAGTGCTTTTAAAACCTAAACAAATGCAAAACATATACAGAACCAAAGGGCAAATATGTGCCAAGTGAGTAGTAGAGCCAAAACAAAGCAGCAGTCCCAGCTGTTATTGAGTTCACTACATTAAGCTTAATTGTTCAGCTACAGTGATGATGAACAAAGCAGGTAAAATATAAAAAAGCTGACCATGCTGTTTACTAAGTAAGGGGCTCAGCTATCATATGTGCATTTATCTTTTTAATTACATTTTTGAATTTTTTATTTTATATATAAATATGAAATGAGGCCTGTATACACCATGACGTTTGCATGGTAAAGCAGCCATATACTTACCAATGGAGACTCCACAGTGAGATCCCACTAGGTTGACATTTGACTGGGAGATGGCTCCCATACGAATCTGATCATAGGCTCTTGAGAAGAAGGCAGCAAACGTGCTGGCGAATGCAACTGTGCGGTCACGAGTGGCACAGCCGATGGCCACGCCTACCTGCAATTATAAACAAATACAGTTCTATAAGCAACCCTAAATGAAAACTAATCTGATTGAAAGAGATCTAAACATTTAGAGCTCAAGGGAAACATGTCCACAAGTGGCCAAACAAGCTGGGATTAGCAGGGGTGAGCATGAGGCTGACAGGTTACATAATATGGGGCAAGAGGAAAGAACATCAAGTAGTGTGTATATCTTACCATATTTTGTTCAGCAATGAAACACTCGATGTAGCGATCAGGGTGAGCCTTCTTGAATAATTCAGAGAAGGTGGAGTTTTTTGTGTCTCCATCAAGGGCTACGACCCTCTGGCTTCCCTGACCCAGTCTGGCCAGCGCTATACCATAGGCCTGCCTTGTAGCCATCTAAAGAGAAGGTTAGGAAAAGGATGATCATCAAGTCAAAGCAAAGGAACATAAGCTTAGAGAGTTGTGAAACAAAGATGCTGATCTTTAATTATGCCTGTATTCATGAAAGGTACAACAAGTATTGTTCTACCTTGTCTCCCTTCTTGTAAGCTGGAGGTGAAGGCAGAGAGATGGGGCTAAGGTCAGCTGGTGCTGCATCAGCACTGGGCATCTTTGGGGAGAGGGTCTTGTTGGGGGCCTGGATCTGAGACTGCAGGTCCTTTAATACTTCCTCTACCTTGTCCTTAGGGATAGGCTTTCCATGCCAGTTCTCAAGATCCTCAATGTCTACAGGGCAAATGGTTAACCACTTTTAATAAGACTTACATTTTTATTTAATATGAGGAATTAAATAAAATTGTTTAACATACTTTTAAGTCCTTTTCCTTTGAGAGTCTTTGCAACAATACATGTAGGTTTACCCTTAACCTGCTGAGCATGCCAGAAAGCTTTGCACAGCTCCTCCACATCATGTCCATCCACAACATGCGTGTTCCACCTTATTTAACAACAGACACCAGATAAATGCCTGGGAAACACATACTTTGAGCCCTATAGATTCAAAGAGAATATACATTTTCATGTGATTTTGTTACTGACCCAAATGCCTCACAGCGCTTGCGGTAGGTTTCCATGTCATGCTGCAGGGGTGCAGGCTCACTCTGACCAAGACGGTTGATGTCCAGGATAGCCACCAGGTTGTCCAGCTTATAGTAGGAGGCAAAAGCCATGGCCTCCCACACTGAGCCCTCTGAACACTCACCATCACCAAGCATGCAGTACACACGGTAACTGCAATGGATAGGAGGGGAAATAAGACATTGTCAGTGGGAAAAACAATAAAAATGGATTTTGAGATGGCATTCAACTAGAAACATCAAAGACCGAATTATTGCTCAGTTTACAGATAAAAGCGTTTTTGGTAATTAAATGCAATTTTACTTCCATCTTGCTAAAAGGCTTCTAAGAAATTCTGAACAATAAGGTCCATGCAGGTTATTTAATCAAGGATAACTTGGAATAAACTAATATGGGATTGCTCAATAAATTTGACTAAATATAGCCAGCTCTGAAACTAAAGTCCTTTTTAAACTTTAATAATAGGAAGCAGTCCAAGTCTACCCAGATACATCCGTGTTCTGAACAGGCACAAAATTATTTTCAAGTTCACCTTTTAGAAAGATGAACCTAAAACAGCAAAAGGTGCCCAATGTCACAAGACCTTTAATCCTTCAACAGGTGACAGATCAGGGAGATTTTAAACCACTCAGACAGAAACTACACCCTGTGTTGAGCAATAGGTGACTAAGAGTGTAGCAGCTAAAATCTTATATTTTAGGCAACTGGATGTTTTCTGTCCTGGTAAGCTTTGGCCTTACATGTGCTAAATCAAGAATATGCAGGTCTTCTTAGGAGTTATGCTTAAAGCCATTAAAATTCCTATGTCCATTGTCTAACCATTTACAACAAAATAAACCAACATAAACTTTTAACTAGGCACAGTAGAAAACAGTTTACCTCTTCTCACCCAGCACCACCTGAGCAGAATGAAACTTGACCTTAAATAACCCCATCCCCATCCCAACATGATCAAAATACAAGAGGAAATGCACCCCCTAGTGGAGATAAATACAGAGAAATAAGGTAAATTGCTTCTACAAAGGGTTCACTTTGACCTCGTATTAAAGATTTACTCTAAAGAAAATATTTAGAAATAGGAATAAGTGGACCATCGAAATTTCCATCCAAAAATCAAACTGTCCTAGTAGAGCTACCATTTTTTTCCCAACTGCCTAAATGTATTTAAGTCTTGTTAGCGTTTCCAACTTAAAAAAATTCAATAAAAACTGACCTGGCTTTGTCAAAGTGTTTGCCGGTATAGGCCATCCCGCAAGCAGCCCCAAGACCTTGGCCAAGAGATCCAGTAGCCACGTCAACAAATGCCAGTTTCTGGTACGAAAAGGAATAATTAAAAAGGCAGAGAGAGATACATTTTTAAATGCATTGTGATAATCAGTGTTTGTAAAAAAATTTATTTTAAAGTCGGTTATATCAACTTACTGGTGTGGGATGCCCCTCTAGGTCACAGTCGATCTTACGCAGGTTGAGAAGATCAGATTCCTTGACAAAACCCGCTTCTGCCCAGGCAGCATACAGGACAGGTGCAGCATGACCCTGATGAGAGTTTAAGATTTCTTACATATCATCAACTAAATGCATGAAAAGTATCAACTTTTAACTAGAAGCTGCATCAGACACCAACCTTTGAGAGCACAAAGCGGTCATTGCACTGGTTACGAGGATCATCTGCTTTATAGCGCATGGTGTGGAAGAAGAGCACAGACATGAGCTCTGCAGCACTGCAGCATGATGTGGGATGGCTTAGGAACAAAAAAAATTAGAAAGGGTCAATTAGTAACAGCTGGCCATACAAATGCATTATTAGTTTACTAGATAATCAGGCCCATGCATCAGTTCCATTCAAACCCTCTGTTTACACTGCAAAAGTTAAACTAATCATTGAACTTTGAAAGCACTATGTTAAGAGTGACAGAGTACCAAACACAAAATGCTGTTCAATGACCAAATCACACAAAATTTACTTAGCAGTGGCTACAACAGATAATGCTTTTAGAAGACGAGCTCAGGATTAGAAACATCACTAAAAGTCAATAATTTGTTAATTTTTAAACACTCCCCTCAGATTACCACAGAGAGGTTCTAAAAAACAGCCAGCCTTGAGAAAAGCCTTGTGAAACTGTTAGTTGCTTAAAATGGGGTTGGGATTATTGAACACCCATAGAAACCCAGAATTGCCCAACAGATTTCAGCTTCCCTTTGTGGTCAAGTTAAACTGGTACCATTTTAAACATGCCTGGAACTTCAATAAATCCAATGCAAAATACAGTCAGTCACTGTTAAGTTTTAGAATCGAAAAGCAAGACACAGTTGTTGCTTTACCACTTTTCCACTTGTCAAGACAGAGTCTGCTGAAAGTAAAGTGAGGAAAATTTAAAACAAGACAATAGGGGTTCATTGTTCTGTGTTAGTCATGGACGAGGAAACCGTTGTAGTAAAACTGGAGATTAGCTTTGTCTGTAACAAGGTGTGTGAGCCTCATTTTTCACAGTCAAAGATTTCCTTATCCGAAACCATGAGGAAGAACACAAAACTGGTTTATCCACTGGACTTTTACTTAAAGAAAAGAAGAAACAGTAATGACTTGATTTAATTGAGAAAACAACCCTGGTGCAAAACTACACAGAAAATTAGCAGGACACAATGGTCCATGCAATACAAATTCAATTACGGTTAGAATAGGAGCAAAGGGCAGCAAAACACCAACCGATAAAGCTGCACCCTTTTTAATTATTCATGCTTTGACTTGTGTCAACCAATAGGGTCGTTTTAAATGTGGATAGAAAACATTAGAGCAATGCTTAATAGAACAGAAAAGTTAAGCTTAGAATTGCTGTTCTGTTAAGTAGAATATGTCATTCCTCATTTAATCTGGCATCTTATTTGATGCAGCAGTTAACCTGGTGTTTATACTCCCAACTGTAAAAACTGATATTCAAAGGTTTGTTCTTCTATTTCACATATTGGATACCACTTTTGTATGATTCTAAAGCAAACCCTGGCAAGTAGTAGATTTGTTTTTTCTTCATTTTAAGAACTTCTCACTTACAAAACCATCACAATGCACACATATATAATACACAAACTTAAATTATGCACCCCCAAAGAAACTTTATTTAATAACTGTAGAGAGGATGCAGATTAATCAAAAACCAAAAAAGAAGGCACTGCTGTGACATCAAATAATTAAATTTTTTTAACTGATGGCTTTACACATATCAAGTCTTCCAGCACCCTCTTAGCACAAAAATCTACAGCAAAATCTATGTGCATCAAAGCTAATAAATGTCTGATTACTGGTGTTTTATAGAAACCCCAAAGTTCAATTAGTTCCAATATTACAAGAACAATGTCCAGTTTATAATTAATACTGTCCAATGTTAGTACAGACCTACAACATTTTCTACACCTGATGAAATATGAGGATAACATTTCTGAATTTAAGAACACATAGTTTAATTTAATTTTATAATTTCATTTTCTGTGACACTATTAATTAATTAGGTACAGTTCAAAATACATGTGCAGTAAGGGATACATACAACAAGCCAAAGGTTTATAAATAAAAAGTGTAAATGTAGAAAAATAACTTAATTATAAACTAACGGATGCAATCCATTAACCACGAGACCACGGTTTCTACAAGAGCATGTGATAATGGGTGAAGCGGCTAAGAATCACAGCTTTCTGGATTAACATCAATTAAAGAGTAAGTTTATGGTCAAGCCTAAAGAGAGCATCAGTTATACAGAACAGGCCTACGTTAAACAAGCCAAACGATAAACATTTCTAGAAGCTAGTCTCTCCTGCTCCTCTAAAAGCAGCCAACATTAGCAAACTCCCCATTAACTCGCAGCTAGCTCTGGCTAACTCACACCCCCAGAACATAATCTCCAGCACGTGCAGCCAAACGGCCGCGCAGGTACAGGATACCTTCATCGTTACGGTACCGCTAACTCTTGTCTACTCGTACAATTACAATCTAACACTGACAAAGTAACTTTGTGTGACTCACCCAGAGTTGGACGCGCATGTTGCCTTGATGGAGTTGATCCTTAGCTTGTTAGCAATGTCTTTAAGTCCCTGCAAAGTCTTCTCGTCGGGTTTGTGGTAGCTAGCCATGGTCTTTGGAAATATAAATGAAAGGCTGGGTTTGCTTAAAGAGTTAATAAAACTTTCCTATCCTGCGAAAGACTGCTTTCTGGATTTGAAGGCCGTCGCTAGCTGACAAGCGTAGAGAACGACTAGAGGAGGAGGAGGAACAGGTACTGTCACGAGAGGTTTATGTCTACCAGCAGAGCCAGCCTCCAGCCAATCAAATCATCGGATGGGGGCTGGACCCAGCGAATCAAATCATCGGATGGCGGCTGGCACCAAGCCAATCAGATCATCGGATGGGGGCTGGCGTAAAGCAGGGAATGATACGCTTGATAAGCCTTTCGCCGTCTTCTCTCAGGCCGTTTTCTTTATTAAACCGCAGACTTTATTGACCATTATCGACAAACTTTAGATATAAACGTGATCAATAAAACAAGTACACAGATGGGCAGAACAACTTCGCTATAGAAACGTACAAATAATTAAATAAAACGTATCAATATGACAAGAAAAACAAATACTTCTTTTTGTACAAATATAAAGGTTTTTCTGCCTTTTTTAATATAATGTTAATTTTTTTAGTTGTTATTTACTTGATAACAACTCTTTAAAACAAAAACCATCAAAGCATGCTTTTATTTATTTAATTATTATAAATGCCTTTATTCAAATTTGTTTGTACAGTAACACAAAAAATGAATCCTTAACAGACAACCCTGTAACAAAAGCAAGTTGTGTTTACACATCTGTTATTTGTCTTTTCCCATGTAATATAAATACAGTAAAATACAGCAAATAATAAGAAAGAGAAAGGGTATTAATTGGAGTAGTTTAACTAGGATGTTGTGTCATATGAGATATCTAAGGTATTACCTAGAAATGTTTAATCATACATATTAGCCCGTGTTTATAATGCATGCATTGTCTACACACAGTTATAATGTAACTGCTCCTTTAAATCTGAAGCTGAGAGACTGCCTACAAGGAAGTAAGGTCAGATTCTGCCCCATCATCCTTACTCAGGGAAAGAAGAGTGCAACTAGAACAATGTACTGTTCACATACAAGATCCCGTTTCCAGCCCATTTTATTCCCTTATGGCCAGCTGTCTTGTATCAAATTACCATTCATTGCAATAAAATTAATTTAACTGAATTGTTTTTAATTGCTTAAATGTTAACAAATTCTGCAGAGCAATTATCACACAAGAGATATGCTTTTCAAATAAATGTGCAATCAGTGTTGCAGCTTCCTTCTTAAAAAAGTACACTTCCCCATACTAGCCATCTTTTGAAATCTTATGGTGCAGGTATTTCCTCTTCTTTAAGTTCCTGAAACAACACACATTTGTATTTGCATACAGTGATGTTGATTAAATACAAGAACAAGAAAGTGATGGGGGAAAAAATGCATATTCTCACCCTCATCGCCCTCCGAGCTTCGGTTCTCTCTTCAAGGCTTACTGTGACTTTGTTAATCCTGTCCAGCTGAGGCAACAGCATCAGTACTCCCATTCGATAGTCTGTTTCCTCCAATGGGTTTTCAGAAAGGACCAAAACTCTGAGTGTTTTTGCCACAAGGCCAAGGCCTTCTAAGGCTTTTTCATCAGCGATTACATTTCCTCTAAGGGAGAGAAAAATAGAAGTGTTAAAAAAGAATCTTCAAAGACATTTATTTACTGATTCTCTGTCGGTATACTTAGGAACTATTTTAGTTCTCCTGTTTTTACTACAATACCTGACATTCAGGTACTGAAGACTCCTCATGTTGGGACTGAGCCCATCCAGAGTTTCCAGATGATTGTCTCGCAGATGTAGAGTTGTGAGGCATTCCAACTTCTCAAGACCCTCAAGGCGTTTGATAAGATTTTGAGCCTGTGGAAATAAAATGTATCTGCTATATGCAGTCACTGTACTGTAATTAGTGTTTAATTTATCAAGCTTACAATGCTTTTATTACCAGATATAACTTTTGCAGGTTTGGAAGATCAATGCCATCAGTGGTATCTAGGTAGTTTCCTCTTAGCTCAAGAGTAACCAAATTGGCAAAGACACCACTTTGCAAACCATTTATTGTCTTAATTCTATTACCTAAGAGAGAAATTTCAGAGTGTTACATGTTTTAACTTATTTCAGTTATTAACAATTGATTTGGTTTAAAGGATATATGGTTATATAAATATATGTGAGATCTATTTGACTGTTTTTTTAGTACATATGTGAAAAGGAGAGACCTTGAAGTATGAGGGTCTCTAGGGCTGGTCCAACCAGAGCATCTATGTCTGTTAGCCGGTTTACTGACACACTCAGCCATTGTAGAAAGGTAAGCTCAGCAAAAGGTTGCCCTTGAAATGATACCAGAGCATTCCTGTCAACCTGCAACAGAGAAGATGTAAAATTTGGTGTTCACCTACGTATGTAAACATACTAGTTTAGTAGGAACGTTCTTGCCTTCAGCCAAAGCAAATAGCTCAGAGTTGCCAAAGGAGAAAGATCAGCGATGTAGTTGTTTGATAAGTCCAGATAACGTATATGAATATAACTACTGATTGCAGCTATGTCAGTCAGCGCTCTGAAAGAGAGACACAAGAAAAAAACTGTTTGAAATCTATCTGAATGCAACAATATTTTCTCTAAATCTGTTCTTGGTATTTTATTATCATAAGACACACTTTCCAATAGTTAAAGGAGTATTCTGACACTAAACCTTGTCTCACCACAACTTTGCTTACTTTTCTTTAAGATCCAGTTTGACAAATGCATATTCTAGATACTTCTCTGTCCGGGAGAGTAATGAAAGCCCCTCAGTGATCATGTCTTTGCTCAAGGGACACAACTGAATCTGCGGAAAAACAGACATAAATCAGTTTTGTACCATCCCTTAGTGGTTCTTTAACTCTGAGAGAAAAATGCTTTCAACACAAGAACAGAGAAAAAAAGATTAAATGTTGGCATGCTGGGAGCAATTTATGTTTCAATGTCTGGGTTAGGTCCTGGTGGTTAAATATTGATCTGAAGTCAAGTTTTCCTCGTATAACCAATATATAAGCTGTGCCTGTATCCTTGATGATCATTGAGCTTTTCAGGTATTCTTTTTAGGTTGGGTTGAAGTCTGCTAAGGCTGCACTGATAAATAGGAAGAAGATAGACAGATTCGTACTGCATCTGCCAAAAATATCAAGCTCTACTTGGGGTTGGTATGTTGAAGAATAAGACAAACCAAAAAATGTATACTCTTAAAGTATGAGCATGACCTCTACCAACGGTCATAAAATAAGCTTGTACCCAGGATCGATGTCTTTCAATTATGAAAGACATCGATCCTGGGTACAAGTTACTACTACTACAAAAAAAAAAAAAAAAAAATCCTCCCAGTAGACTGAACAGATTTTAGTGAAATATCCTAGTCTACTGTAGGGAATTCAGGTCTTGGTGCCAAAGCAAATTGGCTTAATCACTCTATTTAGTAAGTAAAACATATCAATTAACTACACTTATACTAATATATTCCAGCCTTTGTTGCTGTTTAAAATGACTTTATGCTTCTATCCAAAGAAGACACAAAATCTAAGATTAGAATATTTCATCAGATGAATCTAAAAAAAAAAAAAAAAATCATTTGGGGGGCTTATAAAGGACTATCTTCTAAAATGTTGTTTAATCTGAGAAATGAGCCTCATCAGAACACACACTCATTTGCTGGGTATGACTGTAGATAAGGAGAGGAGGGGAGGGCTCGGAGAAAAGCTGCTGCTAAACTGCATTGAAAGAAGTCAGCTGAGGTGTTTGTCATGTGATTGGGATTCCTTCTGAGAATTTGAAACTTTTCTCTATACTTTTCTCTATACCAGAAGAAATGTCCATGTCGAATCCTGCTAAAGCAATGGAACATAAACGGCTAAAAAATAAAATAAAGGGATCACTCAAAAACACATCCTAAATCTGAATAAATTAAATATTCTTATTAAATACTTTGCTCTGTACAAAGTTGAATGTGCTGACAACAAAATCACACAAAAGTCATCAATGGAAGTCAAATTTATTAACCAATGGACGACTGGATTTGGAGTCACACACAAAATTAAAGTGAAAAGCACCCTACAGGCTGAACCAATTTTGATGTTATGTCCTTTAAAAAGTCTAAATGAGGGTCAAGATTGTGTGTGGCCTCCATGTGCCTGTATGACCTCTCAAAAACGTTGTAATGTCTGAGCATCCGCCAACTCCTGGACAGTCTATGTTGCAACTTGACGTTGGTGGATGGATCAAGACATGATGTCCCAGACGTACTTAATGAGATTCAGGTCGGTGGAACGGGCGGGCCAGCTTCAATGCCTTCATCCTGCAGGAACTGCTGACAGACTCCATCCACATGATGTCTGAATGCCAACCATCCTGCACAGTGTTGGGATGTGAGCACAACCCCCATCTGTGGACGTCAGTCCCTCAAACCATCCGCATGGAGTCGGTTTCTAATGGTTTGTGCAGACAAATGCATATTTGTGGCCTGCTGGGGGTCTGTTTGCTAGGGTCTGGCAGTGCTCCCCCTGTTCCTACTTGCACAAAGGCAGAGGTAGCTGTCCTGCTGCTGGGTTGTTGTGCTCCTATGGCCTCATCCACGTCTCCTGGTGTACTGGCCTGTCTCCTGGTAGGGCCTTCAGCCTCTGGACATTACAGCGAGAGACACAGCAAGCCATCTTGCCTCAGATTGGATTGATGTGTCATCCTGAATGAACTGCACTACCTGAGCCACTTCTGTGGATTGAAGAGTCCTACTCATGCAACCATGATTGTGAAAACACCACCAACATTTAACAAACATCAGCCAGAGAGCATAGGTACAGGGAAGAGGTCTGCGGGTCCCACCTTCAGAACCAATTCTTTGAGTGTGTCTTAATTTCCAATAATTTCCACCTGTTGTCTATTCTATTTAGAAAACGGCAAGTGGAATTGATTGTCAATCAGTGCTGCTTCCTAATGGTGCGTTCTGACCAGACGCTGTGTCTGCGGCGAATGTAGTGGATTCACATAGAATTTCTATACGAATGGCACAGGGAAGAGAGGCGGAGCAGCCATCTGTGAATCCCACGTGGAGAGGGCGTTCTTTGCTCCGCAGTTACCTTGTGCTATTTGATAGAACTGAGCTGTTGTCAAACAGCATATAGCTGAATACCATCATGGGGAACAGAGACATCTAGACATCCCTCCTTGGCCCCCAGTGATCTGATTTCAGATAAACATAAAGCGGAATGGATGAACTGTTAAAACCAACATTTACAGTTTGACTGTTTGTTTTGGATAGCAACAGAGTTAAATTTCGGTCCAATTTGCATGTTTTCTAAGCCATAACATGGCTTTTGTTTTTCTTTTCTATAAAGCCTGGAGATCCACACTACTCAAAACATTTTAAATTGAGAAAGTTTCCTGGATGGGAGCGAAACGTCTTTAAAGTTGGAAAAAAAAGTCCAGTGGTTTTGTTTTCAGCTTTTTTTGGAATGACTATGACCTGGATGACTGAGCACATACAGTTATACCTTACTATATACTGTATGTGCGCCTGGTGAAGAAAAGCAGAAACATTGGTAAATGTACAAAAAAGACATTTCAAGAGTCTTCATGAGCTGAAGCATGCTGAAGACAAAACCAGCATCAGGGTAAAAAAATAAATAAATAAAATAAAATAAAATCAGGTGGTGGTGGTGGTGGGGGGGGGGGGGGGGTTAGGTCAAAAACACTAAATTAAGTAACAAGCTAAGAATGATCTAAACAAGTCAAAACTGCTTTACAAAGAGTGTTACTTTCTTTCAACAGTTTTTTTTTTTTTTTTTACAACAGTTGAATTATGAAATGAAATGAATTTATGACATGATGTGGAAGGTGTTGCAACAGTTGAACATTTGTTTTTTTGGACTATTGTGAAAGATGTGTCCAGTAATCATAGTCCAGTAATCTTAGCAGACAGAGGTACGTTTAATACATAAATGGTAATTGGAAGGTCCAATCGCCTTGGAGCAGTTGAAAGAGGAATAAGAAAAGTGCTGTAACCGTCCCTAAACTCATCTCTTAATGAGGAAAATAAAAAATGCAGAGTAAATGTTTTTGTAGTTTACTACGGAAGAGGATTGCGGCCATTGAAAGAAAAAAAAAAAAAAGTTAACTGATATTTAAATATTATTTCAGTTTGATAATGGGAAAAAGTCAGAATTCTGACTTTTTTCCTCAGAATTTTTACTGAATTCTGACAGCTAACAAACATGTTAGCATCAAGCTGTAGTCATGTCTGTTTTAGAGATTAGCTCTCTTGTTTTAATGACCTTCTGCTTCTCCATTAATAAAATAGCATCACTGGGGACTCCTCAGGCATGTAAAAAGTTGCCTAATTTCGTCATTTTTCAACAATGTCTCACTGGCCCTCCCAAACAACTCACATCTTTGTCAGTGAAGCAGACTACTACCACATCTCTTCCTTCATGGTGCCCATCTACATCAAGATCCAAAATTAGGAGATTAGTCAGAATTCTGAGGAAAAAAAAAAAAACGTAATTCTGAGAATTAAAAAAAATAATTCTGTGATTAAAGTCAGAATTCTGACATTAAACCTTTATACAGCAAGTTACCAGTTTTGATCACTTGCCTTACTAATGGAGTCCCCCCGTCCCTCGGTGAGGTCTACAAGCACTACATCTATATCCAGCCATGCAGCAAAGATCCTGCTACATGGCTGTACATCTTACTTTGGCATTTGACCAATTAGATGAGATCTTGAATGATATATTACCTACTGTACATTAAGTTGAAAAGTAAAAGTAAACAATTCAAGAACAAAAAAGGTAAAAAGCTAATTGAAAAGTAAAGTTAGAAAGTTAATAAGCCATAACTTAACATAAATATAACATAAATGCCTCTAAGGTTATGTTGGACCAAAAAATGTGTCCTTTCACTCTCAGAATGTTTTTCATGAATTTCTTATAGAATAACTTTTATTTTTCTTAATGTATTGGGGCAAGTAGGCGTTTCCTGTTATCACATTTACATTAATTTTGCCCACCAAAATATCCATATTTTTTGAATGTTACAAAGGTAAAGGTCTGGTCCTGGATTCCAATAACGTTATTGGCTGGAAATTTTGATTTTCAAAGTATTTCACTGAATAAAGTCAGAATTCTGAGAAGAAAATCAGAATTCCGAGATTAAAGTGAGAATTCTGACTTTTCTCATATTATACTGAAATAAAATTAAAAAATCAGTGAACTTTTTTTTTTTTGCTTGTTTTTTCCAGTGGCCCTAATCCTCTTCCGTAGTTTTCCAACTAGCAATGAACACAAAAATACGATCGATGTTTATCCCCTCTGAAAGTCAGGTTTTACAGCGAGTGCACATGATTTTAGAAGCAAAATCGTAAACAACGTTCAGCTGATTTAATTGGATAAAGGTTTTTGAATTATGCCGACAGTCCCTTGGAGAAGAAAACCCAAACAAAACTACAATCACGGGCCAAGCGGTTAAAAAATAGCAATAGTCCGACCGAGTACGCCTCCAAAGAACAAGTGAGCTAATAATTTATATCATTTTAAGATAGTTTTCAGAAAATACCTGTCAAAATTCCTATCAAAAACCTCTTTGTATGTTGATTATTTTTATTCCAAATTTCTCGGGTGGGCTGTCAAGCGGTTAAAAAGCGTGACTGAATGAATACACCAATTTAGTTTGCCTACAATAACACAACTGTTATGAAAATGTAAAGAATATGTTGTTTCTATATCTAAAACCCGCTGATCGATGGTCAAAATAAATGCTTGCCGCGTCGTTCCGCCATTAAAAAAAAAAGTTTAAACTCTCAGTACCTCATCAAGATCTTCGTCTTCTTTAAAATCCTCCAATCCCTCTTCAGACAGGGTATCAGAATGTGTGTCAGACATCGGGAATGTGATATTATAGTTAACCTGTTGGTAGAAATAGCTTTTAAAAGTATTAACCAGGCTTTAAGATGAAAACCTGTCAGTTTGTCGCTATGGCGGCACTGTTTGTTGAGTTACCATGGAAACCACACAAGCTCAGCCAACAACTGTTAGGCTTGATGCTCTTTATATTCGGGATGTTGCACTACATTTGTTAACTTCTGCAACAGATTCCGTTTTTTGGTGAAAAAATAAAAACAGATGACGAAATTTCTTAAAATGTTGAAACATATCGATTTCACTTAACTTCAATTACATCACATTGGTGTAGATGGAAGTGTTTCTTTATTCTTATTTACATTAGCTTAAAGAAACAGTCACATTAATGGACAAATACATTGACAAAAATAATGTTATCTAAAGACAATTATTTCAATGTAAAATAAAAGTGAGAAACAATGACCCTTTTTTAAATTCATCTACAAACTAACGGCGAAGCAAAGCTTTATCACGTTCAGGGGTTAAAGTGTTAGCCTGAACGGGTGAAGAGAAGTGCTCACCTAAAAATATACACTTTATGCCCAGATCATTCATTTACTGAGTGACAAGGCATGCATGTTTAAAGAAAAACCAAAAGAACATGGTGCATAGACAGATATTACAAATTCTCATTCGCTGACAAAAATATCTGTTCTCAACCGATCTTGAAATTTCAAGCAGCAAATATTTATCTATGCTAACAAATTTTATTACAAAAGGTAATGAGAAATGAAAACTGCATTATGTAGGAAGCAAGCAAAAAGGTGCAATTTGTGCAATATTCCAATGTTTACTGCTACAGGAACACTTCATGAGACTATTACCATAGTTGAGGTAATTATTATATTTGTCCAAAAGTAAGAGGTTCTATAAGATGTTAACTTTAAACAAAATATATTTCCTGTGGCAGGAGAATTTTTAAAAAGCAAGTGGTTACTCCACATGCATGTTGCGCGACAGGAGCCCCTTCTTAACGCCTCCTTGCAGCATCCTTTCACCAAGACTGGTTCCTGACAAATCTCTAGAGAAGTAAAGAAAGCACAAGTTAAGCACATGCAACTGGAGCAACCTGATTTAAAGACAGAAAAAAAATCCTTCAATAGCTTCAAAACAAGTCATTTTACTTTTCCTACTTTTAACAGTCAAAGTCTCTTACGTTGGACTAAACTTCCTCTTTTTAGCTTCTGGTGGTTCACCTCCATCCATTTGTCTCTGCATCAAAAAGTTAGAACATTCACAGTTAATCCAGTGAACATTAGTGTCCTTATTACCCATTAAAGATTAACCAACCTCCTTGCCAAAAGCTTCCATCTGAGCTTTTCTTTGCTCCAGGTTTTGCTGAGAACACAAAGGTGAAAGGTCACAAAACAACATACAGGCAAACTGGCTTTTTTTTTCTTCTTGCATTTAAGTCCGTCATATTTTGGGTTGTTTTAAAAGAAGAAAAAACATTAGGAATAAATTCAAGATACATGTAGAAAGAGAATATATACATTTGTCAAATCTGCTGTAATCAACTACAAAATAATATATCCTTGCTGTTGTAGTTTTTTTCTGTTTCTTTTAAAAATAGATGTATTTTACAAATTGTAGATGTTTGCCAAAAACTAAGTATTACTTTATGGAGTTCAGAGAGCTGTTGGTGCCTGATGAGAGCCTCTTTGCTGGGGAACTGCCTTCGACAGAGCAGACAGGCCAGCTTCACCCAGTCTGTCAGTCTGCCTTCCTTCTCGTCTTTGTCTGCTCCTTCATCTTCACTGTCAGTTTCTGCACTGTAGGCCGGGACCAGACCAGACTGCTGAGGTGGCGAATGCTGCTGGAGTCAAGGCAGGAGAATGAGGCATAACATAAATATGTTGCATTGTAATATCTTAGAGATTTAAAATAATTAATAATAAAGATGCATTTTTCTGACTGAGAACCTTCATCAGCACATTTTTCTACAGTATTCAACTATATGCATACCTCTGTACTTTGTCGGATCTGGTCCAGAAAACTCTGAGTTCTTTCAGACAGCGCGCCCTAAGAGACGGAACATTTAGTAAGTTTAGATGGATAATTAAATCTACTCTCTCACACATTAATTTCTCTTCCATCCTCCTGAGGACCACAGGTGTTGGCACCTTTTTCTCCAGAACAGCGTAGCCAGCATCAGCACTTGCAGACTCCCTGTAATCGTCCAAGCGTCCTCGGGAGGAAGAGCCGACAGCAGGTGACGAAGAGACAGAACGCATGTTTTCCTTTTGCCTGTTGAGACTTTTAGCCCAGCGCTCCATATCTTTGGCAATCTGGGAAATACAGAAAATAAATAACTATGTAAGAAAAATATATATGGGTGAAAAACATTTTTAAAAACAGATTAAAAGAGATACTAAAATAGAATCTTTCAAAAAAAAAAATTAGAAACTTTTTTTAACTGAATTTCGCACAATAACATAATAAATATACTCTGCAAATGTGACAGATCTTAAACTTGTATCTAGTTTGTGGCATACCTGTTGAGCAGTTTTACTCTTCGGTTTCTCTTTCTTTTCTTTGCTTGCAGTGGTGTCTGAAGAGGATGCACCATCCTTTAGAGTGGCTTCAGCGTTTGATTGGCTGGGAGCAGGAGTGTAGGTTTGCTTCTCTCCATCCCAGTACATGTACTGCTGAGTGTTAGAGTTGTAGTAGTACTGTCATGAAGAGATACCCAAGAAGAAGTGATGAGGGGTTAATGAAAAATAAATAAAACACTACTGCTGTTTGCTCTGCAGTCTGACCAGAGTAGGTAGATTACCTGAGAATTTGGGTCATAATAGAGTCCTGTGAATGGGTCATAATAAAAACCTGAGCTTTCCTCATACTGGTAGGTGGAGACATCTGGTACAGCTGAAAATAGATACAGATAAAATTATGCTAAATCCTCCTTATCAAATTTTACAACCTGCAGGTTTGCTATAGGTATGTTGTAGATTCTTCCTAGAAATCACTCACGATATTGTTTGAGCTCATGTTCAGTGCCGGGGGTGGCAGGTTGACTTGGAGCAGCTGGTTGTGGTTTTCCAACAATCTCAGCCTGTGGGAGGTACAGCTCTTAAACCACAGAACAATAGACAGGAAAGATGGGAAAGAAAAGAAACTACATACCTGTGTGGCTGGTGTGAGGATTGCTGGGATGGCAGACAGCTGCCCAGCTGCTGAACCAAGTTTTACAGCCTCAGATGAAATAACAGCTAAATGAGCAAGAAAGCATCATGGTAAAAAAATAAATAATAAAAAAGATACAGCTTTACAGAAATATATAAAAGGCCTCCTTTATATCTTAGAGAATTAATCACACCAACCTGGGTTCCCTCCTCCTGAGTATGCTCCATTTAGTGCTACTCCTGCACCAGGCAGGGCTGCAATCCTGGAGTCTGTGTCTGGCCCAGGGTAAGCCTGCCCCTCTTGAGCATAAGTTACTGCTGCCCCCTGCTGGTAAACTGCTGCACCATCACCTGATCCATTTGGATTGTTCTAAAAATAAATCATTACAAACATTAAATAAACATGGAATTTAGTAAGAACTCCTTTATTTTCCAGTAACAATAAGGGAAGTTGGGCAGGTTACCTGTGATATAGCCCACTGGGCAGCAGCTATAGCAGTGCTGGCCACTGTAGCAGCGCTCACTCTGCTCCCCTCAGTCACAAAGACGTCACTGATGTGGACAACAACAGAGAGATTCTTCCTTATTCTAGTTAAACCCTTGCTTAAGCAATCTCCTTTAATCTCACGCTATAAAATAAAAGTTATGTGATGATGCAGACTCTTAATATTCTAGATATATTTTACCGTTTGGAACCTTTGGCAAACTCCACTACAATAGCCTTGCCGTCAATAGATAAGGGGGGCTGGAGAGCCTGCAGAATCTGAAGCAGCTGTGAGGCCTCCTGTTGATAAACAAAGGTCATAGAAAAAATATTACCCATGTTAAAGATAAGTTCATTTCAGGATATCAGTACAGGAAACTAACAGGTTCAACCATGCTGTGTTTTTTTTTTGGGGGGGGGGACACCCTTAGAGATGTCATTTAGCAGATGACCTAAAGTCTAAAGAAAACAAAAAGGCAGATTCCTTCATTTCAAAGTCATGAACCCACAACTGAATGGGAGGCGAGTTCTGATGTGGCTACCATTGATGCAAATGGATGTGAAAATTAGATTAGCACATTTAATTACACTTTTACAGAAGTCTACCTAATTAAACCAGTGGCAAACATACTACATACTTTATGCTGTATTGCTAATCAACAACTGTGTGTTTTTTTTTTATTAGATGTGATATTTGCCCACAGTAAAACCCAAACGACAACAACAATCCCTGACAGAAGGTTCTACGGTTACACTAAAATAAGCGAAGGGAATTTTATTTACAAGACAATTTATCAAAACCCCCTTTTTTTTTATTCTTACCACTATTGTAGAAAGCTGCAGAAAAGCAAAGCCTCTATTTAGATGTGTGTGTTTATCCTTGATCAGGCGAACGTTGGAAGAAGAGAGGGTGGCGAATGGAGCCAATGCCGACAAAATGGCTTCGACTGTCGTATGAGGACCAAGGTTTCTAAGAATCAAAGCTGTAGACATGCAGACAATGTGAATAATACCTACGTAATAAGTGGTAGAATTATCCTTTTTAAATTTAAAAGCTAATTTTAATGCCTACTGTCATTTGCAACATCTGCTGGCTGCGGAGCAGGACGGGGGAGAACACTGGGACCAGCAGGTTGGTAGGACACTGGCAGAGGCAGCAAGCCTTGGGTCCCTTCCTTCTGAACCACAAGAGGCACATCCTTTGGCAACTGTGGCAGCTTCAGCTCAGCCTCTAAGGAAAGACAAGACACCATTAATATATCACTGCAGAAGATAGAAGAGTGTATAGATTTATAGTACACTGCATGCAAATTTACCTGACTTTGGCACGCCACATTTAAAGCATTTCTCTCTTCTTTTGAAGTTTTGGACACCGCACTGTTTGAACGTATAATATAGCATTAGACGACTTGCAAAATAAACCACTACAATATATGTCTGATAGAAAAGGCAATTTAAACATGAAAAACCTTGTTACAGAGCCAGTCCTCATTGGCTCTTGGTTTGGGGTCACTGTAGTGCATAGACACTCGCTGTCCCATAATCAACAGCAATCCCTGAAGGGAAAAGCAAGAGAAGGAGGAGGGACAAAGAATGAGTTTCAGGGATAATGTCACACATGCCACAAAGAGGTCTCATCTCACAAGAGATGAAATTGAAAGAGAAGGAAGGAAGGAGAAAACAGAGAGAGAGAATCAGAACAGCTGAGACTTAAAAAAAGAGGAAAGAGGAAAGCAAAGAAATTCAACCTTCAGCTGTAGGAAATTCGGACGGACTGAGATGGTGTGTCTGTAGCTTTGGGGATTCCCGTATTTTATGGGATAATGTGTGTCATGTTTAAAATGTGTTATCCCTCCCCCCTTAAGGGGAAACTTTCCACAGATTACAGCAAAGCCCACACCACTGTAATCACCATCAAAACCTCATGACATCCTAAAATATGTAATAATGCTTAAAACAAAAGAATGAATAAAAAAAAAAAAAAAGAGAGACTTGTTATGTTTCTGAATAGACATAAAAATAACAGGGATGTTCAGATCAGGCTTTACAACTCCACCCCCCTCCCCACCGATACCGATCCGAGTCATTTAACATGAGGCATTTCAAGATACCGAGTCCCAGGCAGATGGCTCTTTAGGCCAATAATCAATGCCATGCATATGCTTGAAAACTCTGCAGCTGAACAGAAATACACTACATTTCATTAGCATTTGACCTATTTAACAATGCGGCCCTAAATTCTGCATTAGATCCATTTTTCTTAACAGCCATTGATATTTTATTGCTTTGGTTGTGCAGGACATCCTAAATATGCAGCTCCAATGCATATTTCCCTAGCTTAAATAGCTCCTATAAGGACCAAATACATCTCACCTACAAACACAAGGCTGTATCAGTTGTTTTTAAATCAATTTCTGACTCGACACAACCGGAAAACCCAAAAAAAAAAAATGTACATCTGAAGACGTTTTGCAGCAAAGCCATTTAAAGGCCAAGTTTCTATGTTGATATGCCACCGTGATAACATAGCTCAACAAATATTCACATGACTGTAAATAACACATAGAATAGCTTTATTCCTGCTTCATGTTACACTTGCAATGTGCCTAAAGTTTCAGCAGCTCTCTGTATTACACCAAGTGTTGCCTGCAAAAACATCTGAACCCAGCAAACATAGGCAGGTCCCATGAGACAGACAGACAGAAAACAGCAGAAGCCATTACAGTCCTTCTCTGTGAACAGAATCGTAAAAATGAAAACCCCTCAGGAAGGGAACAAAACGCAGCACGTCGGCTAAAATTTTGGAAATGGGACTAGATCCTGGTTGGCTCGCTGATGATGCAGCCGACTGATTAAACTCTACACCAACAACAGTTTTCAGCAGTAAAGTTTTGTCAGGGACTCCGATATCGATCATTGAAAAATGCCATGATTGTAACCCCGATCCAATACCCGTGTTCGGATCGGTACATCCCGATATAAAATACACCTTTTCCTTCACAGACTCTCCAAAGGTGGCAGAGTAAACAAAGGACTGATGCAAATTATTGCAGAATCAGTTCCTCCAATGGATAATGTTTAACTGTAGAGATAAGGTGACTGCAAGGTTCCATTTTAAAAACAAATTGGGCTGTTGTGTACTGAATACAAATACTCAGTTATGGAGGATGAATTTGCCCTTTATTGGATTTTTTGCATATGTGAAAAGAAAAACACAAGAATGCTTACCTGCCTCAGGCACAGAAATCAATCATTTTCTAGAGTGTGCAATTTGCAGAAAACCATTGTAGTGCACCTGATGTATGGATATGGTGTTTACTGATGTCCCACTGAATTAATCTATATGTGTATTTGTGTATGTGTTGGAGAGAGTGACCTGGTTGGTCTCCATCCAGCGGGTGGCCTCCTGTATGAGATTAAACTCGACGAAGGCGAATCCTCGACTCTGACCTGGATACCGCCCAGCGCCACAGCAACCGAACAACAACAACATAACAACAACGCAGTGTTTGGGTTAGTGCTTCATTTACAGAGCAGAGAAAGAGAGAGAAAAACCCTGCTTTGAGCCCTAATTAAAATTGTATATACACGACATGTTCTCTCCCATAAATTTTCTGCACAGGATGGGACTTATTTGGAGTCGGGGATTGAGAAGGAATACAGCCCACCCATCTGTTTGGGTCTGAACGCTTTAAAAAGACAGGCAGAGGTAACCAAGCGGCAACAAAACACACAGTAACACAAAACAAAACACCCACATCATTCTCATATTCTTAATTTAGACTGCAGTCTGCAAGAATAAAAAAATAAACACACCAAACTTTATCATCAGTGCCTTGCATAAGTATTCATACCCTTTACTAGGGCTGGACAATAATTCAATATAAGTATAGATTGCAATCAAAGTTTATGCTTAAAGGATCACGTTCTGGGTTTTATTTTTTTAATTTTTTTTAAAGAAAAGCTAACGAGGCAAAAAAAGAAAATAAAAAAAAAATAAGCCTAGCTTATACAGAATTCTGTTCTGTAGTCTAAGGCTTTTGTTTTCTTTATATCAATATTGAGATCATATCATTTTTACCAAAAGTGCTTAAATACGTTGTGATTTAGGTTTTGCCCACATTGTCCAGTCCTACCCTTTAAACATGGTTATATTTTGTCTGATTAAAACCAGACATTGTTGTACTTTATTGGGAGTTTCAATGATAGAGGAACACAAAATAGAGCAAGAGTTTAATGAATCTAAATTTTACAATAAAGACCTAAAAAAATGGGGCAGTTTGAAGAAGCATCTTTTATTTTAATAACAGCTACAAGTCTAAAGGAAACATTGTTACCACCTCAGTGTACCAAAAGTAAAGCCACTGATTCTAATTTGAATTTGGTGAGAAAACATTGACTTACCTGTTATAGAAACAAACATGTTTAAAGTAGTTTAAAACTCTACATCTCTGGCTTCATGTTTGGAGTTTTGTCCAAACTGACATCAATTCATTTTCAGTTAATTTGCTGCATTACTTCTAGAATTGGTCTGCATTTAGTGAGGTCTGCACAATATATGGTCATTATACCTTGGTATAAACAATCTAGAAAAGCCTGCTTAAAAAAAAATCTACATTGGTTATGTTTTATGTACCAACCGTCAGAAATAACGTGTCAAGGAATTTTGAATCTAAATTGATTGAATGCAATAAAAAGATTAAAAAAAGGTGCACACTGGCAAAGATGACAAAAGATTGAGGAAAGTGGTGGATTGATTGCAACCTATGTTATCTTTGCAATATTTTTTGCATTGCATTTTAATACTGTGCAGCCGAGTTTGGGTTCATGCATTCTGTTTGATCTGGCTTCTGCTCCCTGCTAATAATATTTGCTTTCCCATTGCAGCAAGATTCAGTAATCCACGTTGTGTACAGAGCATGTTCCCACTTACTGTTTGCATATATGGCTTTTTTCTTACCATCAATCCAAAATGTCCAGACTGCTGGAATCCATTGCTAACAGTGATCCTAACCAACCTAAACTGTGGTTTTCTGCAGCTCTGAGTTACCATGAGCCCATTTGTTAAGCGCTTTCCTTACCCAGCCTATCCGTTTGGACAGTAAACCATGCTTCTAGTCATGTGCAGAATAATATGCAAAAATTGGCATATTTTTCCTTAACACATTGCTACTTTGTGCTAGTGAACCACATGACATCGTTAAGAAAAATATTAATTGAACAAAATGGTAAAGATATAAATGGTATAAATACTATTGCAAGGCAACACATTTTACTTTGTGCAAAAAATCTAGATAAAGAACAAGCTGTATGCTTTTAATGATCAATCAAAGCTAATAAGCAGATAAAGACCAATCTAGGTGTGACAGAAACAGTATAGTGTTAAGAAGGGCAAGTGTGCCAGTGTCAGTAAAGCACACTTTACAGACAACCAGGAAGTTAGCAAGGTATGAATCCAAAGACACAATGACCTTAATGGGAAAACGGTAGGCAAAAATATGTAAATCAACCACGCAGCTGATCATTAGCAGCAATGCTTAACTCTCACACACAATTTATGGTTGAAATTTAAGCATCTTTCAAGAGTTTTAACATGGTAAGATTGTTCAGCTTGGGCAGATTTAAGATGGATGAAACAAAACTACAAACAGGTGAAGACAGTATGTGACACATGGAGAACAGGAAAATCCAGTTAATGAAGTGTCTTGGCTGAATGCCTGCATGTTTCCATGAGGCAACATTAGTAGGCCATAACGTAAAGGGCAGGTGGAATTTGGCTCAGTGAGAAACAGCAGGACAGAAACCAGAAGACCAAAGTAATGGCATAATATGACCAGTAGCTTGCTCTTCAAATGAACATTGAATCCCTAAAAAACTGCAATGTTCTAAAGCTGTCTTTTCCACACAATAACTGTCAAATAGCAGAGGGAAAAAGAAAGTGAAGGCAAACAACCGTAACACAAATGCTAAGTCTAGTTACCAAAAAGAGCAACAAAAGAACAGAGCCAGGAGTGGATGAGACTGACACAATGAGAAGGTAACCAGAGGACAAATTCTCACCGGATGATTTATTCCTCATAAGGCGAACTTCTCTCGGTTGGATCCCCTGCTCCTGAAGTTGTGCCCGAATCTTATTATAGCAAAAGAAAGTAGTTGTAGAATTACAAACACAAAAAGGTAAGCACCATCATTCCAGCGATGCTCAGAACAAATCACACCTCGTTTGCTGTGGCATTTGGTGGTAGCATGCGAAGCATGATGATGTTACTGGGCCTCTGGTTCTGGTCCAAGTCAGCACGGTAGTCCTGGTCTCTCTGATCCAGTTCCTCTGCAGACAGGTCTTGTCCTATGTTTTCACAGCCACCTTCTTCTGCTGCTTCTGGAAAAGTCTTTTAAAGTAGGTTGTGTAAAAATAAATAATTTCTTTAAAAAAAACAAAAAAAAGCATTGCAAATTATTGATTTTTTTCTTTGGACTTACTCTCCGCCTTCCACCGCCACGAGATCCCCTGTCCTCATCTCTCGATCTGAACTCTATCTGCTCAGGACGGGGAACCCAGTTAGCATCCCTCACCCCGGAGCACGAACCCCTGCTTTCTGGAAACCCTCTTCCACCTCTTTGCCGACCCCTTCCCTGCAGACTGCTCTGTATCTGCTCAAAGTCTTGTCTGAATCCGTCATCCTCACTTTGAAGGATGAGATGTGCACCATCAGGATGTGACTGAGAAAAGGGAGGCCACAGGGGGCTGTTTCCCTCACGGCCCATGTCACCTCTTGCGTTTCCTCTTCGGTGAAAATGTGGGGAACCTTGAAACCCTGCTGGGAACTCATGAACACCTACAGGCGACTCCTCAGGCATGTATAACCCATCATCCTCCATTCTGACTTCATGGACTCCCTCCTCATCCTCTTGCCCATAACCACGATAGTCCATGTCCCTGAAGTTGTGATCATTATGAGAACCACCATAGCGACCAAGGCGATCGCCTCGACCACCCCTAATAATTAAAGGAGAGAAAAAAAGCTTTTTAATAAATCATAAGGAAAACCCTTATGTGAAAAAAAATCACATTTACTCACCTCCGCTCATAATCCATTTCTCCCTCACAATTTCCTCAAATTACCAGTTTCTTCTCGATGAAATCTTTAGAACATAAGATTATAGTGACAGCAATGAGTTACTGAGAGCATTCAGGTAAGTAAACAAAAGTAAAGACAGGTTACATTGCAGTGTTGTTGAATACGATCAATAGGAAGCATTTTTTAGCTGCACACACCAATATAACTTTATTCGTTTTCTATCCTTTGCGCCCAAATTCTGAAACAAACTTAAAAATAAGAGTTTACAGTCTCAAATAGCTAATAGTAAATACATTCAGTTTGTGAGAGCAGTTAATACGTATATCTTATCTAGAGTATCAGAACTTAAAAGTACAGCGGTCATATCTGCTAGATGCTAGGCTAACCACCTTAGCATGAGGTTGGCTAGCAAGACTACGGTTTAACACGCCGAGTCTAACGGCTGTCAGTTGTCACAAAACAAAATGCTTATTAGGACAAAACAGATTTAATACGTACCTTGGATGCTTTTTGTCTAACGACCCTTTGTGATATGATAAATGGAAGCGCGGGTGAGTGAGACGTTTTATTTATTTATATTTCAGTTTACCAAGTCTAAAATGGCCACAGGAAGGACGTCAGAGAGGGCGGGAGATAACCCTTATTCTCTATTTTGATTGGTGAATAGTAGATATGCAGGTACGCGGTTCTAAACGTCTAAAGTTCAGGCGTTTCGCTCGCGCAAACATTGATTGGCCAATAATGTAGAGCAGACGATAAAACAGAATACATATAGTCATTTGGTACCTTTGAAAGCTTTTATATAATTTAATGAAAACGCATGCATTTTTTTTAAATTCCTTTACATGAATTACCAAACCATTTCCATTTGTGAAAACATATCTTTGGAAATAAGACCCATCTTTGCATCTATAAAATAAAGGGGGGAGGGTATTTAAATACAACTTTAGTAGCAACCTAGGCTAATTAATAAATAAATTAAAACCTATGAGTCTAGAAAGGGCAAAACAAAAAAAAAACAAAAAAAGTCTAAGACTATGGAGTGCAGGATCTACAAACAGAGGAACCATTCATGCCAGGATGCACTCCTACATTAAATACGTAAAGAGTGCATTACAGACCCAATCAGGAGGTCACCAAAACACAATAAAAACCGAAGCACTGCTGTCCTGTTTCCTCCAGGAATGTCGGTGTTCATCATTCAGCGATAAAAGAAAGGCAGCAAAAGACGTACAGTCTCTGGGTAGAAGTGATGTACCAGGAATTAGAACAGGGCACTTTCTCGGTTAAGATTCAAACCAAGAACCTCATGCTGAAGTGCTAAAGGCTGCATTACCATCAATAAAAAACTTCTTTAATAATAATGGACCCACAAAAAGATATTTTTAACAAAAAAACACTACATCAAGTATACACACTGCATACTTTTTTCATTAACTAGTTACTTACAACACAATACATGCAGTATATATGGATCATTACTTCTTATAGTTCTCTCTTGTAAGAACAATACGTTTTAATTTTACAGTTTCCACTGTTGCTGCTATTTAATCCAGGTGAATAGCAGAATGTCTTTAAAAAAAGAAACCACCCTTATAAACAGACGTTTAGCTTCGAGACATTTAATCACAGTGACTTGTCATTTATGGCAAATTAATATGGGTTGGTAGTATCTTACCCAATTTTGTGGGTAAGAGTAGAATAGAATAGAATAGAATAGAATAGAAAATCCCCTTAATGTCTCACGATGGGGAAATTCTGGTGTTTACAGCAGCAAAAAGATTACGGTATTAAAAAGAATTGGGCACACAAATGTGGAACTTTAAAAAGTGTATTAGAATAACATAAACGTGAAGAGTTTAAAAATGCTGTACTGTAAAGTGTTTTAACAATATAATTACTGTGCTCCTGGAGAATAAATAACCAATGTACAGCTATGGACATTTTTATAGTAAGGGATATTTGAAAATAGCAGCAACATCAGAGATGTGCAAAATGACAGCAGCATGTTATCTGACTGACTTAGGTAGAAACTGTGCAAAATCAGCATGATCAGGTATAGAAGGTATATAAAACTGGGTATAATCCTTTCTTATTTTGTTAAAACATGGCATTCAAGACATCAAGAAAGATATTTTAATTTGTGTTATTACTGGGGCATTGGATCAAAAATACGGGTAAATGTGGCAGAAGTGGTAAGTAAATTCAGACAAAAAAAAAAAAAAAAATAGTAATGGAAGAAAAAAACAGAAGGTACCACAATCAAAATTTAATTCAGGATGAAAACTGCAAAATGCCCACATATAGCACTGAAAATCAACAGGAAACATTTAACCAGTAACGATATGTTTTATTATCTTTAAATGAAAAAACTAAATGATTGAGCAATATATTTATGATATGCTGGAAGAATTTGTGACATCCTAGTGAGGGAGTACACATTATAATTAAAAGAGATGTGGAAGAATAAAACCACAAACAAAAAAATAACCAGACCTTAATGGACTGAGTAACTAAATATAAAAGATAATTCAACTCATGGCTAGACATTTGTGAATTCACGCTTAGGTTTATTAATTTGATGATTTGGTACAGAAAAAGGTCTTAAAAAATAAATGTATGCATATGTGAATCCCTTAAGATTTATTTTACTATTACCAGTTCATAATTTCACCACCCATCTGAGCTATGAGGAAGGCCAACTGGAATAAATTTGTCACAGAAAGAAAAAAGTAAGTACAGTCATACAGGGAATAACATATGGCTTAATACACACCCATTGAATAAAAATAAAACACAAAAACTACAGGGAAATATGATAGACTGGAAAATGATCAGAATCTATTTTCTTGACCCCTTTTAAATGTAAAGTGGGCGTTTAAAAATATGGTTTAATACTCTGTCATAGTACAGAGATCAGGAACAAAAGTTTGTTAGTAATCCCCTATTGGTTCTGTTACTTGCAGACTTTCCTTACAAAATCATGTCAATGAAAGCTGCATTTTAATGTGTGCTTCAGGATGGCTCTACTTTTAAAAGTTTATAAAAGTATGCAGCCCTTCTTCTTGCCATGACCGACATTTGTCAATGCTGCCCTAGTTGCCATCTCAAAGACTTGTCTGACCCCGTCTTTGCTTTTGGCTGAACATTCCTGGTAGCGGTAGGCAGCAATGCGGCGAGCCATCTCTTCTCCCTCTTCAAATTTAATTGGCTCCTGAAAACCAAAATCATACATTTGTGGCATTTAGTGGGACACATACACATCATCATTTCACACAATGTAACAAATAAATTGCTAAGCAAAACAATGGAAACACTGTACCTGTTTTATTTTGGCAAGAGCTATTCTGGTTTGCTCATCGTTACGAAGGTCCTTTTTGTTCCCAACCAGAATTATTGGAACATTAGGACAGAAGTGTCTCACTTCTGGAGTCCACTTCTCTGGAATATTTGCTACAAAATACATAAAATAAACGAGTTTTTGATCAATTATCGACATATATCACTTTCTCATATAACATGCTAAATATATCACAGTTATATTAGCCCTCTGTTGATTTGGCACCTCAACATGGTAAAGGGCTTTATTGACACTTTATTGGAGCTTAGATTCCTGGTGGGGCTACTCATGGTTAATTGATTCCTTGGCTGGGTCAGACTGGGCACAATTAAATGGGCAAATTGGCAGATCGCACAAACAGATGACCCTCCCCCAGGTTTTGGAGACTGTGGCACCATCCTGAAGCCCATTGAGCATGGCAGACAAGTATCTAGATTGGCCTAACACAACAAAAGCTGCAGGATGACCTCTCCATGAGGCACTGCCACCGCTTAAGAAGGATGTTGGGATAGGATGCCATGCAAAATGAATGCAAAGCAAGGAGGCCTTTGCATGCTAACTAATGGCAGCATAATCTGGCTTTGCACATATGAAGTGTCACCAGAGATGTTACAGCTACTGTTCATATGTGAGATTAAGCAATGCCAGCTAGATGTTTGGACTCCCTTCCTTTCACAGCTGGGACCCTAACAGTCAACTCCTGAAAGAGGGTGAAATCCCTCCTACTGCTGAATTTTCCACAGACAGATTTACTCTTTAGGAATCTCTGGCTAAGTAATGAATCTTCTCTTTGCAACTTTAGCCTGCAACTGTTGCCTGTGTGTATGAAGTAAACAGCATTTCAAATTACACTGCCTTCTTGCGTAATTGAAGGGGTGCCATCTGGAGATTCCATCATGCTCCTGGGTGACTTCAGTCTATGTTTGGGACACCTTGAGAGGTGTCTATACAGTATGCTTCAGAAAGATGTGTTGTTATTGGAGAGCTCTGACAGTTATTCCTGAAATCTGTCATGATTATAGGTTAGTAACCATAGGCCAATATGATCAATTTTGAAATGACCTGTTGGCCTACTTATACAGAGTCTTTTCAAGTCTGAGGATTCTAGAGCACTTTACACTATATTCACTCATTCATGCACATTTTCGAACACTGATTATGGCAAGCCAAACGGTAGCCACAGCTGCTATGGAGTGCACTGACAGAGGTGAGGCTGCCATACACAAGCATCATCCTGACCTCTGACCACCATCAGTAGGCAATGCAGTAAAGTGTTTTGCTCAAGGACAAAGCCAGTGAGACAGATGGAGCTAGTGTTTGAGCCAGCAACCCTCTGGTCGCAGGGTGAACTCCAGCACCCTACACCATTGTCGCACCAAAATTGTATCCTAAGACCAGGTGTTCTATATCTTGGTGCTGTAAACTAGTTATGGTGAGTGGAATCAAATGGTCCGAAGCTATGGAGAAATAATTATGGTTGAGCTCAAGGAAAATCAGGTGAAACAAGGGCCAATCCAAGCTGTTTGTTGTTTAGGCTACAAACGGTAGATCTGAGGATCTACAGATGGATGTTAGATTTATTTCTAACAAAAAATACCTAAACTGTCTGGGCTATCCACAGAGAAGCACATGAGGATTACATCAGTGTCTGGATAGGAAAGAGGCCTCAGTCTGTCGTAGTCTTCCTGACCAGCTGTGTCCCAAAGTGCTAGTTGCACCTGAGCAAAAGAACAAAAGAGAAAATATAAGCAAAAAAATCTGCAGTTTATAGGAAAGTCACAAGCTATTAATATGATATGGTGCATTTTTAATACGCTTTATTGAAAAAAGAAACAGGTTATTTACCAAACACCTGAGGTGGACTGACACTCCTGATTTTTTGAGTAAAACATTTTGTCTGTGGATGCTAAAGCTATTGGGGCGGGTGGCCCACAGCTGTTTTAATTTCATAAAAAAAAATTAGAATTAATAGTTTATTTATTATTATTATCATTTATCATTTTGAATATTTTGTTTAATCTCCCAACTTTCCTGGGCTGCTCATTGCTGACGGAGGTGATCAAACTTAACCATTAGAAGTGACAATAGAGTTGGAGATGTTACTGTGTTTCTGCCTGTGGAAAATGTTGATAAAACACCAAAATGGAAGGGTAGCACAGAGATGCTGAGAGAAAAAGAAGGCTAAAGGTGGACCATCTCAACGTACCAAAACAATATGTTTGTTTGTGGTTAAATATATTGAGGAAGAGAATGATATGCAGGAACAGGAG